TGAGAGGAATGGTCTCGGACTCGGTACCGGGGTAATCAGTACGGCAAACCGCAACGCTTTCGGACATCTTGTTCTTGACGTGGACACCACCGACACCAGGAATGCAAAGCTGCTTATAATTCGAGTTGGTGAGGTAGAGCTTGTTGTCGGTCTTACATTGAAGGCCACCAACGGACTGGCCAGTGCTACCCTGGGTGGTAGGCCACTGGGACTTTTGGTATCCAGGCGGGCAAGCGTAAGAGCACATGGCACCGTGGTGGCACTCATCGCCAGTAACGGCGGTAACGATATCGCTAATCACATCATCGAGGAGACTGACGTACTGGATACCAGAGTAACCACCAAGACCAAGGTAGTCAAGGGCGACAGCACCATACTGCGAAGGGAAGTCACCGCAGTCAATCTCTCCATCGGGGAAGTCGGCATTGAGTCCGGTGGCACTAGAGCTGCTCGAGCTGGAGGAGCTAGAAGAGCTGCTGGTAGCAGCGGCGGTTGTAGTGGAGCTAGAGGTGGACTCAGCGGTGCTTGTCGAGCTGGCGGGGGTGATGGCAGCTGAGGTCACTTGAAGGATCGCGGGGGCAACGGTAGCGGTTGTTATTGGGGTGGACGTGGAGCTCGACGTCGGTGCGGCAGTGCTTGAACTACTGGATGGGCAAGCAGCGGCAACCTCAGAGTCCAGCCACTCATACTCATGGTTTGCCAGACCCTTGCAGGCTTCCTCGATGGTGATGGACTGAGGGCTGCCGGACTTAGACGGGTCCAATACGACAAAATCGTACACAACTGCGCCGGCGACCGAAACGGTCTCGGTCTCGGTAGCGCGCTTGTGGGCGTGAGCGTGGCCATGGCCGTGAGCGGCCGCGAGGCCAGCCGTCGCTAGTGCGGCAACGGTGTTTTGGAACTTCATCGTAGTGGTAGTGCGGAACTGTTGAACATCAAGCGTTAGTTGCGTCACAATCCATGTACAGTTCTTCTCTTCGAATAAGTTTCCGTTGTATAGAGAAACTTGGGTGCGATTGACTCCCTCCAACCATTTATCGCGTTTGTTTTGTCGCACAATCGCATGCATAGTACTCGGATCAACACACAACAATCCGCACCATACCACATCGCGACTTGCTATTGCAATATGTAGAGATAAACAGGAGATAGCACATACATCACTTCAAGGGCAGTCGCGCGTTTGTCGTAGACGGTCAATGGAGTAAAGGACAGCGGTTTTCAAATGAATGTGGAGAGAACGAATCCCTCTGGTGTGGGAAAACTTCGAGAAAGGAGTGCGGTGAGTGGAAAGACTGGGGAAGAAGAAGTCAGGGAGAGGAGACAAAAAGGAGGGGGGGGCGATTCGGTTTATGTCCCAATAGCGTTAGCGTGATTGTCACGGGAAAAGGGGCAGGTACGAGATACAAGCTGTCTTACACTGCCTACCTTGGTAGTGGACCCTGGACAGAGGCTGGATGCTACCTGCTCTGCTTGGCATATACAATATACTATTTCCAAGAGATCATCCTATTTTGTACGTATTTTTTTACATGAAGCTATGCTCTCTATTATTTCTCTCCTTCCCGATCCACCTGAGTACAACATAGTTCTATAATGGCCATGATCTAGGCAGCTTCTCTTTTTTCTTTTTCTTTTTCTGGTATTGTTTACTCCATGCCGCTTGGCGTTAAAACGAGATTAAAAACTGCCAGGGGGAGCCAATCAGAGGCAAGGATTGCAGCTGTTTGGGCCCCAGAATTCAGGTACACCAATCAGTGATCACTTCCAAGGTTGGCCCTGCCGAAATTCCTTGCGTATCCATGGGTACCAAAAAAATCCCATTTGAATTATATTATTATTCCAAGGTTCATTTCAACCTTGGACTGGTTGAGTATTCTCCTGCTTTGTTCAATTCTTATTTGAATACGGAGGGCAATTTATTAGAGCACACTATTGAAGTTACTTCCCCCCCTCTTTTACAACATAATGTTGCAATGCTTCAACCTTATAGCCTCGCTTTAATTGTTGCGGCCCATAACAATCCCGCCAGGGGTAATTTGTAGAGAGACGCTTAAGTATAACCTTGGAAGACGTTCACCCCCTGACAGCCTGACCTGACCGATCTACTTCCGTACCTGCCCAGCTTTTCCAAGACTTACGGTGCGGTGTGCGTAGCCAGCAAGGGGATTTCCCCTGACGGTACTAACGCTCGCTCCCTACGGAGTAGTCCGATTTGTATTCCACTTTAACTGGACTCAAATTCTAGCCTACTAATACCAAGATTGATAATAATATACCAGATCTGACCTGCTCATGGCGTCGCAAATAAAATTAAATATCAGCCCACGATGTAAGTACTATATAAATACCGCCAGAGAGTCAGGAGATACTAAGTACGGGGTACCTACATCGGAGGTCCGTTGCACTCCCTAGGTACTCCGTACGGAGTGGACTTTTGAGCTATAATCACAACCCACAGTGATGACGACTCCGCGCTTTGAAATTCTAAATTCACGCACTTCTCCATACTCCAGTCCTCTCTAGCAGCCGAAAGTGACTCCGCTCATCCACTTTTTTGATAATCGACCAGCCAGTGGAACAAAGACATGCGAGCTAGAAGCCGACGGACTTGTCGATCCACAGCAATCTTAATCCTACTGTTTGGACAGCACGGCTTTGTCCGCGTCATGGCCCGGTCTAGCAGATCTCTAGAATTATGTACACTAAAATTACACTAAATGTATTATTGTTGTAACAATAACCACCCGACAGTAGCGCCCACGTTCTCCCCATTCTCTATGCAATAGCCAAGTTCGGCCGAAGCGGCATTCGATGAAGACATGCTTTTGTCTTGACGTGGAATGCTACTCAAGCCACAGTTACTCTACATGTATATTCAACTAAGCAATCAAAGCCAACACCAAGGCATCCTATATTTTCGGATAGTAATATTCAGCTCCACAATCCTCCGTTCGATCCGATTCTTTGTTTTAACTGGTGCCTGCTGCAATAAATGTAACATCTGCCGACCCGACTCCTTTTTCTCTACTTGGTACTTTTAGGCAGATTTGAATATCGCTTAAAGAGACTTGCATTGTACATCATGGGAAGATACTTGCGCGGCTCCTTGGGTTATGCATGGTGTACGAATAATACTTTAACTACGGAGTAGTATTTGGGTACTCCGTATATATATCCTACTCTGTTCTGCTCACTTTCAAGCATTTTATATATTAAAATCGGACACTCTCCACAGTTCGGCTCGTCAGGGCCACCGTTCGTATGGTCTGAATTAATTAAAATTTGTATGGAGTATGGGTTCCATTTCCGATTTAATTGCAGTATACTTACAGGATATAAAACTGCGCACCTGCAATGGATATGCTATGATTGGTACCTATCTATACCCATATGCAGTATTCAATCCTGTGACATCAATTGTGTGGGTTATCAATATATGCTGTACAAGAATTCTGCCCTGATGTCCTTGACTTTAGTAATATGATCTGTTTGGCCCCAGATGATACATACTTATCAGGGACATTGAGAACACTCCGATCTGTTTCTGTGTATTTTTAGATGTATGCGAAGGCAATAAAAACCATCTGTGCAGAGGACCTTTTTATACACAACCAGAGACTACAACACAATTTACAGCATACAAGTACGAACCTTGTAATCTTGCATCTCATGGTCAATCCCGAAAGCCGGTCTTACAGTATATTATATATTGTGGATGTGGTGGGTTTTAGCGGTGCTTCTGTGTCTTGCAGCATGCGCCATGTAGTTTCTCACTAAATCACCTCGATATGGGTAAAATGTAAAATAAAATCCAACACATCTGGCTAGTTTAAATGTGACATTTTTTTTTTTGCGGAGATACAAGACAGCTATCAACATATACTACCACAATGGTCTGATCTACACAGAGATCCAACCCGTTGTCTATAAATAGTCACCCGACTCGCGATAGACTTGGCACTCTAGTTATCAGGTGGCGATCCTTTCTCGCAAGATTTTTTTCCTGGAGAAGCGAGGGAGGATTCTATGGTGGATATTTTTAGATAATCCGAAACAGCCTCCAGGGCTAGGTAAGATTGCGGTGACTGTCAGTTTATTCCAGCCGCATACAACATAGTTTCCACTAACGCACCTGATTACTTGAAACACGTTCATCAGCCGCTCCAGAGTTACTCTGTACCCTTGCATATAATAAAAATTACCACAAAAATATAATTAAATTAATAATTCATATTTTGAGGTACAGTGCACAAGACAATCTCCTCGTACAATTTTCTAGCATATATATATATATATATATATGTATGTGAGCTGCGGCTGGAGAGCTTCCTTATCATCCTCTCTAGACTTTTGACCGTAACTGTAGGACGGACAAGCCACGCATTTGATTCCGCATGTCGCTATCGCCCCATGGCCATTGGTCTCATAGATGGGCCAAACCCCCCTGTACAAAGAACGGGCGTCATTATAACATGGTCGGATCTGAAAATCCGACGTTTACTCTCGGAGTACTTATGTAGTCATGGTAGTTTCTGCAAACCGGTAGGTCATACCCTTATTATTCACATCAAATATGCAATTTTACAATGGACAATGGGCTCGAGTTGGCAAATCAGCGGATAGTAGCATATTTTTGCTTTGGGCGTAAAATATGTACATATGTATGTTGGTGGTAGCCATGGTATCGTTCCATCGCAATATAGCGTCTCTTTTTTGTTTACCTGTTTGAAAATAAAATTCTTTATAAGTCCTGCAAGCTCCTGGAATCTGTATACTATTAGGGATTTCGATCTGAGATATCTACACACACCGAGAAAGCCAATGAGGTCAACCTGTCCCCGATTTATATAGCGAGGGAGATTCGCACCTGGGAAGCATAACATGGATGTAAAGCCGTTTATGTAGCTCTAATTTCGCCGTCTCGAGTCAACTAGATTGCAAATTCTTTTTTTTAACACAAACCCTACGGAGTATGGAGAAAGGCGATAACTGCGGCGCGATAGAGGCCTCAGGCACCAACCGGGGTCTGGATTGCCAAGCACGGATGAACTGCCACCGCCTTCCGAATTTTTTTTGAGTCCCGATATGATTGCAAAAAAATTGGAGATGTTCATCGAGTCTACAACTTGCTAAAATGGGCTCCTCTACTACTCAACTCACTTCGAAGGTGACCTCAGGTTCGCCTTACCAGCTTGATAAGCCCCAGGTTAGTACCAATGACTCCCTAGATCCAATTTCGCAAAGTACTTATCTTAATTCAACCAGGCCATCAAAGCTTCCACCGCGCTCCTGAAGCACATCAAGTCTACCCAGCAGGAACAGGAGAAGACCGCCACCAAGAAGACTCTTATTGGCGACGATGATTCCGATGGCGAGGACAGCGCGACCAAGAACGAAGCCATCTGGCTCGTTCTCACCACTAAGCAGCATGTGGTCGACAAGAACCGCCTGAAGCCCGGCAAGATCAGCATTCCCCACTCTCTCAACACATCTCCCTCGCTCAGTATCTGTTTGATCACTGCCGACCCTCAGCGTGGCGTTAAAGATATCATTGCCGACCCATCATTCCCTCAGGGCCTTTCCTCCCGCATCGAGAAGGTCATTGGTTTCTCTAAACTTAAGGCCCGCTACCAGAGCTTCGAGAGCCGTCGCCAATTGTTCGCCGAGCACGATGTTTTCCTGGCTGATGACCGTATCGCCATGCGCCTGGTACAGACCCTCGGAAAGATCTTCTACAAGTCTAGCAAGCGCCCGATCCCCATCCGTATCGCCGAGATCGAGAAGGTGGATGGCAAGCGCGTCAAGAAGGACACCAAGAAGAACAGCTCTTCCTCCAAGGAAGAGAAGAACGCTTCCTTCGCCTCTCCTCTTATTGTCGCCAAGGAGATCGAGCGTACCCTGAACTGCGCCTCGGTGCAGCTCGCACCATCCACCACCGCTGCCGTCCGGGTCGGTTCGTCCAAGTTCACAGCCGAGCAGCTTTCTGAGAATATTGCCGCAGTTGTCAACGGTCTGACCGATAAGTTCGTCGCAAAGGGCTGGAGAAACATCAAGGCTCTTCACATCAAGGGTGCCAACACCATGGCCCTGCCTATTTGGCTCGCTGATGAGTTGTGGGTTGAGGATGCGAACGTGCTGGAAGCTGCCCCTGAGACCGAAGCTATCAAGGACTCCAAGAAGCGCAAGTCAATTGGAGACGGCAAGCTGCTCGAGGAGAAGAAGACCAAGAAGACCAAGTCCGCAGAGGATGAGGAGGAGGCTGCATCCGTGGCCGCGCGGAAAGAGAAGCTCCAGCAGCTTAAGGCTCAGGCTCTCGAGGATGGTGACACAAGCAAGCCCGTCGCGACAAAGACTGGTGGCAAGAAGAAGAGAAAGTCGACTTCATGATTGTTATAGCTCTTAATGTTTTCTGCATGTAAAGGTATTTCTGGCGTACAAAATATCACGTGTCTATTGTTCCGACAATTTATGTTGTGCCGTAATTAAGATCAATCTAACAGTAAACAAACTAAGCCATTGAGGCACAATATAACAGAGTAATAGATTAGATTAAGTCCTTTCCATGGCCGTTGCATGCGTCATTTCGAAGAATAATCAGGCTATATGATCACCGCATTAACCGAGTCCGACCTCGGGAGCCAGTCTTGGCATCCCGACGATAGCCACCGAAAGTCACATCACCGTGAATCGCCGAGCTTCAATCTTGCTCTTCTCCCCACGTCTGGAAGAACAACGCCAAATAATTCCACCAAGTTGTCATTATGATTCCGATCGCTAGGCACTCTGTCCTGCGGGCTGCCCGCTCTCAGCTCCAACCCACCCGAAAGCTGAGCCAGCCCGCTTCTTCGGCGCTCGCCCGCCTACTCTCAACCCTCGCCGTTCTCGAGCAGCGCAATGGCAAACTGGAATCTTCGTCTTTGTCCGCGATTGCGGCCGCACAGAAGCTCGGTGGCTCAGTAACAGGCTTCATTGCTGGCTCCGGTGTGAAGGGCACCGCTGCTGCCGAGGCTGCTAAGATTAAGGGCATTGAGAAGGTGCTGGCTGTGGATAATGATGCATATGAGAAGGTATATACCTCTAGAATCTTCGGAAATTAATCCCTGTATAAGGAGCTTTAACTAACAATTGGATTTCTTCTACATTAGGGCCTTCCTGAAAACTATGCTCCTCTTCTCGTCGAAAACATCAAGAAGGGCGAATTCACCCACGTCGTTGCAGGCCACTCTGCCTTCGGAAAGAGCCTGCTGCCCCGCGTGGCTGCTCTGTTGGATGTGCAGCAAATCTCGGACATCACCGGTATCGAGAGCGAGGACAGTATGTGAAATCCCGAGGAAGAAGTTTGACATGTGATCCGGCCACTGACCATAATCCAGCTTTCGTCCGCCCCATCTACGCCGGCAACGCGATTCTGACCGTCCAGTCCACCGACAATGTTAAGGTCATCACAGTCCGAGGCACCGCCTTCCAGGACGTCGAGACCGAGGGCGGCTCTGCCGAGGTCGTCGACGGAGCGGACCCCAACGTTCCCGCGATGACCGAGTGGGTGTCTGAGGAATTGGCCAAGTCAGAGCGCCCTGAACTCGCTACAGCTACCCGTGTTGTGTCTGGAGGCCGTGGCTTGAAGTCGAAGGAGGAGTTTGACCGCATCATGCTCCCTCTGGCGGATTCCCTTGGCGCTGCTATTGGTGCTTCGCGTGCTGCTGTCGACAGTGGCTTCGCCGATAACAGTCTGCAGGTTGGTCAGACTGGTAAGAACGTTGCTCCTCAGCTTTACCTCTGTGCCGGTATCTCTGGTGCTATCCAGCACTTGGCTGGTATGAAGGACAGCAAGGTCATTGCTGCTATCAACAAGGATCCCGAGGCCCCCATCTTCCAGATTGCTGATGTTGGCCTCGTGGGTGATCTGTTTGACAAGGTGCCTGAGCTGACCGAGAAAGTCAAGAGCGCCTAATTTGGTCGCACGAATAGTTTGTCCTTTTGTATCATGACCTATCGAGCAGGTTGATGCCTTTTTTTTTGTCTGTTAAATGAACCGTACAGTATACCATTGACTAGAGGACTGGAGCCAAAATTGGTTTGGTCTACAATACCAAATGTCCATAATTTTTTATCTGATTTTAATATCCGTAGAAGGATGCTTTAAACTTCATACTGTACTTTGAAAAGAATGTAGTCTACAAATAAAACATTGCTTGAGAATATTTGTAGAGACAGCCTAGAAGAAATTGAAAAAGGACTATGCGGCCAAAACGGGACTAGCGCGTTCTGCACGCGTCGCGCGTCTATCAGAGGGGAATTACATCGGAGACCATTCAATGACATGAGATGTCTGAACGTTTGAATGCTTCCCTCCTCGCCATCATTCCTATCCTCGTTTGACCCCGCCCTTCACCTACACTCCGAAGGTCTTGGTGACACAAACCCACCGTCCGAATCATTCTCCGACGATCTCGAGGCAATCCACCTGCACCGCCGCGAACAAACCCGAAACAGAGTTGTGATTCAACACCGAGCGTGGGATCTTTCTGATGTGTTTCGCAGCGAAGACGAAATACGACCTGGTTTGCGATCCCAATCCCGCATTGCCTGGAACAGTGGCACTGACAACCACACAGTAGATACGCCGACGAAGAACGTTACGACCCCGAGACCATTTTCTCACACTCCTACTCGAAATCTCTCTTTTCTCCCATCCTCGCCACCCGTTTCAAGAATGCCGTTCATAGCGTCTCCGGGCACGCTTGCACCTACATCTGGCAATGCTACCAATGACTCGCAGAAGAGGAAAGTCACAAATGCGGAGGGAGGCGAGGAGCCAACGGAGCCGAAGCGACAGCGCATGGTTGGAGGCTTTGTTGATGATGATGATGACGATGACGAAGAAGGCCTCGCTGCTTTCCGGGATGAGCAGGCGAATAATCAATATGACCTGCCCGAGCACTTCTTCCAGGAGCCTTCGGCGGAACTCCCTAGTATACTGGCACTGGCGCCGGCATCTACGAAATTGAACGACACAACCATTCCTACCCCCAGTTCTTCCCGAACACTAGTACAAATGACACCTCGGCCCGCTCCAACGGCTCCCAAGAGGTTCCAGATCAAGACGTGTACCGGGAAGACCCATAATGTCGTACACAGGAAGGTCCAGGCCCCGGTTTCCTACAAAGACATGATCGCTAGTCGATCCGAGACAGAGCCTGGAAGAGCGACGAAGAGCTATTACGGTATCGACATCCACAAATTGCTAGACGATGCTGCCAAAGACGAAAAACCCACAACCACTATCCCTCAACCCCCAGTCCAGCAAACCATTGAAGCGAACAACGTGAGCTCAAAGCAGAAGAAGATAGACTCTGCAATGTGGACAGAGAAATACCGTGCTCGTAAATTCACCGACCTTATTGGCGATGAACGCACCCATCGATCAGTCCTACGCTGGCTCAAGGGGTGGGAGTCAATTGTGTTCCCTGGCCTAGCCAAGTCTCGGGCGAAGAAGCCTGCCCAGGATGACGAAGAAGAGTACATCCATCGAAAAGTTCTTTTATTGAGTGGTCCACCCGGCCTCGGAAAGACGACATTAGCGCACGTATGTGCCAGACAGGCTGGCTTCGAAGTGCTTGAAATCAATGCAAGTGATGACCGCAGCAGGGATGTGGTCAAAGGCCGCATTCGTGATGCGCTGGGAACCGAGAACGTCAAGGGTATGAACGTGGAGGTTGGTGATAAAAAGGTGCGCCGTGCCGGTAAACCCGTATGTGTCGTTGTGGACGAAGTTGATGGTGTCACTGGTGGTTCTGGAAGTGGTGGTGAAGGTGGTTTCATGAAGGCCCTCATTGACCTTGTATTGCTCGATCAACGGAACGCGAAATTGTCTTCGGAGGGCAACAATGGCAAGAAGCGCAAGGGTGACAACTTCCGATTCATGCGGCCGTTGATTCTGGTCTGCAATGATCTCTATCACAGCAGTCTCCGGCCTCTTAGGGCATCATCTATTGCAGAGATGATCAACGTCCGCCAAGCACCATTGGAGAATGTTGTTCAACGAGTCAAGGTTATATTTGGCCGTGAAGGCATCCCCTGCGATGGTGATGGTGCTCGAAGGCTATGCGAGGCAGCCTGGGGTATGGCGAGTAGAAAAAAGCGCAGTGGCAAAACTCAAGGGTCTGCCGAGGGCGATATTCGCAGCGTGCTTGTTGCGGCAGAATTTGTGGCACACAAGCTTCGAAACGAGTCAGTCCCATCTTCACTCAGACTGACGAGGAACTGGCTGGAGAACCGAGTCCTCAATGCATCAGCTGAGGGTAGCGCGTTCTTCAAGGAGTTAAGTCGTGGGGGTGTTCGTGAAATTGTAAACCGTGTGTTCACAGAAGGAGCTGGCTTCTCAGATGCTCCCGTTGGCATGAGTTTTCAAGATCGCTTTGATACTGCCAACACCCATGTTCCTATCGGCGTGGCAGATCTACGCAAGAGACACGCAATCAACCGATTGCGGGAAATGATCGATTCTAGTGGTGATCATGACCGCTGCGTATCGGACTGCTTCGCTTCATATCCCATCCAGCAATACCAGGATGATAATTACTTCTCTAAACCCAACGCCGCCCACGACTGGCTTCATTTCCATGACTTGATCAGTTCGAAAGTCCATTCATCCCAAGAGTGGGAACTGATTCCATACCTTAGCCAGTCGGTTGTCGCGTTCCATCATCTATTTGCTACGGCTACTGGCAGAACCACCGATGATGACAAGAACGAAGATGACGAGGAAGCTGAAGAGCCCCATCCTTTCTCAGGGCCCAAAGCCGACTTTGCTGCCTTCGAAGCACAAAAGCAGAACCGTGCAGCCATGACTGCATTCCATGCCTCTTTTTCAGCACCTATGGCTCGCATTTTCCGGTCGAATGAAAGCATAATTACAGATCTAGTCCCTTACTTGATCCGCATGCTATCACCAGACGTCAAGCCAGTGATCATCCGTGGCAATGGGGAGCAGAGAAGCACTGCCACTGTCCGCAAAGAGTCCGAACGTGCCCTTGTCCAGTCTACTGTGCGCGTTATGACCGGGATGGGCGTGACTTTTGAAAGAGTCCGAGTGGAACATGAAGGAAATCACGGTGGATGGGCGTACAGGATGGAACCGTGAGTGGGATTCCAAATCTTCTCTGAGACATACAAAGCTAATATACCCCCAAATAGACCAATCGACTCACTTGTGGTCTTCTCGAAGATCAAAGGCAGCACTATTGAGGCTTCGGGTGGTACAGCGCCAGTGCGGTATGCTGTCCGCCAGGTGCTAGACCAAGAGTATCGCAAGGCGACCACGCGCAAGCAGTCGGATGCCATGGGTGCATCTAGGCTCGGCGCTAAGGGCACTAGGACTTCTGATGAGACGGCCGCAGCCAAAGCAATCAGGGAAGCGGCTGTTAAACGCGACTTCTTTGGTCGGCTGGTTGAGCAGCCGGTGCCACAGCCTAAGGATCCAAACAGCGCAGATGGGTGGGTTGATGAGTCGTCTAAGGCTGGGCGGAAAGTCTGGGTTACTTTCCACGAAGGCTTCTCGAATGCGGTCCGGAAACCCATATCTATGGGAGAGTTAATGGCTGGGTTGTAATATATGCATTGAGTTCCAAGTTACCTCTAAGCGTTTGTCATGGTGTGCTGGAGTTTTGTTTTCATGCATTTGTTGCATACATTTCATAATGATCCCTGTTTTTTACGAACCATTGAATACCAGACACTACTAGATCACTTGAAATATTTCAAAATCGAGACGAGAACTTCATTTAAATGAGGATAAAATTTGAGTGAGAAACAACTTGAACATAAAGAGATAATAAAGAGACATTCCTCTATTCCCATAAGACATATTTGAACACCAACAAGTAAACCAGCCAAGCAGACCACATTATGACTGTAAAAAAATAATCACAAAGACAGACAAATTGAGACATGAATGCAAATCACAAAATATTAAACGTAGTATGTGGTATCCGAATCATTCCATCATTGAAGCGAAGGGCGAACAAGTGCACCCAGAAATCAACGCGGCAGTGCATAGCATGGAAACAAATCTAATAAACCAAGCACAAAATAAGCAAGAGAAAGGAAGCAGGTATCGTGAGTGGATCGAGCGGATGTAATCGCCACAGAAGTAGATACATCCATCGACTGTTTCAAAGTCGCTTAGCGCAGGCTGAAGTAGCTGGCAAGAGCCTCGTTGTGCAGCTTCTTTTTCTCAAGGTCTATCTCAATCTTCTTGGAATCGGAGTTGGAGGACTTTGAGCCGAGCGAGTACCACTTGTGGTTCTTGATTGAGGCGTCGGCTGAATTGAGAGTTGTGGCCGTGGAGACGGTGGAGTGTGTTGAGGCTGCGCTCGATGTGGTCTTGGAAGACGAGTTGGAGGACTTGCTGAACATCTTGAATTGTATTTGACGCTTTATGCGTGTGTTTTGAGGGATTTTGGAGGGTTGGTTGAAAATTTGGAGGGTTCGTTGACGATGGAGGTATAGACGTAAACGAAAAGTAAACGAAGTATGAGTTGGTTTTGTAGTTATAGTTCGGGAGGATGGTACGAGAAGGATGTCACTTTTTAGATCTGTAAGATCTGATGCTTTGCAATGGATTGGATTGGAATGTTTCTTTTTACGGGGGTATCACCGGGCCTTTATATAGAGATGTTGATCACCAAACACATCACTTACTCCGTGCTAAGTTGTCATTCCGAGAGAAAATCTCAAAACGCCAAGCCCCACTATCTCAGCCATAGTACTAGGCATCAAGTCTAGAAGCTTTGCACTGTACACTCACACGGAACAGCCCAACAAAGACGTCAGTCACAGCCGCCTTATGTGTGGGGCCGCTAAAGATCGGAGTAAGGATCGGAGTACAATTTTTACTAGCGGGCTACAGGAATGGAAAACCCAAAAATATTCGGTAAAAACGTTGCGGTAGAATCATCCAATGGAATCTATGAGCGTAGAAAGTCAAAAAGATTTGATAAAACAAGCTACTTGCTCTCCGGGGCATGTGTATCCATCCTCTAGACCTAAATGATGACACCGAATAGTGCGGGTTCCTAATTCAGCAATTCATTCGCACGCCCTTCCATGTAACTCGTTTAGACTTCCCCGTTCAGAAATATCTTGCGAAAGGGCGTATGTATAATTTTTAGTGCTAGCGTGTTAGAGAGCCTTAGGCTGAGACTAATGCAGATATCCATCTTCCCAGCTCGGAGTTGCGGTCTGGATCTTGTCCGAAGGGATCTCAGATGAATTCTAAATGGCGATCTGGGCCCACAAGGAAGACTAGATGTTATTTTAGGTATACTATATAGAGTGTATTTTGCCTCTTGTGCCGGTTAACAGCGGCCTATCTTAGAGCCACTGGTAAGGATATGTTGTGTAGCTGTTTCTACATATTGCAAGATACTTCCCAGATTTCGAGGATAAACGGCTAGATGCTAACGCGTTATTTACGAAGTGGCTTAGGATGACTCAAAGAGCGGGGTTGATTGCGGCTTTGCAACAAAGCTTAAAAGAATGATGTCTTGGAGAATTAGAAATCAAAAGTATGGAGTACAAAGGATAAAAATGAGATGACTCGGAAAAATTTTAACCGGCAGGCATTTTTTAGTCTGAGAAGTTAGTATATAGTAGAGTAGGATGTTGTGATTTTAGGTAGTCCGACGTTAGTCCGAACATGTAAATTTTTATTCCGATACGGAGTACTCTGTACTCCGTACTAATTCCACAAATTCGTGATCAGCCTAATTGATTTCTAATCTATAAATTAAGGCAAAATGCTATTTTAGATTCGAAATACTGATCGGATATATAATTCTGCAGGGTAATGTAAGCATCGGAGTACATTTGGTGACTAGGGTGTTAGTCCGATAGAGTTGGTTAGGAAGTCCGATCGATGAGGCTTGTCAACCTTATATCCACTAGAGATGACTCGATCAGAGCCACAGAACTAGGAGTGTTTAATTATCTCCATAATCCGCGTTACCTCTTTGTATACTCTAACTCACACGCCCTGCGGCCTTGGCAGCATTACATATCCACAGGTTTCCCACTATTATGAATGTGCTGCATTGGACTCGTTTTCGAGGCTCCACAGCAAGCCGAGTCATTGAGTGATGCGTCAACCCTTCTGCTAGAAAGGGTGAACCCATATGATTGTGCTGGAATCCAACATGTGATCTCAGACAATTGATGACAAACACATCTTGGATGTGGAATATTCCGAGTCATGAAGCAGCCACACAGTATCAACCGTGCATTTCAGATCAACACCGCCGATTTTTGCAATTGGATATCTCCGTGTTGTTTTTATACTCTTATCATTATCGGCTTTGACATGGTCATCCAACCAAGCCCACCCGTGGATGGGAAGATCAACATGTTAGTAATCATTTCAGGTCATGGCAGACGCACCCGGCAGTTCGGCTTGGCAGCAACACTTTTGTCGGTGAAAGCGAAGCATTGCAACTGACAATGACGTGGAGCAATCCAATTCCGCACTCTGGAAGTTTCCACAGGGTCCTCCCGGGCCATTTGTCAGCTTCAGGTTCCACGGCATTTGGGAAGCCCCTTGCTTAGTACATTTGAAGGTTCAGGATGAATAACCGAGAAGAATTGTGGGGTTTCGAGGGGTTGGAAGCTTGATTTAAGAGAGCTTCAGTTCCTAATTTGGTATGTCCTTTTCACTCAATTTTTCCCTCACTTTCAATACAAAATAACTACCTCATCAAAAACCACAACGATGTCTCTCAAGCCTATCACCGTCTACGGCCATGGCCCAGGCCCCAACCCCTGGAAGGTGATCATGGTCCTGGAAGAGCTGAATATTCCCTACACCCACAAGATCATCAACTTCCCAGACATGAAGAAAGAGCCATACGAGTCCATCAACCCCAACGGCCGTGTCCCCGCAATTGAAGACCCCAACACCGATATCACCCTCTGGGAATCCGGCGCAATTGTCGAATACCTGGTCGACACATACGACAAGAAAAACACCATCAGCTTTGCCACCGGCTCCAAGGAATACTACCTCGCCAAGCAATGGCTCCACTTCCAGGTGTCTGGTCAAGGCCCATACTTCGGCCAGGCTATCTGGTTCAGTCGCTATCACTCAGAGAAGGTTCAAAGCGCGATCGACCGCTACATCAACGAAATCCGCCGTGTCTCTGGTGTGCTCAACCGCGCCCTCGAGGGAAAGCAGTATCTCGTCGGTGACAAGTTCTCATATGTCGATGCTGCTTTCGTGCCTTGGTATCTGCTTACTGGCCAGTTTGGAATTGATATGGAGAAGGAGTTCCCCAATGTCGCTGCTTGGTTAAAGCGGGTGCAGGAACGTCCTGCTATTGCCAAGTCGGTCCAGGATCGGGCTGAGGCTTGTGCGCAGCACTAAACGAATTTTATGAGAATATTTGCCAATGGATATAATGAAATGAAACGAAAAACCGCAAGAATAGTGGGTCGCTCATGCGGCCTCTGTAATTGTCGACGCAAGGCTTTAATGATCTGATCTACTGGGCCCAAAATGATATCAGGGACGTTATGTATAAGAACATACCAACTTGTTTTTGATCTTTTCAGGATTCTTTTAGATGTATACATAAACCGTACAGAGTACTTTATCATGTCCACGGGTACAACTGGGGATTGCGCGTTTGGATTTGTCTGCCTGACGGAACCGCGCTTTCCCTACATCGACCTGGCACTTGCTAGCCACAGCGAGCAAACTCAAGGAAAACTGGCGTCGAACACCCATGCGGAGCTTTCTTCCTTTTCGTCTCCGTCAGAATCTTGTTCTTCTATTGATATATGGCACATATACTTCCGTGGATAAGTGAGTCACATATACCTGTAAACAATTGGGGAGGTATGTATCTCATCGTGTACTTAGCTCGATTAGAGCCCGATAACAAATTAGGCTTCTAACTTCAATGTTGATTTATCTTTTTAAACGAGCTTGTCTCCTATTTTCCATCACTCGATTGATTAGAAGCAACCACTCCCCATAGTGTCAGGAGACATCTAATGAATGGAGCTGTTAAGGCCCCAGCTTGACATGAGCAAATAACCCCCGTCATTCTAGAGGTTACAGTTTCGGAGACACAAGCAAATTTGCAGAGTGTCGACTTTGGGTTTGACCAGAGTAGAAATGTTCTCCAAATTACGGGGTCACGACACTGCCGTTCAAGATATTTATGGTATTCTGCATTTATATTACAAGATGCCTCGAAAGAGGTTTCTTGACAATGCATGTATATAAGCAGCGGATTATCTTCCCCGTATACATTCTACGAGTAAAAGACCTCACATTTGAAAGGAGAATGAGAATAATCCCTGGTTTTACATAGAAAAGTCCTCTGCACAGTTTATGCCTTTTATTGCCTTTGTATACACCTAAGGAGACATTTAAGAAGACCCGACAAGGTCGTATAAGCGACCGAGTATTCTTGTTGCTCTTGATGGGGGAAGTTCTTAGTACTGTTGCATAATCATTTCTTTTCGCTGTTACTCACTTGTCTTTTATTCACAGGCGGGCTACATTGAGTAAGATCGGCACGGAATTGCTCGTGTCAATTTCGCGTGGATCTTTGCTAGCATCTTTACTATTTTGTGAATTTGTACATTTAATCTGTACCTGTTTGGATCTCCAGCAACTCCAAAGTTTTATTTCTACAAGGTCAATTATGTGCTTGTTTACCCATTCACGTATCACGGAAAACCTCAATTATTATTTCATGTCATATTAATTGTAGATTAGAGATTTGAAGAAACCGAGATAGCTTGGCCTTTTCTTCAGCGCCGGTGGTCTCCGGTGGCTGGAATGCATTAGTGACGACCCCGCAATTGAGTTCGCGAATCAGACCACGTAGAAAATCGACGTGCTCTTATCTGCTGACAAGCCCTTGCATATAGGCCGTTTTTCTTGTTGTAACATCGGCTGGCTTCATGGTAATGTGACTTGCACCAAGTGGAAACCGCCGGCGCTTGAAACTATATATTGCATTTGGATTTTCACTAATCTTCATAAATAAACACTGCATAAAACACTTTAGACTGTGATTCCCTGAAAGTTTTTCTAAGAATGGTGTCTCTATCCAGGATTGCTTTTGTCACCTTCGGGGTCATTCATGGAGCAAATGCGTGGGGTGCATTGGGCCACGCGACTGTTGCCTATGTTGCCCAACACTACATGTCGCCTGAAGCCGCATCATGGTAAGTCCTCTCCAAGATAACGAAAGTATTCAATTCTAATAAAATGTAAGGGCACAAGAAATTCTCAACGACACTTCCAGCTCATATTTAGCAAACATTGCTTCTTGGGCGGACCAATATCGCCTCACAGATGACGGTAAATGGTCAGCCCCATTGCACTATATTGATGCTATGGATGATCCCCCAACAACCTGCAACGTGGACTATGAACGCGATTGTGGCGATGAAGGCTGCTCAATCTCTGCCATTGCCAATTACACCCAGCGCGCAGGCGACGGCAGACTTAGTGCTGACCATACCGCCGAAGCCCTCAGATTCCTCGTGCACATCATTGGCGATCTCACACAGCCACTGCATGACGAGAACTACGAGGTTGGCGGAAACGGTATCAAGGTCACTTTCAACAACTACAGTGACAACCTTCACGCCGATTGGGATACATACATGCCTACACAGTTGATTGGCGGTAGTTCGCTCGCCGATGCAAAGGGATGGGCCGACAGCCTGGTGGATGAAATCGCCGCCGGCACCTACAAGAAGCAAGCCACGAGCTGGATCAAGGGCGATACTATCAGTGATACTGTCACTACTGCTACTCGATGGGCGTCGGATGCTAATTCCTTTGTCTGTACCGTTGTCATGCCGGACGGAGCTGCTGCCCTGCAGACTGGCGATCTCTACCCGACATACTACAACTCCGCCATCGGCACGATTGAGCTGCAGGTTGCTAAAGGTGGTTACCGACTAGCCAACTGGCTCAACATGATCTACAAGAAAAAGACTGCTGCCAAGTATAAGTCAGGGAAATTCGCCAAGGGACCTCGAGAGCCAGCGGCCGAGCCAGAGTTTTTCCGCTTGTCTCTTCGGGAGCCTCGTCAAATGAGTCGCGCAAATCTGGCTAGAGCGGCCATGGGAGGATCTTGCTGCACCTCGGAAGGGCGTGAGAATCGCCATTGATCTGGTGGAATTTGAAGAGAAAATATATGTTGTGGATCTAGCTGCTTGGGCTTACCCATCCTTATTTATTCCAGGCCGATTTTTGATATACTACATCGTTCCTTCTTACAACCTATAGATACATAGCTACATAAATACATAGTCATCATGGATGATGACTCTTTTTGGTCATTATCAATATCTCTTGTTGTCCGCAAAATAAAACCAAAAATATGAAATAGCAAGTCTAAGCTGGTGGTCACCTAGCGCCTACGGTTCGGACATGGGCGACTCGCCGCTCTATTCAGAGCACTCAGAGCAGATATTCACTCACACGAATATTCTCTCCCAAATATTCAGCCCGTTTGAACATTTGAAGCTATCGTGGTGATTCTACGCCTAAGCCTGATTTAGCACCTGGCGAGGAAGGCGAGCAGGTTGAGGTGTTGAACGAAGTAGTACTCAACGGAGGACCATCACCTTGGTATCAAACTTGGAATTATATGCCGATGATAACCCATTGGTTATGGCTCAAGGAGCTGTCTGTATCTTCTATACTGCCACTGGTAGGTTTCCCGAACCTATTCCCTTTCTTTTCATCAAAATAGTGGAGCTTATAATTACAATATATCTACATGAGAGGCGAAGAAAAAAAACACATTCCAAGGTTGCAGATTTTCACAAGAAGTATATGCAGGAATGCTATGTAGGTATTGTATACACAAAATCATAAACAAAAAATATCAACGAGTAGTTCCAAAATTCCAAAACTACTGGCACTGATCATCGTTACCAGCTCCACCGTCTACACAGCCCTTGGGGCACTCCTTCGTGATTTTGATGTCTCCGTTGGAGCCGCCCTCGCAATGGTAGAGGAAGTTGTCATAGTTCCAATTTGCAGGATTCTTGCCATAATCGTTCACGGCTTGCAAGATCTGCTGGTGGTAATCACCTGTAGTAAGTTAGCTTAATCCAGACAAGGTATACAGGATGGGTCGAAACAACCATTGTTCAGGAGAGTAAGAGCACAGTAGTCGAATCCCTCATTGCAGTTTTTGGCAACGGCTGTGGATGCAAGGACGGCGAGGGTGGTGGGCAGGATGAACTTCATATTGGAGATTGATGCTTTAATTGGATGACTTGGATGGATAATTGATAATGGGAAGCCTTCCGCTCTTTTTATATTCCCCCTAAAATATCGTGTAGACTGATGGCAGTCATATATGCGAGCTGTGCTCAAAATTACGGAATAAAAATAGGTATTTCTTTTCGAAAATTACAGCCCCCAATGGATTTTTTCAAGTTTTAATCCTTCTATATTCTGAACTGCATCACTTTTTCCATCTTAGGAAATTAGGATGCAGGTGGGTCTAGAAACTTAGGGTAGCGGCCCCCTACATACATAGACACAGCCCCCTCGGGCCGCCCCCAATAGGGCTCGGGTCTTTTGCTGGGTTGAGTTCAGCGTGGGGCCGCCCTATAGTCAAGTGGGGTTGACCCCAGTCCTAGAGTATACAGGTACCCCTGACAAGGCGTGTCAAAGCTCAATTTGATGAGCATCATCTTTGAAAGTTTATCTAAATTTTTACTGACAAATTTTTTAGACCAATGCCCATCCATCAACGAAGGAACATAGACACGGAGGCCGGAAGGATCAACATATTTCAAATAAAGAATTATATTCTGCCTCATACGAAAGATGCTTCCTTTACGGAGGAGTAAAGTTTATATTATCTGGTAATTTAATTAGCCTCAGAATTTTCTGACTGGATGAATCACACTTGCTTCTCAAACCTGGGAAGTGTTGATTCATTTTATGATGATTGTTACCTATACAGAGTCGAAATCACAATAGAAGAAAATACGCAGCATAGAACAAGTGTAGGGTGTTGTATTAGTATACTTTTTAGCATCATCCTATACAAGGCAAACATGGAATGGCGTTGAACAAATCATTCGAACAAGTAGGGCCTCATGATGAGAGAATAGGCACTAGATCGTAGAATACATAAAACGCCCAGGGGGCCACCATGGTATAAAACAGCCCTGAGGGCTATCTAGTTGTCACAGTAGTCACTCTTGTCATCGCCTCCATTCGAGCAGTAGTTGTTGCAATCCTTGACCATCTTAATGTCGTCGGCACCATTGCACAGGTAAAGTGCGTAGTCGGGATTTTGGTACTTCAGATTTGTACTGCTGGTTCCATAATATTTTGCCATGGCATCATTCACTTGGGAATGGTAGTCGCCTTCTTTATGTCAGTCATAACTCCCAAGAAAGTGTCGTCTTTCTTCAAGAACAACGTTGAAAATTGATCCATGGCTTCATACCTTTCCCGATAAGGTTATAGGCACAGTATCTCAGGCCAACCTGGCAGTTGTGTGCGGACACAGCACCGATAGAGAGGGCAATAGCAAGAATGCTGAGCTGCATATTTGCGGTATGGGGTCTTTGGGTGGAATGTAAAGAGATGGTCGGTATATGGAAGAAGAGTGACTGAATGAATAACGGAGAGACTGGAATACTTAAATATGTCAATTGTTGGAGAAAGAAATTAGGGCTTCCAGCAAATTATCATCTTGAAACCAAAATTGGAAATTCGTGGCCCTCATAATTTGGTAAAACCGTACGTAAGTACGGAGTAGCATCAATGGGGCTACAGGAGCTGAGGGGGCGACGGCCTCGCCGCACTTGGTTTCTTACGCCTCTCGATACTTGAGAGTATTCTGTTTTGCTTTTTTTCTTGTCACTATGCGCAATTTTCATGTGAATACAGGGGGCCACGGGGAACATGTCATTCATTTTCATGCTTTTTTTTTTTTGTAATATTTTTTTTTTGGATATGCTTCTATTCATATGCGCGATCATCCTTGCTCTTTCTCCATAATTTTTAAAATGACCTGGGGCCAGGCCACACTTGGTGCCGACAGTCCGTAAGGCACAACTGGTGGGGCCTAGAACAAGGAGTCCTCGGAAACAAATGAAGCTATCCCACGAGGCTAGAGCTGTGGATACCACAATGATCAGCATTGGCTGCCAAGAACTTTGCGCTTCATCTCTCGCACTTCTTTGCTAACATCAGCAGTGACATAAAGGGAAATCGCTCCGAGAATACCGTAATATAGTACTTGGTCATACGGTTGTCTTATCCATCTACGACTGAGAAGTCGGCTGAAGGATTCAGAGGCGGACCATGGTGAAAGGCTAGATTGAGAGGTGCAAAAAGCTAAAGGGTCCTCCCAGGATTCAATTTCGATGACACCATAGAGATGTATTAGATGACTTAAACCGATACTGCTTGTTCATTTGAAGTGATTGGATGTTTTGTAATAGATTCAGGAGAAGGGCATTGCAAGAAAATAGGATGTAAATGACGGCGAATTGACAAGCATATGAGTAAAAATGTTGACCTCTTGTATATCACTAATATTGAATAGAGTAAACACAGACAATAATTTATTTCAAAACCAAAAATCCATATACACACGTGCCAAGAAAGACAGGAAGCGAACCATGTCATCTTGTGGTCTGATAACATGGAAAAAGCAAGTTTGATATTTACATGACAACAGCCAGAAGGATCAATGGGGCTTCGTGTTGCAAGTAAGAAGATTTGCCTATGTGATAGAGGCCAAGATTTAATTGCCAGAGAGGTCTTCAGGGCTAGAGCTGGGCTCGCCTTTCGTGACTTGAATGCGGTACTTCACCACTGAGTTTCGATCCGAATCTAAAATCGAACCAAGGTACTCACTCCAGCCAGTCTGACTGAAAGCAAGCTCACTCCAATGCTTTGCAATTCCATGGGAAAGGTCTGCCCTCAAGGAGTCACCTTTATCAATCTTCTGTCCTTGAGGATATGAGAACGTCACCTTCAATCCAACATCAGATAGATCGCGCTTATTCAGCTCTGACTCTCCGCCGAAATTGGTGTCATTGAAGTTGAAAGATATTCCCGACTGGCCATTGCTGTACCGGTCAAACGCTAGATCATGCGACAGATCGTTCAGTTTGGCACCTCGGATCATCATGCGATGCGTGAGATCAGGCGAGTCAAGGCTTCGCTTCTGTTGGTTCAAGGATGAAACGTCCTCGAGCTCGATACGATCAAATTCTAGATTGGATCCTTCAAAGAGTCGGGCCACATTTAAGTGTTCCTCCTCGAGTAGACTTCGCTTAGAATTGAAAGGCGTGTCCGAAAGCAATCGATTCGCCTGATCTTCTTCGCTCGGGGTCAAGTTTCCCATTTCGATATCACTCAGTATGGCATTGGTGCCCAGCAATCCTGCAACATATCTAGATCCCCTTGAGATATCGCCGTTTCTCATCGCGCCGATGTAGATTACGACATTCATGATACCGACTATGAATGGGAAAAGAGCAGTACAAGCCGCCCCACCGCCGAACACAGCACAGAGGCTTGTTGCAGATAATGCAGTATACCATACCACCGCTTGGCTGAATTTTGGTTAGTATTGGTTTCATTCATCACAGAATTTGGCTGTACTTACGCTCCGGTATATTGCTGGGCACTAAATCTAGGTGCCCCCACTTCGCGGGTGCCAGGAGGATTTCTACTCTCCAGTTCCATCAAGGCGCGGGCTGCAGGGTTCTCACTTCGAATGTCCAGAGCAGTGGATATTTTCTCCATACGGGCATCCAGTTCGCGAGCTGCGGCATTCATTCCTTGTAGCGTGAAGGGGTCATCGATTGAGGTACGAGCAAAGATATCTCCCTCTACCGGAACGGCTGGTACCAAGGATGCCAATGCGAGAATGGCCGTGATTGGAATTATCATAATGGGCAATTGATGCGAGTCAAAGGAAGTAAGAGAGGCAAAGAAGGTGATGTGCGAAATGATCGAAGAACCTTGGGAGGGGTTGGGCTGAATGTTATATATGATGATATTGGATTGACCACTGTGCAATTTTGGGCTATCAAGATGGTATTCTACTTGCTGAGCCACTAGTATCAACAGCTAACTGCTTTTATTTTGGATTTTCCTGTTTTTTTGTTCGAGACGTTACAATTGGTACATAGCCCCAAGGATGTCAGCCCCCTAGACGGTTGGCATTTTGAGAACGGAAGGATTGATCTCCATTCTCAGTCTCCAATTTTTTTTTTTTTTTTTTTTTTTTTTTTGTATTTTTTTTCTTCTACGGAGTACTCCGTACTAACTTTGGCCCCCGGGGCTAAGGGCACAGGCCTCGTGACATCATGTCACGCTTTATTAGCGCAGTGGAACCCTTGTCTTCTCTCCTTCACACACCTTCCACTAGACCTCTCTCGCAAAATGAATTCCAAGTCCAAGATCCGAAGGACCCAGTGGGCCCCAGAGCCATCTCGCCCATCTGCCTTGCCTCGGCAAGACTCAAGGACCGATCGTATTGTGCGAATCACCCGCAAATGGGCTTGGTCGATGATGCCAATGTAAGTGTTATTATTATCACTTACTTTCTCATTCCGATATTGATGAACTGATTTTTCAGAATATTTGTTGTTTGTGGCCTTATCCCGACTCTTTATTTTTACGCGTGCTTGCTCTATATGCGATGGAGCCAACAGGAGGACCAAATATGTCGAAATGGTTATAGTTTCACATCCTTGATAACATTCCCACATATCGTCATTGGGATGGTTGCCCTTATTATTGTTGAGTTCGTCTATCCGAAAAGGGGAAGGAGATAAGCATTTCATCGTGCAGAACCAGAAGGATGCAGCAGGGTTTCCAGCTTTCTCTAGGTACTTTTAGTCAAACCACATGGGCTCATTCTTTCTATCAATTTTGAAACAAATGGAATTCAATAGATACTGGGGGCCAGGATTGAGTTTAGCCCCCAGTCTTGCAGATCCTCTAATACCCTCTCTCACGATCGATAAAAAATAGAAAACGTAATTTTTATCACTGTATTGAATGGTCAGGATCTGTAGGGGGCCACAACCAGGAAAGGAAATGAGTTAATTTTTACAAAATAGGAAATAGACGCGAGAAGAAATTCAAAAGTGAGGGGGAAAAAAGAGAGACAATCTAGCTAATCTCGGAGAGGCAAGCGTCTATAGACCGTGCCTGACATCAGGACCTCCGAATTTCCTATAAGGAGGCTATTTCGACGTGTGGACTGCTAGCTTGGTAATTTCTCTCTCTGATTAGACTCAACCAGGAATCTGAATCTTACCACAACACATACAAACCTCCAACATGAAGGTCATCTTGTCAGCCTGTGCTCTTTTTGTCTCTCTATGTGCCGCAGCAAATTGTCAATCTGGCCTTGACTATTGCGCGTTTACTCTAATGGGAAAAGGTAATGTTTCATACCTTGTAACTCAGCTGTTTAATCTCTGCTTACAATTTTGTCGGACACAGGCAACTATCATCAAGAGATCTACGATGCCCTCAAACATGCCGACTGGCCCATCGACCCTATGCTGGTCAATTTCGACTACTACCTCTATCGCTGCCATGATGATGGTACAATCTCAAAGACAGAAAACTGTCCTTATGGATGCGTCGATGGTGGCAGCAACGAGAGTGACCATTGCGAGTAAGACTGTGGGTAGGGGACATCTTGTAAGGTTCTGAGCATTCAATGGGTATATCATGTCTCAATGAACATAACATATCAGATGGTGAAGGAAGCGATTTGTTTTGCGGACCTGTAAATATGCTAGGATATTTTTCCATTCAATTATTCAACTCCTTGCACTTTAGCTTTCACCCTATAAATCTATATTGAACAGCTCCCGTGCGTAGTTGTCCCCAGTTCGGTGGGTAGTTAAGTCGCATCTTTCTGTCCCAGGGAGCTTCTAATTGCCATAATCCTCTTACAGTTCTAACTTGAGATACATCATGTGGGTCAGATATGCTATCTAATGACACTCACTCTATTCTATGATGGTGGAGCCGAATATATATTCCTTCCGAAACCGAGCTCGATCTTCCCCAAAACTCTGTTATTATGGACCCCGTAAGAGGTAAGCGCGCGTGAACTTACAATATTTGAGTTAGGATACCTAAAGAGTAGGTAGGTGTACCAAGCATAAATGATACCCGCAGATACCACCATACCCCTGGTACGAAAGCTTAGCAAATTAGATGACCCTATGAGGATATAACTCTCAGCTGAGGCCTAGAGACTTGTTTTGGTTTCCTCCGGCTCGCCAATCAGCTTCAAAAATGTTCCAGGGACTTCACCAGTCAGATCACTGGCTTGCATACTTCGCCCTGTAGCCTTAAAAGACCACCGAGAGCACTCGCGCATAATACTATTTCCAGCCCAAGTAGTCAACAGCAGCGTGGTCGCCGGAGATATGCGCTTACCCTCAGAACTGGGCTCTGCCTGAACCTCCTCTAAGCTCTGCGCATCGTTCGCATTATCTTCAGCAGGACTAGTGACATCGATACCCAGGGCTTTAGCTAGTCGGCCATATTCAACCACATTCGACGTGAGAATGCAGTTCTTGTGTCCTTTGACGACGCCCGTGTCTTCCGTTCCAATCAGCAGCCCATCGACGTCCAGCAAAAATAGGATGGAGCGTGACCGGGCCTCTCGAATTACTTCCGCGACTACTTTGAGTATCGCACCGTTGCGACGGAGACCAGCCCCTATTATAAGTGCGTGGAGACGGACTTTCTGAACGAAACAAAGATAAAACAAAAACTAAACAAAAACATACAACAGTGAGGATTCGCTGGTGGTCACCCACCCAACTACTAACTCACCGGCGTGTGGCTTAAGCTTGATCAATAGTTCGGTGGGTGTCACCTAGGTGAGCAAGAGGGTGACGCCGCTTTTGATTGGCGTCACCCTGCACACCCAGGGTGAGTGTGGAATAGAGAGGGTGTGCACGAGGGAGGTGCGCGGGTGAGCGGGAGGGGCCATGATTATCCGGGTCAGCGCATTGGCCGCTCAGGCCGCTATACTAGGCTACAGTGATATACCATTGGGTATGGCTGCAACTCTGGAACATTTATCTCTTGGCCTATGCACAGCCTCGTTAGTGTGTTCTATCCTGGGAACTGGACAAGAGTATTTAGCTTATTGGGCGAATCTACTGCGGTACATCCGTCTATCTCCATATATTTCATATACTATAATTGAATTCGAAAACATATCGGGCCGGGGGCATAATACTAGAATTAAAAAGCAGATTACCATCACACAATCAAAGTTCTTTTTTTGAGTCTGTACCTACAAAAGCATGGTATTCCGATAGTATTATCTGCTGTACTGTCGAAGGAAGATCATTTATTAGGTGAATCACTACAGGATCAAATCTGGACAGCGATAAACCGACTTGTTAGAAAGCTATAGAAATAGAGAAAACTTATCGAGAGAATCAAGGGTTAGATGATTAACATAATTCGGCAAGTGAGGAATCTAGGGCTTCCGAGAAGCCACATGGATATAATGCAGTCATCTTCGATCTCGGGACTAGCAAAAGTTGGGCTCGCTCCCGTCGTCACTCGATCAGGGAAAACCCCGAGCAGACGACGACCCGCTCAGTTTAGAGTTAATAAACTTAGTAGAGGACACAAAACCTAGACTTTCGCACGACCCAGTCTGGGTCTGGGTCGAAACCTCATAACCCAGGCTCAACTCAGACCTAATGATTGGGGCCCCAGGAAACTCAGTTTAGGCCCAGTTTGACCCAGTTTTTGTATAAGAGGGGTCTTGGCGGTCATAAACCAGCTAAATCAGCTGAACTATGTACACAATTAGCGTGTTCGTATAGTTTGTAACCCAGTTTGGGGCCCCAGACCCAGTGTTGGGTCTGGGTTTTACTAGGTTGTGCGGAAGACCCCAGAATAGTTTTCTGTATTTTTTTCCATCCTCTAGTGGGCTGGCCTCCTACTTTTAGTCGTCTTAAGACTTGTTTATGGTTTTTTTTATCGATCAATCAATCAATCAAAGTTCAATTAACCTGTTGCGGTTTGACTAGTTGCGTATGACTATGCAGGCGCTTCATTCAGCTGAAGCAAGAACTCGAAGCCAAAACGCCGAGCGGGATCTCTCCCAGAGAGTATATACAGAGGCCACTCATAAAGAGTGCGGAATCAGCCCATTCCCATAAATGAAACCCATGCATAAGAAATAGCCATATAATGATTGTCGTGGGGTGCACCCCCTATCTTTCATCTCTCTCTCCCTCTTTCTCTCTCTGCTCTCTGCTCTCTCCCCTACCTCAGTTTCAACTGATGGTGATGTTGCCGTGGCTAGTTGGTTGGCATGTTTGTCGAATTTGGCTGATTTCTCGTATCACAGCATCGTTCTCGTCATTGGTTGATACCGATTGTCTTCCACAACTAGATTCATTGCCGCGATGCCTGTCGGTTCGTCGTCGTCATCCTCCTCGATCCTAACTTGTTGAAATTACTGGAGGAGACCTGTTCGGTGCATAAAGTTGACCATGTAGCGGATGGCTTGCGGGTTAGACATGATATTGTCATAGTCTCGTTCCATAAATTCGATTCCGATCCCTTCCAACTGCTCCCACAATTTAGTACGTGGCACACACAACGTACCTCAGACACTGCATGAGGATATGTCTTGGCGTTTGTGGACCCTCATCACAATTACACCGGTCAGTCTCAGCTGCCTTGATTTTGAACAAGAAGTGTCAATGGCCAATTCGCATTGTACCCATCTGGATCAAGATTGCACGCGGTGTCTTCGACAGCCCTTCGTATAAACGGAGGGTCTTCTTGTTTGGCGCCTGCGCCAAGCGCTTCGTCGGGGCGGAGGTTGTCTCCCGCTCCCACTGCTTCTCCCACCTCTCTCTGATTCGTTGGCGTGCCGCTCTCTTAGCAGCTGTAGCAAGGCGGATTATCGGATTATCGGATTATCCGCCCCGGTCGCAACTCCCACCCCTACACCAAGAAGCGCTGCACTTTTTGCTTCTAAATTCCTAGCAACTTGGTCCTAGCAGAGTAAAGAGAGAAAAAGAGACGGAAGTGAGAAATGGAAGGTGGAGGGTGCACTCCATAACAATCATTATGTGTTAATTTCTTATATATGGGCTCGGATGGATTTGGATTTGTGGGGATCTACGGGGTATTATACGATCAGTATATGTATACTCGAGAGGGACCCCACTCGGCGTTGGGCTTCGAGTTCTTACTTCAGTTGCATGAAGTACATGTATAGTCATAAGCAACGAGTTAAACCGCAACAGGTTAATTGAACTTGAATTGATTGATTGATTCATCCTAACAAAGTGATATTCAATACTTATTAATTTGCACCGTAAGGGTTGACACTCCTGCAACCTGCGAAGCTGGGATCAACTGAGACCTGCTAGGATGCCGATCTTGATTACTCGTGGATGGCCACGCCGAAGGTTGACACTCATATACCGTATATAGTTCAAATACATAGTCATCACCGTCTCTTATAGTTTTGACACCCACATTTTCCATATTGTCCCCTACGTAGTTTAGCTCTAGTTATAGAGAAAAGGAAAAGAAGACTTACCCATGCCACCATCCGTGTACTCTTTCTCGAGTTTCATGACGGTTGTGATTGCCCTTATTATTTTTCTTGATTCCACCGAAATTTGAGGAGATTTTTCTAAACATGAAGGAGGGATAGGCCGCGTGCGTAAGACGGAGAGAATCGATCGTATTATTTCTGCTTTGAAGCTTAGTGGTTGTTAAATATATTGTAGAGGCTTTTATACCTTTCTCATTTCGTGCGTTTTTTGACTCATCCAACGTTCTAGAAATACAGCAGAGCTGATCAAGACCAAGATTTCCAAGAGAATTTTGATAATACTCTCTGAGCTTATCGGTTGCGCTCATCGGTATGGGCTTGAATTCGGCATCTGGCATCGCGAGGAGTTTTTGAGATGAGTAGAAGAATAAATTAGGGAAGTAGCTAACTTTATATAATTCAACAGGCCCGCAGCGGTTTGACCATAGTAGGCACAATACAGACTAACAAACATCCTCTGAATCTCCTACCAACATATCCGCGAGATCTCGATATTTTCCAATATAAATCTAAAATTGGTAGGGTCTCTTAATAAGCAAGGTCTTTTAGATCTTTTCAACAAAAAAAACTTCAGATTCATTGCAGCAAACCTCCTATTTTGCATATATTCTAATCCGGGGACTTCAATTGCTCGAAGTCACTAGATCTATACGTGTTAGACAGCACACGCGAACTAACCATATTAGGCTAGAACTAAAGACCACGTTTTGCATGGTCAATCAGCACGCATTGACCACACTTTATCTCTATGCCCCGATTTCTGGAAACTCGTGCGGAATATAGTAAAGATCAAATTCATTTATGGCAAAAAAACCCAGTCATCTCCTAAAGGCACTCAATGCTTTTGTGGTGTTATACAAATAGGATCATATCAATTTAGTCTGGAGACGTTCTCTATCATCCCATCACTTCCAGCAGAAGATTGAGTAGTTTCCAAAGCTTCCAGCATCCACGGGTACGATACATTCGCGCAAGTAATGAGAGATGTTACCTTATCCAAATGGGAAGCGCCTGCCTGGACTTGAATCTGACTGCGGGATGGTAGCCTTTTTTCCCTGATCTCTTGATTGAGCTTGTTTCTCATTCCGTTGACGCAATCACGTTGGCGGTTTGGGAACTGGCGGTTGAAGCTCACAAAGACATCATCCCAATGTTGGCAAAGAACAGCGCGTTTATACCAAATAAACCAAAGCTCCTCGTCATTGTATCTTTGATAGTAGCCATTGTGGTTGCTGTTGTGACCAGACTCTTTCGTAGATAGGTCCGAAAATTGAACTTGATTGGAATGGATGTCCATCCACGAATAAGATACCTTCGCGTGTTGAATGATAGATTCCGTGGAAATGTTTTCACCTAAGTGAACTCGCAGCCGATTGATCGATCGATAGTACGCGGCTTGTACTGTCTCGGCATGATGACGTTTCCGCGTCGGGAATTGGTGGTTAAAGTCCACAAGTATATTGTCCCATTGTTGGCGATGAACAGTGCGTTTGTACCAAATAAACCAAAGCTCCTCGTCACTGTATCTTCGACTGTGGCCATTGTGATTGCTGATGTGACCAGACTCTTTCGTAGAGACATGTGATAGGTCCGAAAGTTGCACCTGCTTGGAATGGGTCCTACCGGATTGGACCGTTGATTTCGGCGTCACCGTATAAACACGACCAAAGATATTCGACGTTTCCCTTGGTTGCCAGCAAACATCCGGATCGTTTAACAATGAACTAATCCTCATTGGATCAAGTGGCTTCTTGACGACTGCGGCATCATATTCGCCACGTCTATAAAGTTTAGTTTAGAGCTTGGTTGAAAGTATCTAGCAAAGAAACAGATCCTACCTAGTATTGGGCATGTTCCCGTTAGGACGAATTGTATAGAACAGTATGGTATTATAGGAGAGCCCAGTTCCTCTTTGCGTTTGATATCTTCAAACGCGATGTGAGTATTGCACTTTATATATGCAGTCAATTAACTTACACCTAACAATAGCGGGTGCCGATGGCATACCTGAGTGTGATCATGGAAAAATGGGAAGTCGTAAAGTGCACAAAAAAGGAGAAAATATATATATCAAATTATTATATCATATGCGACCCCATCACTGATAATGCGTTGCACCTTCTAGCGACGAGCAAACATTAGACTCATTATGGCTACATTTATCTGGATAGTAGAATTCAATTATCGAAGTATTTAGGCTTGGATATCAAAAAATTATGAAAAGTAACGCTCCTGAGAATAAAGTGAGACCAGAAGGGGACGTAATGGAAGCTCTGTGAATTAAGACTAAGCCCCATATTCAAGGATCACCTTTTTCCGATGTGTGATTGACCATTTAGAAAATGAGTGTATCTTTCTCCCATATCAATAATCCTCCCGTTGACAAGTCGAATATTTGGAGGGATATAGGGGAGAATAATAATGCTATTATCCGCATTGCTGTGTGATTTTATAGAGTCAATTTGAGGTCCGCTTTCTAAAAGGTTGCAGTGTAAGAAGGGAATATCAAAAGTTTTGTGCTTTGTAAGAAACACTCACTATAACAGTCTCTGGCTAGATTAATTTGCGACGCTTCTCCCTTCTCCGTTTGCCTTGAATGGCTAGATGAAGGTTTGGTATTTTTCGACTCATATATCGCAGGTTCAGTCAGCCTATAGAGGTTTGCAGAATTTGGGATCGTTTGCTCTGGGTCTTCGTCTATTTTCTGCTCTATTTTTGATCCCCAAGATGCCTGCATGCAGCTTGGTAGAAGCAATAGAAACGAGAAAGAACCCAAGCACTCCATAGGGCCGATTTGTCAGACAGATAAAAAAAATAATATAGAGTATATGGTTGAAGCTTAAACTTAGGCTTATTTTATTTTGTTAACACCGGCGGGATCTAAACGAACCTCTTTATACCTCCCAAGAGAGCCATCGATCGTACCTTATCATTGAACCAAAGTAATTACCAGATATGCCTGTCGCAGTCTAGGTGCATGTTCTTTGAAATCATCTCGTACAAAATGTATGGCCGAGATTATATTAAACAAGATCGAACTATCTAGATCTGGTACAACAAAATTGACGTCTAGCCCTAGGGCTCTCTCCTTCCAGGCTACATGGCGATAGGACAAGGCCCTGTAAGCCTGGGGCGGGCCAAGTACATGGGTGATCGGGGATGCCGGGGATTAAACGGCTATCAATAGCTCCCGGTAAGCTGTAATATCGAGGTTAAATTACTAGAGTCTAGGACGCGGATAATCAGTGAAGCCGATTTGACTGGCTATTAATTACCCAAGAGAATATGCCTCATCAGTGGATTTCAATGGTGCCCGAGAAGACCGTACAAAGGACTATCTAACAGCCTTCAAAGCATAAAGTGAGGCCCACTGGAATAAAAAATAGTGACTCTCGTTTTGTCGAAGGATTTCATGGAGATATCTAAATGCCTAATTCAGATTTTTGATTGTTGAAAAAGCTAAGACTGAGTAAACCACAGAAGAACCATTTCTAAATCATGTTACCAAGGGCATATTGTTGGATGACTTCCCGCACACGGTTTGGCAGAGATATATCATTCGAGATAGGTGGTGGAAGAAAACGCGGTGAGTGTCCTACTGTCCGCATGGCTCCTATTCGAATCGAGTATGACCTACAATGTTAGCTGACCTCAGATATATGAGTGGATAGTCTTTGTGCTTACATAAAATAAGGGCTCTAGATGTAGGCTTGTTCTTGCTTAATAAACCCCTGTGTCAGTCGTTCAGTCTATGCAAAAAAGGGTAGATGACTTACTCATATATGACAAGCTTTAGCCCTCCGAGGCGTGGATCATTCTGGATATTATGGATAACCTGCGGGCTCTGCAGTATAGCAGGTAGAAACCACCTAGGGGTGTGAGTGACCCACCTTGAAGATCCGCCCCAGTAGTGCTTTCATCTCTTACGCTTTCGTCAGACAAGTAGGCCGTGGTACTAGCGGGTGAGACTCACAGTAGTATGCCTTCTCTGGAGTATTTTTTCCAACAGATGAAGATCGCACGGCTTAGGTCGACCATTCGGACGTTAGAAATGAATGTGTTAAATTCAGGATTGAGTTCGATTATCTTAATGTCGAGGAATTTAGGTGGAGCCATATCGGGACTTGTTTTGTGATAAGGAGAAATGTTAAATCACAGGGCTCGAGGATGAGGCCTTATGGAGGAAATCAAAGAGGGGTGTGAATGGACCTACTTATATCGTCCAAGGTGACCATCTATTACACTTTGTCATTACCAAAAGTTCTAGCCATGGTGAGTACCCGCTCCTCTCTCTCACTAGGGGCGATAATATGCTTACATCAGAAGCCTACCCTGCCTCCCTTCCAATTACTTCATAGACCGGCAGGAATTGCTTTGAAAGCAATGCTATCTTTGAAAATTGAATATCCGTCAGTCTCGGAAATGACGTCCTCGGAAAATTCTAGCCCAGATGCTAGGATGCTAGCAGATATCTGCAAGACTTTGAGAAGCAGAAGATGTCAGGGATCATATCTTAATGAAGGTTTTTCTCTCGAAAATGACTTAAGCGTCTACGTGGAGAATAGTTTACAACATCTAAGTTATGACACTGTTTTGATGCTGGCACTGATAACTTGGCATTTTGATGCTTCATCTTCTGAAGCATCACATGGCTTGATTACTTTCTTGCGATGGCCTTGTAATAGTGCAGTGAGGAGAATACTTCAAGGTCGATACCGAAGCTTTATGGGTGAAGTGGACACTTCGAACTTGAATTTTTTATTTGGCCTAGATTGAGGTATTTCTGTTAATCAGTGCAAGAGCAAACCACAAGTTGCAAAATAATCGGACCATCGCCGCTCAGAGGAACGAATTTTAGAATCCCATATTTTCCTGAAACGCGTAGAATACTAGTCTCTAGTAACTCAAAGTCCACTAGGAAGGCATCGTTAGTATTGCTATGGCCATTCTAGGCTGGATTTTGAGCGCCAAGCTCCTAGGGGGAAATAGCAACTCATGAGCAAGTGAATCGGTGCTGAGTCTCTGGCAGAAGCACCAGGGCCCAACTCAACGTAAAAGGTGACAGATATGTAGACATTCAGGGATGATTGATCTGCTTGACCAATACGGTCTTCGGCCGAGGCGCTATGCTCCAAATGGACAAAACCGACCCCCAGGGGGACACTATTTTTCGTTTTAGGCTAGGGATGGTGCGGGGAAACGATAAACCGCAAAACTCCCACCCCAATTTTCCGCATCCTTCATTTTCCTTAATCATTTAACCTCAAGAGTTCACGGACAAGAAGTTTTGTGCACCCAAAACCTCGTTATGGATCTGATGCGTATTCGAGAACGGGCGCTCTCACTTCAAATGGGACAATTAAATGACTTGGAGTACCTTCAAGAGGTAGGAGACTCCTCAAGTTAGCGTGGGGCAATGTACTAATAGAGAAGGAAGGTTGTCGAATTTATTGTTCGCAATAAAAACCATCTTCCCATAGGTATCAGTCAACCATTACATGAGGCATTTGGCAGACAACATCCAGAGAGGTCTTCTGTTGGTGCATCCCGTGAGGAGGCTTTAAAACGGTTACAAAATGTTGGTTTAGCAGACATACAGATACCGGAATATTTCCAGGAAGCGATTCCCTTATACGAAGAGAACGGGGGGTTATTCTGGACCAGCGAAATATCCAGCAACACGAAACAGACTTTTCGAAATGTTCTTAGTACTCTTTATCATTCAAATAAAAGACGGACCTCCGCTGACAGCATTCGACGAGCATTGTACTGCATGGCACTATACCTCGTTATACAGAGTATAATAGAGCTTCATGCATCGAAGAGGTTCACAACCAAAATTGCAAATTTTTGTGCAAATTTGATACTCGAGGGGGACGGCAATGCGCGTGACAATCTCCACGATATAGCTGAGGAGCTAAAAGCTGACTACAAAATTGGCGGTGTTTACGATTCTTATGCACAGAAGGCGGGTAATGGCATCATTTTCTATCTTTTTGTTTTACCATCCAAACTGTGAGCTAAGATTCCTCTCCTCTTGCGACTACGAGAACATCCTGTTGACCTCGGGAAAGATATGAAAAGTGCCTGAACAAAACAAGTGATGTGGATATCGTCCTTAACCACTACAGTTCACTTGGCTTCCAACCAGAAGCTTCTACAACATCTGCGGCAAACAGCATAGTGAGGTTCATCACAAACCAGTTCTATTCGCAGGTATCCATCTTTAAATCGAATGAAAGTGACCAAAACATCAAACCAACACGGAAAAATTGCCAAAAAACGCGGATTCACAAAAAGCGTTCCCCAAAAACATCGAAACGGACTGGAAAGACTCCTCAGTTTCATTCACCAAGACCTGCATTTTGCCAGCCATCTGGCCAAAGCGCCGAGACGCCCGTTGATAGTAGTCTCCACGCTACAAACCCCAATGGCGCAGAATTTCCGAGTCCAATGAACTCGCCGAACCTTGGGTTGTCGCACTTTAGCACGGCAAATGTGGGAGCCTCTGCCCACTCCTTTCATGAATACGAAGCTCCTATTGCAGCAGTTGAACCCATGCAACAAGCGAGATCTAGGGTATCAAGCTTGTCGAATGCGCCTCTTTTAGACACCAGCCAAACTCAACCACTCTCTTCAAGCATGATGTTCGATGATGCCGCCCACTTGATGAATGTATTCCAATTGGAGCCGATGACATATGGTGCCAATGCTGCTCAGCTAATGCACGAATTCAATCTAGAAACCTTCAGCCCGGAAGACTACACCAATGCTGCCCAGCTGATGCAGCAATTTGACATGTTTAGCGGATACTATAGTCAGCAGCATTTGTGAGAAGGCGAAACATGGTTTAATGACGTATCTGTACATACTTTGATATTTTTTCAATTCAGAAATTGATTGATTAGCATGAATGCTCCTATCCAGCATCATTGAATATCCGACATCGCCAATGCGACCAGTTTTCCATCATCCTCAACATGGACATCACATTCTTTCAAAATGACGTAATAGTGCTCCATGTCGACTTCAACACCGCCAATTGTCGACTTGCCTTTGCAGAATATTGGCTCGATTATCATGAAATTGGTGCCTATTGGTATATACCCAGGTAGAAATACAAGTCCGCCGCGTCTGCAGCGAGCTATCTTCGGTGGGCGCCCAGGAAAATTATTTGCATTCTGTTCATAAATTGTCAGTGAAAGTTGGTTATCAATGGCAGAGGCCCTACTTTTTCGTAGTCGAGTGCTACGCCACGTATGAGTTCATTGCAAGCACTAGTATCCGTGAACGTGGGCTGGAACGCGGCGGCCTTCGTCTTTTTTGCCAGAGCGTCCTGGGCAATTTTTTCTGTATTTTTTTCCACTTCCATCCATGCCTTGTTTTTATTGAGAAGCGCGACGCTTTGCAGACGCAGGACAGCGGGAGAGAAAGTATCACTTGCAGACATTGTGCGTGTCGATCATTCGATTCTCGAGGCGGTAGAAATTACTAAAGAAGATAGATCCTTGAATTAGCAAATTGCTGGTTGAAGAGATGCCTGCGAGACTATAAGTTGGGGACTCACTTTAATCATAGCAATCATAAACCTCCAAAGACTTTGCTTGTGTCCATACTAATAGAATTTGGAGGGGTGAGAGGGGCGGTCCATTTCGCGTCACCTGACTCACCACATTCAAAAAGTCATTGCTGCCCAAATTGGACATGACTAATCTGACCAATTAGCTCACTAATAAAGGAACGCTGGTGATCACTTTCGCAATCACCCAGCGATGGGCTGGCAACGCTACATGGTGCTGGGGTTAGACCATTCACGAATTCCACTTAAGTATAGTATCTTGCGACAAATTACAAAGCATTGTACCTCACTAGAACCTCTTTGAGACGTGGTATTCATTTTAAGACAGGATTCCCCATCCAGTTCCGTCTAGATCACTAAGAAACGAACCATAGCTGACCCCAAAAAAGAAAGGCTAACTTAATGAATCTTCTACACCAAACAAGCTACTATGACAGCCTATGCGTGGGGCAGTCGTCAAGGATTTGTTTGAATTATTACCAAGTCTTTGCAAACCGGAAAATCAAATGGACCGTTATGCTAACTGTACCATACAAAAGTATATACATTGCTTAATCAGCTATGTCCGCACAGACTGGAAAAAGAGCGGAATTTGTCAATTTAGTTAGTTGGTTAGAGAGTTTACGTATGTCATATTTTACCATACATTGTCGTACCCATCTATTTCTGTTAGATATCAATGATCATCGCCAGCCAAAACCACATTAACTGATACTTGGAGGATCATGTGTCACAAGCTCGTCGAGACAATTGAACACCTATGCAGACATAGAGTTGAGTTTTACGGGAGGATTATAGAGCTTGATAGCTGCAACAATTGCGGCATTATCTAGAATACAGAGCATCCCAGCAATGGAAAGTAATGAAAACGGAAGAAGGAATGAAGCGAAGTAGTGAAGAGGTCCAAGCACCTAGCGTACAGACAGGTCCCACCTCAAGTTGTCTGTTTTTATGGGAAGAACCACAAACCGGCTGGCAAGATAATTCCATTGCACAGCCTACATGGGGTTCTTGGAATCTGTGCCTATCAGACACTAGTCACATGTCGTATTATGTCTTGCGCATTAGCGCAGCGCCAAAATTATGTGGGATCCAATCTCTAGGAAAATCGAGGCAAAGGGTTCGGTATCAATTAACTCAACACCATGGCTATCCCGATCGAAATACGAAGAACTTCACGGGAATATGTGCTGTCGGGCATGACTAAACTGCCACCATATCGCTGTTTTCCTAGGCCCTACCTTATTTAAGACGCCAAACCGACCCGCATTTTATCACTTCAATCAGTGTCCTCTACTCGTATCCTTGCTATTTTTCATTGACATAGCTTGGCTACTACATTATCCTTAAACAAAATGTCGGATATCGATCCCAACGCACGAAAGGAAGTTAACAACGCGCTTATTAGCTCGGGTAGCGCTGCCGTCGGGCAGATGGTTGACACCGGCAACTCCTCTGTTCAGAAGCGTCAAAGGAACAAAGAGGAGAAAGAGAGACGCGAGGCCGCTGCGAGAGCTGCTAAGCAGGAAGCAGATGCTGCTGCTGCTGCTGCTGCTGCTGTTAGTCCACAACCCCTTTAACTCAACATTCAAGAAGTTGAAATTTCCAATCCTGTCATGTACTGACGTATATCAATTAATAGAAGGGCGGCGCCTCTAACTAGAGAGCTGTCTACCGTTGCACTCACGGCCCTCCTCCCTATCAGACATTACCGTCGTTACCAATGACACATTTTCACGCCTGGTTTGGAGAATTCCGATCCGCCGGTGCAGGGGGTATTGCTACGGTGACTCTTTGTCCTATTTGAGTTTTATATGAGTTTTTGCTGGTATTTCAACAATACTATTTATTAGTCATCGATTTTCCCCCTCAGTAATTGCTGGTGTATTCTCCGTCTTGAATGAGTTAGATCTCTCTATAGAAACAGCTTGTTCGATGTACGTTAAGGATAGAGAGCTAAGTCATTGATCATATATGCTGTATGTACATTCTAATTGTACTCGCCTGAAACAAAGTTTGAAGCTTCGTAGATCCGATCCACTTTGGGTGCTTGATTCGAGTGCCCCGAATGGCTGACCTAATGGTCTTGGCTTTATTATTATTTTTTTCATGTGGTTGACCTAATCTAAAAAAACGCCCAGTGATCATCCTTTATAGCCAGCCCCGATAAAGCTGCGACAAGAAAATATTGCGGTGACGCCTAAGGCATTCAAAGACCGACTATAAAAAACGCGGCATAGCCCCTCATCCATCTCGCTCCTCTCTCTACCACCTCACTCACAGAAGTGGGATTCTACCACACACTCATCCCCCACCACTACCTAAGCCTACCTTCACGTTATGGAGACCAACGCCCTTCTCGATCTCGTACACGTGGCGCAGGACCAGCTCTGGGTTGACAAGGTGAATGAAGCCCACCTAACAGGCCGTCTTTGCCAGTGGGTGTCGGCTTTCCATCCAGATAAACTTCCTTGTGTGCTTGATGGTACCTTTCACCATGGCGCATTTAATGCCGGCATGAAGATGGTCTTTACTGACAGCACGGCATGGATGGTTCGTTTCCCTCGTTTTGGGATGGTCTGTGAAAACTACACCGATGAGAAGGTTGCTATGGAAGTGTCGGCTCTAAATCTCATTCGCAACGCGAGTTCTATTCCCGTCCCAACCGTCCGGGCTTGGGGTCCGGCTGCCAGCAATATACTTGGTCTAGGCCCTTTCATTATGATGGACTTTATAAACGGTGTGAGCCTCAGCAGCCTTCTCCAAGACCCCGATACCGAGCGACCTAGCCGAGTCATAAGGGACGATATCAGTGATGGTGATATTGAGGTTATCTACAGACAGCTAGCAAATTTCCTACTTCAACTTTTCAAACTGGATTTCGACCAGATCGGCAGCCTACCATCACCACAGACTGGAAGCCACAGCCCTACGCCACCGCGGCCGTTAACATTTAAGGCACAGACCATCCTACAAGACGGAGGAGTTGATACTTTCGGTACGTATTTTTATCCTCCTTTTCCCTTCTTATCCCTATAGCTCTTATATAGTACTATAGCTAAACAACTGATATTTAGGCGACCGAGCCAAAGGGTTTGCTACGACAACCGAGTATTTTCAATATATCGTCGGACAGGATTGGAAGCAGCTTGTTCATCAACCAAACTCAACTGATGGTTTCTATGATGCTCAGAACAAATACCTCGCGTTCAAAGTTCTAGGAAGTCTAATACCTGAATTTATTAACGCGAAGTATGACCGTTGCAAGTTTAAACTAATCTGCGACGACCTCGGCTTGGCAAATCTGATTGTCCGGAGCACGGAAGATCTCACTGTCGTCGGATTAGTGGACCTTGAGTGGTCCTATATCGGACCTGCCCAATTGTTTGGCTCGGCACCGTGGTGGCTTCTCCAAGACAGGCCCGTTAATAGTATGTGGGATTGCGAGAGCAAAGAGCTGCCTAAGATCGGGTCCCGGTACTTCAGATACTTAGAGATCTATATACGTATCTTGGAGGAGGAAGAGTCAAAAATGCAAGGGTATGAAGAGAGGGAGCTCTCTAGTCTCGTCAAGTGGTCGCAAGCCTCCGGGGCTATGTGGCTACATATGCTTCTTTCATCCGGCTTTAACGACCAATACAGCTTTCCATTTACGCAGTTACGTGCACATCTGGGGGCTACTGAGTGGGCAAGGCGTGGGATGGAATTCGACAACTCAAAAGAGCTTGAGGAATTCGCAGCGCAGAAGGTGAAGCAGATGGGTATGTATGAAGAAGCCTTGGAGGAGATGGAAAAGAGCAAGGCGCTCATGGACACCGGGAATATGACAAAGGAGATGTTCATTGCCAACTATGAGCACGTCATTTATGAACACTCACTCGCACCTTAAACGGTTCTGAATGGCAACAGCTTTACAGCATCGGTTACAGAAGATCGTGAGGAACAGCTCTCATGATCATTCCAACTATGCAGCGCGCCTAGACGACTTTGGGGCACTGCTGATTTCTCGTGAGGAAGAAGCTCCATGATATATTGCCATCTGGCTGTTTGTGTTGAGGAACAATGTAGGGGTAGTGGAATAGTGGGGATCAAAAATTGATAGAGGTCAAAGTCCTGATGTATTTACGCGGATGCGGGCAAAATTCTTTGTACGTTATCATGCATAATTGAGTTGCTAATCCAATAATTAAGCACGCTTTCATGTCACCCGAAGACGTTTTGGATCTTCCGCCTCTGTTTGACATAGCTGTCGTTTTACCGCGCGTGACTGCTGCAAAGTCGGTCGACATGTCAATGTGGAACGGTGAAAATCGATGATCAATGCTCGGCCAAGTTCTGCATTCCAAAGAACATTGTCAAGCCGTAAATCTTCGTGAATGATTCCCAAGTCTTTGATTTCTTTATTTGATCTGCGAATTTCATGGCGGAGCCAAGGCTCTAGCTCCATCGATGCTGTACTTTCTCCCCCCATCCCATCACAAGCATATGACAAATCTCTCCAGCTCCATGAAGAAAATATATTTTCGCCAAGTCGATCGTACCCAGAAAAATAGGCACAGCAGACCCTTGGGCCTTGCGTAGGATTTGATATACCTGCGCCTCGCGGGAAACTTCTTCCCAAAGCCCCGACGTGGTTCCTTTTCCGACGACAGTGTAGCCGTATACGGCACAAGTAAGTTTGAACGGCGCACCGTACGCCCCACAACCTCCAAGGGGTATACATCGGTCAATGTTTTCGTCCAATTGTCCTTTTAGTAAACGCACCAAATCTTCTGAGGTAATCGGATGTTGGAGATCATCTTTGCTTCGACGATGGAGTACTACATTTGGACAGCAGTCATCTAGAACACCGCCAGACTGCAAGCCGAGTAAACATCGCTGCGTGCAAAATTGCGCATTGCGATATAGCACCTGATTTCCTGAATTATGCCCCGGGTCCCGTTGACGACCTGCTCGTTGGGCAGATGGGGAGGATGCAACTTGGCTGAAGCCCCTTTTGCGGCCTATTGCTTGGTTCGAATCGGAGCCTGATGAGTCTGGAGATTGCGAGCGATGCGGTACACCTGACGGTGCACAGCTGGCCTGAGACCTTGTAGGCAATCGGCGAGCTGCTATCCTTGGGGAATCCGGCGGAGATGACGGAGGCTCATAAGCCGAACCAGATTCCGGACTTGTGTAATCGAGGACTGTACTATCAGAGTGGGCAAGGGTCTGCTGTAGTTCCATTTTAGGAATCTGAGAACGAGTGTGGTCAAAGCCGGTCGTCCAAAGAGGAAGCTCTGGTCGTGTGGAATTTCGCCATTCCTGGCCACGCGTAGGTGAGCGAAATGCCATCAAACACAGACATAGGGTTCTTGCAACAGAAGTCTTCGGTTGTTGGAAACTATCTTCAGCATCTCCATCTACCTCGCTGTTAGGATCACATAAGAAATAATAAAGCGTGCTAGGATCATTATATGGAACACGGAGGAGGACACGAGCAATCCCGTTGGTCACGTAGGAGTACTCAAGCCCTTCCTGAATCATCACATGGTACTCCTGGACAAGAGCAGAGCAGACGAGGCGCTCTGCATTATACCTCAACTTCGCTTCCTTATTCGTAGGTATTTTATTCGATTTGACCATATCCTTCCATAAGTCCATTGGTCGAAGCCCTATCCGAAGGGTTGCGACGGGAAGCTTGTGGGGTGGCTTGTACTCGACAGTGGTGAGTAGAGTTGCGGTGTTGCCGTCGACACGATGGATGCAGAACTGATCAGGTCTTGGGTTGGGTACACTTGACGGTTGGCTTGCATCCGCTTCAGTGGTATCGTTGTCGTTCAAGGAATTAGTATGGTTACTGAACTGGATGCCATCCCCAAGGCAGAGCTCGTCGCGAGCAGCGGGTAGTTTGCATAACTCAGTAACTATATCGTGGACATGTTCTTCCACGGCGAATCGCTCATAGGCTTCGAGTTCTTGCTCACAGCTAATAGGCTTACGACAAAGTCGTCGGCCTAAGCCTTGTAACTCATGTAAGGATGAGAACGATTGTGGCGCCCCCCTGGTGTCAATTGAAGGTAGCTGTAGACGGTCCTATAGAGCTCTGACAGTTGTTCTGGGCAATCGGTCCAGTGTTCCAACCGTGTTGGGCAATATTTCCCGGTGGGAAGGGGTATTCTCCCTGTGGTCGAACGAGATGGTGTGTCGGCTCTCAACGGTCGAGAGAGCAGGATATGGGAATGGTACAAGAACTCCACGAAATTGGTCGGTCGGGTGCGCGCTTCAGCTTGTTCCCGTTTCTCTTTCTCCTGTCTGCCCTCATCTTCCGCCTGCTTCCGCCTCTCATGTTCCTGTAGATAAAGAGACTTGTAATCCGGAGAGCTGTTGGCGGCCATCGACTTGGTTAGAAAAGGGAAACAAGCAATGGGTGGAGACAATCACGGTATGTCGCCGACCGGTGGACACCTGGGCAACCCAGCAGGCTTACGTTAGCTGACCACGGCTCACGGCAGAGGTATTTTCTCGGAAATGACGTATGCCTACTCAATATCGTGCAATAAACTCACATTTCGGCTAAACTAATTTCCGACTGTCCTCATAGCAGCCAATCAATCCTGGCAGGATGCGCAGGACGTTTTCGCAAGCGGTTAAGAGGGAAAGGACATTGGGTACTGGAAGAGGGGGTGTAATTTTAATGTTCTAGGGCCCTCGCACGTATAGTAAAGAAGTTTATTAACGAGTAGAATTGGATTTGTTTCGCTTCAAAGTAGCTCGTGCATAAATAGACTGCTTAGAAATATGATCTTATGGTTGAGTAATCCACCCTGTAGGACCTGATTCAAGTCCTATAGGATGGATCTGTGTACTGGGGACACACCACCATTTGTCGCCGGGAGCGGGCTCTGGTACGCAATCCCCGCATAGCAGCATGTATATACTTAGCGACCTACATCGGGTTAATGAATTCATCATCATCAGCATCAACCACCGCCCGGTTATTGTTTAATTCCGAGGCGACGCCCTTGCCGACCAGGATGCCTCCGCACGAATTCTCATGGAGTGTCTTGTGATATATTTAAATTTATAGCTGACAGATGAGATCATGGAGCACAATAATTTACGTGCTGAAACTATCATGGTATATGAGAGAGATCAACCACACTGGAGAGATATATTTTACGCGCTTAGGCAGCATACGATTTTTATCTATTCGCCTGGGTGATAGAGGACCGTTTAAATAAAAATATGACTTCTCTCTCGTATTCACGCTGGTGGAATGGAAAAACCTGGCAGGGAAAAACCACACCCAGAGAGATCTATGATAGACACTGCCACTACCGTTAAACCATAAAGCTCCACAGAACCATGGGAATATGGTAGTAAATTCAGTACACTCGACAACCGATGGCCTTTTAGACAGTAGTGCATGACCCTGTCAATACGGTGGACACAGTTGAAGGCTTCGACTGGGTAGAAGTGCTTGCTGTTGACGAGGAAGAATCAGATGAAGTCGAGGCAGATGATACAGACGAGGAAGAATCAAATGAGGTCGAGGTGGATGATACGGACGAGGAAGAATCAGATGAGGTCGAGGTGGATGATACGGACGAGGAAGAATCAGATGAGGTGGACGTGGATGATACGGACGAGGAACTTATGGATAGCAAGTCGGAAGCATTGCACCAACTTCCAACTTTCAATCCTCGATCCAGTTTACATGCTGCCTTTTTGCCACCTTGATTGAAAAATGTGACAAGGCCATCATTGTTCACTTGTATCCATGCGACTGGGTGACTATCCTCTGTGCCGCATGTGTCCACATTAAGCACTGTAAAGTCCTTGCGGACACCTTTTATAACCTTGCTTAGATCTAGTGTTATGTTAGCATCGTATAATCGTATAGTGGTGTTCATACGCACCGGAACAGTCATCCCCGTCGCGTAGACCAAAAGCTGCCGAGGATCCTGTGCAACCATGATTATCCTCGGACCACATGACGCATTGACCGTTATAATCAACGACAGTAAGCGTACCGCCTAATGATGCCCTTACGTAGAGGCTGACGAAGAGTAGAAAGATAGAGAATACCATTTTGTGAACCAAGAAAACTTCTTGTAAAATGCGATATGTCCTTTTATAATTATGGGAACAATGCTTAACTATAAAACACGTCATGGGATAATACCTTGCTATATATTGATATCTACAACAGCTGATTATCAAACAGTGTCGGCGGAAAATAGCTTTAATCGATACACGTTTGAGGTGTCGGCTTGCCGCGCCTAAACAGAGGAGGCAACTGCCTAAAAATTTGGTCAGAAGATCAAGAAAATTGGCCAATTATCATATTGTACTGTATATCGTTTTGACAAAGGTTTTGGGTAAATAATATCAGCCATTCGCCCATCCATTATAGGCTCATGAAAAGCAATGGGGCTGGGTTACTGGAAAAGTGAATCAACCCTATGCCTAGAGCTTGAACAAACAATCCCAAACCGTGCCCTCTCTTTTCCCGGCGAAACTAATGGCAAAGCCTATAGTGGCATGCCATGACCAAAACAGTGTCCTATCATGCAGAATGGTGTTGCAAATCACCCGTCTGGTGCTCGAACTATCCACAATTTAAGTGGGTCAATTCTTTGGCAAAGCCTGGCGTAGATCGATCATCCTTTTAGGTTGCGCGAGCTATACAAAAAGGCAACAGCTTTGCTTCATTTGACTAGATAGGATGGTGTCCGCATTAAATTAATAAGGTTATACCGGCGGATACCTAACCTCGCAATCCAAAATGTCTTCACAAATGAACACCCCAAGTGGTGCTGCGTCCCGCGATAGTGCGGTAAGTAGAAAATGGCACTTAATGCACTAGTCTGAATCTCATAAGACTTTGATAGGCAAATGCTTTCAATTTGATTGAGAAACTTCTACACCAAGATCAAGCGTCCAGACATTACCAGGGGCGCTTAGAATCTAGGATAGATAGCGATGCTGCTGCATACCAGACCTTGAACACCCACTGCATTGAGGTAGAAAGAAAGGCATCTGCTCTAGAGTATACAAGATCGCAATACGAATCCTCTTTACGTGTTGCCGCCGAAACATGCCAAACGATATCTCGTGATCTCTACCTAGAGCGAACCAAGCTACTACAGCTAGAATCCCGAGTCACTGAACTTTATCCATCGATCGATGCTATGCTACACTCTCTAGCTCCCAATCACGAAGATCTCCCTACAGGAACCTCTATCCAGCAACTTCAGCAACTTCAGCGTGATAACGAAGTTCAGCGGGAGGTAATCGCATGTCTTCAATCAACTCTTCGAGCCCGTGAGAAGGCATTGGAAAATCTGAGAGCAGCGATGCCAGAAGCTCTAGACTTTCCAGACAATGGGGATAGCACAACTAATGGGGATGGCCAGTCATCTGATGTTACTGATGATGAATCTTCTATTGACATTATCACGGAAAGCTCGCAATAAAACGCCTGTTTGCTCCTCTCTTGGTTGATTTGAATCGCAAGCCCCGTCAATATTTTCCAATATAGTTCTTGCCTCTCTCAAGGACATGTATTAGAAGTATTGTGCGTGAAAGGATAGTGGATGTGTTTGAAATAGTATTAAGCACCCATGGACGACCTGCACTATGATCATCTATCAAAGAAAGATTGCCTGATTCATACTTAAATTTAACTAAGAAATTAAACCTGATTTTTGCTCTCCGACTCCAATGTTTCGTTGTAGCTTATCAAAATGTAATCTTCTGGGCTGTATTGTACAGAATGTGGAGTCTGTGTACAATATAGTTTTACAGCCAACAGAGTTCATACTATGCGGCTGTATGGTGCATCTTGGCGACTATATGCCGTACATAACTTTTACGTGGACTAGGGAATACATAAATCTACTAGGTTACTAGGGCTATACCTAGGCATTGCCTAACTTTCCTAACTTTGGTATATTTAGCATTCAACTTTGATTTGATAGAAGCATTTCGTCGCCCCAAGCTCCGAAACTTTGCTCACAGTCAGAGCAATCTGTGAAAGTGTCACCAAAGTCCATTGCCTCTCCTGGACAAAAGGCCTGACCCAGTGTGCGTAGAGTTTCCTCTTTAGCCTGCAGCATAGCTTGGAGAGACGATATCTGTTCTTGCTGTTGCTGGATTTGACTCTTCAATGGACCAGAGTGATCACAAGATTGTAGCTTAAGGAGTAGACTCTGAATCATAGGATAGATGCCTGCCAAGCGAGATTCTAGGTCTTGATTTTTAGCCTGTTCCAGCCCTAGGTTGTGGAGGAGAGTTCGCCGATCCTCCGAAGCGTGACGAAGCTGGGTCTCCATCTGCAATTGCCTCCGGTCGCCGTCTAAGAGATCGCTTTCTAGACGTTTACAATAAAGCCGTAGCTCATCGTAGAGAAGTGCTTCCTCGTGGATCTGGCACTGGAGTTGTTCCTGGTAAATCTTGGATGCTCGCTCTCTGATAAAGACACGTTCCGCCATGAAATAGTCGTTGGAACCCTATATGTGTAAGATATTTAGCAATAGGTTTGGTTCTCGGGGGTATAACTTGCCCTCACCAGTTCAGAATCTTGGCCATGGATTTCAATTTCATTCCTAGAAGACATATTGCTCTAGCCACAATCGACCAAGAATACCCAAGGTTATCAAGTAAGGAAATAAAAGGTCGAAGAAATGATATACCTAGTAACTAACGATGAATAAGAAAGGACTGTTGCCGAGCCCGATAAGTCGCGGGAATAATCTCAAGACTAGCGCGACTCGCCCCAACCGCCCCACTAGTCTGATAACTCTTGAAAGATATCTTCACGTGATTGATCCGCCATGCGCCCCATAAATGCAGGGGGAACGGTAACACCGGATGTAACCTTGTCCCCTCTAGCCTCGGAGGGAATCTAAGCCACTCTGAAATTGCGTTGCCTATCCAATGAGATGTTCCATCATAACCGATAAGTCCATTTAAGCAAGCGGGCTGATTAGTGCTTCGGGTTAATCCGAACAGGTCGGAAATGGACCGTACGCGTGGAGCAGATCGCGTTTTACGCTTGGGTCGGATACAGAGAAATGGCACCGGTTCTGGGTGGGCAGGCTCCAAAATATTTTCCAATTAGTGAGCCTTGGTTATTTGGTTTCCGATATCCCATAACATGGTCATCTATCATCCTTGTTGATTCTCATATTCCAACCCAAAGGATCGTTTCTCGTGACATGTCTACATACAACCGCTATCCATTAGACACGATCTCAGAGGAGATCACACCCACAGATCATTATATTCTGTGTGGTGGAGGCACATCCTCTTGCATCGAAAGGCTGCCTTCCCGGATACAACAATATAAGAAACCCCCCAGCTCTAGACAACAAATCGAGGACCTGACCTACGAAATAAGCTATCTGAGAGCCGAGCTTCAGTGGCAACGAGAGTCGAGGGAAATCTTTCTTCGTTTCCAGAGAAAGATGTTTGAAATATTTGGCATGATGGAAGATGAGCTTGCGCAGAGCACCACGCGACTCGAGGAAGCACGTTCAAACTATCTCGGTCTATGGGATGTGGACCCAAAGGTAGAAGATGAAGTAAAGGCAATATAGAATAAAACAATGATGGAGCAGTATGTGCGTTGGCAAATCCAACCTCAGTTGATGTTATTAGGAATACGAGATATCAAGGATTAGATAGACACAACAAAATCAGATGTTTTTGCGTAGTATGTATTTACATCATGACTTGCCCCTTTTCACAGTATAGTTTTATGAAGCGGGAGATCTGCTAGTTACAAATTGTATAAGAGCGATTGCCGTTCACTTTGCGTATTCAATTCCAAGACAATAATAAATATTAGCCAAGTTGTTGAGAACCACCATGTCATTTTCGCTTTCGGGTCGCTTTGCTTTGAAATTGGAATGGCACTTTCGAACGTTCCGGTCTCTCATTCAAGGCACTAAAAGCCTCCATGACTATTCCTTCACGCTTCACCATTTCGCTCACAGTATCGGATAGCCTGTCAACTGTGTCAAAGATTTGCTGAATCTTTGCATTCAGTTCCTCATGAAAGGTCGAAATCCCTTCTACTTTAAAAGAGAGAAGTGCGAGAGTCTGTGAGAGATCTGATGCAGTGTCTGAAAGCTCGCCAGTCGTTGCCGGAAGTTTGTTGACTATATCTGAGAGTCGAGACATAGTAGATGAAAGTCCCTCAGTTATTTTTGAGAGCCGGGTCATTTCCATAGAAAGGTTATCGACCACGCCAAAGGGGTTATCGGTATCTTTCGAAGGAGCGGCTAAACCTGGCTCCTCAGATCCCACTGAAGAGGTCAATACGTTGGAGGAATTGTCATCATCTACCAAGGTAGCAACTACTTGTTCATTTTCACCCCAAGAAGATCCAGTTGTACTTCTCTCGCCCAGCGAGTTTGATGAGGCGGATGAGAGATGGTCTGCTAGGGGTTTGATATGCTCATGAGGGAATGTGTGGTTTTCAGATGGGCTGTTTATGGTCAGTTTATCGCGCCTGTTCCTCTTAACTCTCGCTAGATCCGTACCTGGCCAGGCATGCAACATCGCAATGCGGCGGTATGCAAGGAGAAATATACGTTGGGAACATTGCATTGGACACAGGACCAGCGCTGTTTAGGGAACCGGTATTTGACGCGACCCCGACATAGCTTGGAGGAAGGCTGACAGTATTCGGAGGAACGGAAAGGTCTCTCGATGGGGGAAGGCGTTCATGTTGGTCCTATAATACAAGATGAGATAGTTCTATTGAATGTAAATCTAAAGGAAACTCACAATCCATTCCAACCTAGCGCTAGTGAGTCGGGGTATCCTCCTAACATCGTGGCGTTATTGAAGCTGTTGGTTAAAGTGCCCCCTATGACCGGAACAGCCCCCCAGTTGTTATGCGTCTCATAATAGGGGATTTGATCACTTTGACGCGGATCGGTATTCTGGGCAATTTGGTAAGGTATGATACTATATGCATAATGATTATGAGGATGATTATCGGAAAACATAATAAGGCAAAGTAGATGGGGGAAGAGAGAGAGAGAGAAGAATTATTCTGAGCGAAGGTGATTTTACGCCCACCGACCACTATCAGCTCCTCGGTATAGCATCCCATTATCTTACCCCTGGCCACCTCCTGTGTATCTATGATTAAGACGGAGAAAGTATCCCTCCCCCCCAGTCCAGGGACCCATGCTTTTCTCCAACCCGCTCGGCCCAAATAAGCAAATATTGGCGATTGAGCCACCGTTTAGGTAAAACCCCGGATGGTAGGGGCATTAGGACCACACATTATGTGGGTCATAACTACGGCCGACACCCTTTTGGGAACCTTTGATGTGTGCGGCAATAAATTGCGTTCTCTCCATCAAAGAAAGCGACAAGAAACCGAGCTCAAATATGGAATATTCAGATCGCATTGGTTGGCTCGAAATATGCACTAGCAAGGATTCTAGACTGGCTATCCACGACAAGGGCCGTTTACATCTTGTAATTGATGAACTTGCACAGCCAGAGTATCAATATCCAAGCTTATGCGCTTTTCTTGGGAATAAAGAGAAGGATCTGGCCCTCCAACAACTCTACCCACAGAACAACATCAGAAGATACAGCTCGGGTTCAGGCATTCGGCTAAGACCTGATAATATGTCGCTGAACTCAACTCGTCCTATGCTATTTGTGGATGGAGACGTGCATCAACCTCGACCTTTCCCAAATACTAGCTCTGAAGCCACTCTCGGAACTCCTGTGATGTGGGAGTGTTGCTCTGCGCAAACCCTTTTAATCGCTGTGTGGGCGCGGTTGGTTTTCCTCTTTACTGACGTTATCTGTATTTTCAGTGACGACGTCGGTGGTCTAAGCGGCGTTGCAAACTTTCTCGTTGCTTGTATTAGGATACAATCGGCATCATCCTTCCCTACTGCTGTTCGCCCACGAGTTGTCGTCGCACTTACAGTACGGCCGGAAGATATGGACGAACACCACTTGCAGATAGACCTATTCTATGATCAATTGCATAGCTCGGGCGGCAAGTCTTCAAGCGAATCATTTTCAGGCATTACCTTCGTCCATTTAGATGAAAGCCTTTCCCCGACCGCTCGGTTTGAGAGACTACGGGCTCTTATAAAGGGCCAAACACAGGATATGACTGTGTTATACAGTGACAATAGTGCGCTTGCTTCAGCCACTCAGCTGGTTGCACTTTTTGGCTCGGCTTTCCAGCATTTGATAAAGACTGTTCATGATCGGTTCAACTTCGTTGAGGCAACCAGGGTCAACAACAGGGTCTCTCAGGCTGTTGGTACTAACATAGCACATTATTACAGGGCAGGAAAAACTGCAGGCTTTCAGGGAGAGGAAATAGCGCCTGTTATTGCTGCAGCCCTATTGATGGACCATTATGTCCCAGAGATGTTAGGTATGTGTTGAAATAGTCAAATCGAAACCAACTAAAGCATATCTTGATACTATTTCGTATAGCCCTGCCGCCCAGAATGGTTTTTCGCACGTTGTACAAAGAAATGTTACTGGTAACCCTGCAAAGGGAGGTACACTGGCCCCAGAGCTCTGCCGAGGAGGCCACCGATCAAACCGAATGCCAGCTTATCACTATTTTTGACGAAATGGTACGCAGCAACACATCCTCTGTGGAGCTACGAAAACAGCAACTTGTCTCCCAACACGGCCGCCTTTGCCGCATAAGATCAAACAATATTTGCCTCTACTGCATATTACGCGTGGCTCAGCATACACTGGGTTGTGGCCACACGATCTGCGACACCTGCGCTCAGATATTTGGGGCTCCGGTCCCTTCCTATGAGTACCGTTTTGAGATTTCCTGTTGCCTTCATTGTCTTTATCGCAGGCCGCTGATAATTGATGTGCTCCCACCCACTATGTCCCCTTCTATCCTAGCCATTGACGGAGGTGGAGTGCGAGGAGTCATCCCTCTGGAGTTCTTGCTCCTGATTCAAGAGCATTTGGGCCCATGTCAGATCCAAGATGTTTTTGATTTGGGAATTGGAACAAGCTCAGGTACGCGTCATCTACTTAATTTAAACATCTCTAACGTCAGGAAGGTGGCCATATAATTCTAGGCTTATTTGCTATGTTTTGGAACATCCCAGACTGCTCTGTGAAATTTGAAAAGCTAGCCAAGCATATTTTCCGCGAGAGGCGTCAAGCGCCTCTTCCTTGGCTCTTTCGCATACTCATGAGCCGCCTGCCCGTTTTAGGGAATGTTTCGAAATGGGTTCTATGGCTTCTTTACGACAGTTGCTACGATTCCAGGGTATTCGAGTCGACTTTAAGGGTGGCATTTCATAGAAACGAGAGCCTATTTGGGCCATTTGCAACATCCGGTGGACCACTATTCTCTGGCGCTAAATTTGGGGTAACAGCAACGAGTATATCTAGGAACACCCACGCTTTCATCATGGGTAATTTCAATATCGTTCGGGGTGCGGGAGATGTCAACGGTTAGTTGCAAACTGCCATCACTTTCTCCTACTAATTTGTATCAGGCTATGAAGTTCTAAGGCCAGAAAATGTGAAAAATGAGCCAATGGTTTGGCAAGCGTAATCATCCCTAATATACCTCGTTCTTGTCTAACAATGCTAATGGTACTGTATAGAGCTAGAGCCACTTCTGCTGCACCTTTGTACGAAATGATTAATTCATTAGCATTGTTACTAGCTAACAACGTTCGTTTAACAGTTTTTTTACACCTGTTGATCTTGAGGGAATAGGTTCCTTTCAGGATGGCGGACTCCGGCACAATTTTACAGGTGCTATCGCTAGCCAATTATCTCGCCAAATATGGCCCTCGCGTGGGGATCCTGCTCGCCTATTATCATTAGGGACTGGGATCACAGAGAGTGGGCACGACAGCACACCGCACTTTCGCCATATATTTTCAGACGGATTTTTGCGACGTGGCTTTGATGCATGGATGGCTTCTATGGATACAGAGCAGCAATGGCATAGAATGAGAAATCAGTTGAGTGAGGCTAGTCGGCCTGACCATTTTCGATTTAATGTGCCGTTGGGGGCTATTCCGAGCCCCATCGATGCAGTTGCGATGATTAACACCTATCGAGACTTGGTGCTTCTCCAGCCGGGGAGTGCCCGAATGGCCCGAGAGGCGGCATCCGCGCTTCTAGCTTCACGATTTTATTTTGAGCTAACGGACTCACCGCCGAAAGTTGTCGGTCCGTTTTGGTGCCATGGCGTCATTCGTTGCAAGGGTCAGGCCAAGGATGTGATACAAGCGCTGCGCCACCTCTACCCACAAGGACTAGACCTAACAATAGAATTGAGAAAAGTAGGGAATTTTGGATCAATGCGAGACATTTGTGCCGAGTGCGGATGTTTTGGTCGTCCTGTTATCTTTCTTGTGCGTCATTTACAAGAGATCATTGATATTCGGATACGTCCCCCTCCCCATGGCGGTTGGAGAATCAACGGCTTCCCAGCAAATATGGCGACATTTGCAATGAAGCAGTCACTTCCATCACCATTTGGGCGTGTTGATCATGGTTATTTGAACAGAGCATCATGTATAAATTGCATTTCGCATGAAAGCTCGTGCCGAACCCGAGGAACCCGGCGCAAGCGTGGGTCAGGAACATTGAGCTCACGGGAGGAAAAGCCGAAAAGGCTGCGCTCAGACCTCGACATAGGACAGCAAACCTAACTAGGCCTGCGAAGTACATATAGTTGGAAATGTGATTGGAGGGCCGCTCCCAAGCCAAAGCCATGCCTAATTTAAGCTAGTAGCCTTGTGACCAAAAGTACAATCCGCCCAGTCGGCTCTAGTACGTTGAGCCATGACACCTTGGAAATATAAATAGCCACTAGTGTCTGTCAAGTGGGTTTCTAAAAGAAAACCATAAAATCCTCCAAGAATCAAATATACTATATCTAGTATCAAGACAAAAATGGGGGGCAACGATTACACCAAAAAGGACCGCTCTACATTTCGTAAAAGAGCCCCAACCCTTATCAAAAAGGCCCATGAGCTCGCGGAACAGTGCAGCGCACATGTCTATGTCCTCATTGACCATCCACGTGCCCGGGTCTCTTATAGCTCCACCAACGGTGGCAAAACACCCTTCCCAGAAGGCGCATTAGTAAGGGCACAAATACAGCTGAGGCCTCGTGGCTATTCAAGGTTCGCCAGACTGACCATGATATATGCTAATATACCATCCAGGAAGCTATGTATCCCGGACTGCAACAATTAACTCAGTCGGAGATGAAAGAGTCTCACGAAGAAACTCACCGGGAGAAAGTTGACGGAGTGTCTCGCTACTTTGAATTCAGAGCCCAAGCTCTGTCTAAGACGAAGGATGAGAAAACCGAAATCAACACTACAGGAGAAGGCAAGTAGGCTCATTGAATATCTTTGGGGTACCTAAAGGGGTCGGCATATAGACTCTCCTGGTCATGAGGTCTGCCACCCAGGGTGAGCATGTACCAAGTGTGCTGCCTTCCGTTTGAGCTCCCCTTGCTTAGTTAGTTTTATTTCTATCATAAGACCACTGCTATCGTATTAAAATTCTCCTTCCAAATTTTTTTAACTTAACTTGACTCAGATTAATATTCTACAATGAAGTTCCTCAGCTCGATAGAAGGGCGCTACTCGCTAGTCGTGTTGGCCACCTTCTTGTGTATAGGGATCTACCATTACGCACGCGTGGCTTCATCTATTATACTGAGGCCGTTTCGTTCCTTCTTTCTCTACCACATTGCCTATCCAAGACTTGAGGGACGGATATTTGGCTTACAGAACCTGTCTAGGCTGAATGTGATGGCCGGGTTCTTGTGCCTTGTTGGCACGGGTATTTGCAACTTTTGGGATGTCCATTCACTGCCCCAAGCAAGCTCAAGAGCGGCGCGATTATGCCTGGCTCATTTGATTCCCATGTTCTTTGCCAGTGGTTATGAGTTTGGAGCAAGGATCCTTGGGATATCACTTCAGGGATACGGGGCAATCCATTGCATGTTTGGGATTCTGGCTATGCTCGAAGCATTGGTTCATGTCTTGATCATTGCTTGTACCCGAAATATTACAATGTCAGAGGATCCCCAACTTTACGGTGTCCTAGTAAGTATCTATGATCCTTTATAGATTTTAGATTAACGTCGATACGCAGTCGGCGAGCATGCTCCTTGCGCTGATGATTCTACCACTTGTGAAGAAAAGGGTATACGAAGTATTTCTTAGGACTCATCAGGCTTGTGCTCTCGTTATGATCTACACAATATGGAGACACACTCACTCCTTCCACGCCAACTCTTGGTTCTACACCATAATCTATATCTCTACTTTGACTGTTACTGGAATAGTGCAGTTAGCTCGAATCCTGTTCAGAAATGTTGCACTCGGAAAGGGTTCGGTTCAGCTCACCTTACAGCGGAACGGAGATACCGCGCAGCTGACTATTGAGCTTCCTCGAGCGTGGAAAGTGAGGGCTGGAGAACGGTTGATGTTAGGGGTCCCATGCGTTGGGCTCGTGTACCTGTTTCAAGCTCATCCATTTACGATTGCTTGGTGGGAAGAGAATCAAATTGACCAAACTATGTTGGTTTCGCTTCTTCTCCGGCCACGCAGTGGGTTCACAAGGAGGCTCCTTGAAAGGCTGGAGGTAAATCAAAAGTGCCGTGCCTGGGTTGATGGACCTTTTGGTCCATGTTCGGTTCATCCGCTAGGCATTTCCTCAGATGTTGGTGATTATGGCCACCTGTTATTAGTAGCAACAGGAATCGGTATTGCAACCCAATTGCCCTATATCAAGGAGATACTAGATGGCCATCGTTTAGCACGGGTCCGTACTCAGAGGATCTCCTTGGTTTGGCAGTTAGACAGACCGGGAGACTGGGAAAGTGCCCATGAGTGGCTTCAGAAGTTGGTGGCACAAGATGATGGCTATGTAAGTTCATTCATTTCTTGTAAGATCAAGCTTTATTAACAATACACGATACACAGTTGCTACATGTGACTGTGTATGACACAATGAAGCCGCCCCATATCAATGACCCAAAAAGGCTCGGTCACCACGGCCTAATCGAGGTTTACGGGGGCTCTGTCAATTGGGATGAACAGATTTCCGCAGAGGTTAAGCGCCAATCAGGGCAGTTACTAGTCGCTGGTAAGATCTCATACTCTAGATTTTGTTTGTTTGGCGGTTCTCCTGACAACTATGTGCAGTTTCAGCTTCCCTTGATGTGCGACGAGCGGTGAGGGAGCTTGTTAGAGCCAACATTAATCTGGGGGTTGAGCTTTTTGAGCAGGAATTCCAGCCTTGGACTCCGAGTAGAACCCTTTGGTCCCATCTTAAACCTTGAGACCGTATATTATGGTTCATACAGCATAGGCACCTTGGTATCCCAATCATTGGGCGTTTTTATATTACCTAGGTTCAACCTTTTTATACACAATCAATCCTACTCCAGCCTTTTTAAGCCAAAAGTTTATGAAGAAAAAAAGAAAAAACAGTAAGAATAGTGATATACTCAAGTTGTTTCATAGGCTGGATGCCGCCACCTAAAGGGGATCTTAGGATACTCGGTTTTAAATGGCATTTAAGGCTGATCGTCCCATTCCCATATTTTTGCTTTCCGTGCGTTACACAATATGTCACCTAAAGATTCAGTATCACGAAACTCAAGACGTGCCTTATGGAGATCTAAGTGCAGGGAGCGCTTGGCCCAGCACATTTGTATGCACCCCTTATAAGTAACTAATAAATACTAATATCTTGAGAAGACGAAGAATTAGGCCTCAAAATACATCCATCTCATGTGCGCCTAAAGTCCAATGGTGAAGACATAGAATATACTTGGAAGGTCATCGACCAGGCTCTTCTACCCTTATTCCAAAGACATCTCAGTAAACACTCTATCGGTGCATATAAGCAGTTATGCAGTGAGATCGGAAAATCCTTTCATGTTATTAAAAAGGTAAGTCCTCTTTAGTGGAATGTAACGAATGATTGGTCTCTGATACGAGGCTAGCCCGGAACTGAACAGACTGTCGAAAACCCATGTCATTCAGATCTTGAGGATATAGAAACTTTGCCCTTCCAGTGCCCTTTTGACCCCCTAGAGAGTGAAAGATATCAGATTGCCTGCCAACTCGAAGAAGCTAAACGGAATGCTGGGAAAGAATACGAAAAGCGGATACTAGAGGAAGCCAAGGTACAGCATCTGATGAAGAGATTGCAAGAAGCCCAAAATGCGATTCAGTATCACCAAGAAGAGATAAAGCAATGGATGATGCTAGCCGATTACTATCAGTCAAGTTCTTCTCGATGCTCAAATTCATTACAAGAGGTCATCACATTACTCCACAGAGTCCACTCAGATGTCACATTCGTGCCTTAGGATTGACTGAGCAAATCTTTGTTGGAACCCATAAGCGCCATCGGAGCTAATAAGAGACTGAATTTCGAGCTAGCTAATAAAGTTCGAATTTTGCCGCCCCTGTTCAGGGTCGGCAAACGGGTCCGCATAACACGGGATTCATTAACCTAATCATATAAAGCTTACCTGTAGAGAGACTATGAATAATGGCAGACTCAAAATGAGAAAATTACCCCCGGAGATCTTACTTGCAATTTTCGCGAATCTTTCTAGAAGCGACTTGATATCAATTTCGTTGACAAGTTGGAAGCACCGGTACCTAAGTCTTCCATATCTCTTCCACACACTGAATGTGACTTCTACCATTTCTGGGCTCCAATGTCTGGAACATGTCTCAAAGTCCTTTGTTTCTAAATACGTGAAGACCTTATGCTATGAGGCATCGGAACTCATTGACCCTTGTAAGTCCATGCCGGCTAAACAGCGGACAACAAACTCTGATGTTCTACAGACATCCAGCATTTCGATTACTTCGAGACTTGTATATACACCCCGTCTGAGTTTCTTCGTGACCAGAAGGACTTATTCTGGGACAACAGGGAGGAGAAGGTCACATATACCTCGATTCATTCTTATTTCAACTGCTTAGCCAAAGAGCAACAGAACATCCTGGATACGAGGGAAGACATAAATGTCTTCTGCAGATCCATACCTCGATTTCCCTCGCTCCACAGTGTTCATATTACCTTTGTTGGGGGTGTTGATAAGAGATATCTTTGGTTCGCGCCTCGAGTTTTCTCTGATTGGAGCTACTCCTTTCTGATACACCTTGAAACAATCATCGAAGCGATGATTGTGGCCAAGGAAAATGGCATTGTCGTTAAATTTTTCCAAATATCAGGGTTCTACGCTCGCTTAAGGGCCTGTGGTGGCGCTCTCCGAGATAAAATGGCAGATGGATTAAGCAATGTGGAAACACTTTGTCTGGATGACAGCCCTAACTTGATTGATTTTATGTCAAATATCGACCTGCCTGTTCTCCGTCGTTTTGAACTTGGACGATGCTGGATCACATGTGCGGACATTCAAAAGGTTTTGAATGCGCACTTACAGATCCAGTGTGTGCAGCTATCGAAAATATGGTTTCCTGAAAGATTAAGATTCGAGCTATCAGCTTTAGGACATATTCAAGGGGATAACCGTGAACAAAGAGCCGAAAAGAGCATTACCATTATAGTAGGTAGATAGTGATGCAATTTCTGCTCACAAATTCATATTCCATATCACGAGAGGCTCATCCTAAACACCTTCTCTCACCCCAAGTAGGAGACGCACATGAAGCACTAGGCGTAACCCAATCTAGCTCACAGAGTACACTTATAACAACCCCATTCGTTTAGTAATGCCGGTGGAGTTCCAAGGTTAAAGGCAAATATACTAGATTATACAGAGAGATCTCCCACACGGAAAAGGCCTCCACACGGAAATAGCCTCCACACGGAAAGAGCCTCCACACGGAAAGAGCCTCCACACGGAAAGAGCCTCCACACGGAAAGAGCCTCCACACGGAAAGAGCCTCCACACGGAAAGAGCCTCCACACGGAAAGAGCCTCCACACGAAAAAGGCCTCCGCAGGGAGAGGGCCTCCATGCGGAAAGAGCCTCCACACGGAAAGAGCCTCCACACGGAAAGAACCTCCACACGGAAAGAGCCTCCACACGGAAAGAGCCTCCGCAGGGAGAGGGCCTCCATACGGAAAGATCCTCCGCACGGAACAGGCCTCCACACGGAAAGAGCCTCCACACGGAAAGAGCCTCCGCAGGGAGAGGGCCTCCATACGGAAAGATCCTCCGCACGGAACAGGCCTCCACACGGAAAGAGCCTCCACACGGAAAGAGCCTCCGCAGGGAGAGGGCCTCCATACGGAAAGATCCTCCGCACGGAACGGGCCTCCACACGGAACGGGCCTCCGCAGGGAATAGGCCTCCATACGGAACGGGCCTCCACACGGAACGGGCCTCCACACGGAACGGGCCTCCACACGGAACGGGCCTCCACACGGAACGGGCGAGAGGACGAAGCCGAACACGCCTTGTACATTTAGTCGTAGCTCTGTAGATAATTATTTTCCTCCTCTCTCCAGCGTACAATACAGATTTTCTCGCACACTTTACTGCTTTAGTCGTACTGACTTCTGCCTAATTGGTAGTAGATTAGCCTCTCTCTTCCCTCCACCCTTCTGTCCAACTTCATTTACAATCCACCATACCATACATTGTTGCTCTATTTACTTGCCTGTGGATCTCAAAATGGTAGGAGGTCACATACTGGCCGCACTTAGTCTAGAGAGTCACGGTCACCTTAAATATAATTTCATTCGCAGCCTTATCTAATATGGTTCCAATTTGTGAAGGCAAAGCAACGTAAAACAGTCAATAACACAATTTAAAACGGCCTGACCAATCGGTCTAGGATGGAATCAGCGGCGCTTCGCTCCCCGTCGATTTCCATCATCCAACTCAGCAAGCTTGCGTGCTAGCTTTTCGATGTCACGACGAAGGTTATTCCGGTCTAAGGTCCTTCGAGATTTAGGGGCGCGCCCACTGGCATCGCCTTTTGTGTTTGTAGTTTGGCCCTTCTTGTACCTTGAGGATCGCGAGCCTGAGGGTGTGGATCCTCGATTTTTATGGGGCTGGGAGTGCCGCTTTGTTCTTCTTTTAGGCCGGTTGTCGTCTTCCGAGTCTTCCGAGTCTTCGGATTCTTCGGAGGTCGTATCACTTCCACCATCGCTCTGGTCTTCCGTTGATTCCCGTGACCGCTCGTCCTCGTTCGTTTGTTCGACCTCTAATGCTTTTTGGTAGATAATGTTATCTCCGTTACGGTTTGGACCGCCGGCGATTCGACGGATAAAGGTCCTGGTCTCGAGTGTGGTCCTTCCATCGGTCCAAAGAACTATCACTCTTGTCTGTGGGTAGATAACGCCAGTTGCTGGAACAATCAAGCTCAATGGATCGACTTCTTCTTCATCGTCATCTGGGACCTTCCAACCCACACCAAGAATATCAAGGACATGCTCCCTGGTCCAGACCCAATCCTGGGCCCTGATTCCATCTGTTCCGTGAGTGATATGCTTTTGCGTACCGCGGGACTCGGAGCTTAGAACCTGCTCAACCTCTTTTCGGTCGAATGATTCATAAGAACCAGCTCTGATACGATACACTGGATCCACATCTCCATATTTCACAAAGGTTTGATACCCGGTACCCTTTTTCCACCAGTATAGAACTTCACCGGAAGAGATAGCCCTTTGTTCAGCCTGGGCTCTAGCTTCTAATCGCTGAAACCCTGTCAGGTTGGCTTCAATCGGATTTTGCGAGTTGCTGGATTCCTGAGCGACCAGGGGTGCTCTTCTGTAAGAATACTGCGAGACTCTCCCATGCAATGTTTGCAAATTGGCTGGACTGAGTAGATCCGCCAACGCATTAGGATTAATATTCCAGCCTTCGGAGAGATAAAACCTCTCGTTATGAGCGTTGATCATTCTGTAGGTGTTTTCGAAATCCATCAATAGTTTTTGTGCGTCTACACGACGGGTTTTACCAAATCGCCGTCTCCAAGAATGGACCTCGTCTATGACTGTCTGGTATTCCACACATCCATTGGAAAGAGGCATACCCTCTCTGCTGTTGGCAGCACGGATCATTTTGTTCAATCGAGCGAAGAACCTCTCGACTTCTCTCACGTCAGAGTCTTCGTTGTCGTTAAAAAATTCACACACCAAATTATAGTAGCGATTGGTTTCTTCCCAAATCACCTTCTTGACATGGTATTCTAACACCGGCGGTCCGTCGTCATGCTCAATTGTCTCCACCAGCTGTTGGTCGTCACGCTCAATTGTCTCCACTGGTTGTTCGTCGTCACGCTCAATTGTCTCCACTGGTTGTTCGTCGTCAACCTCACGTATCGGCTCTACCCGTTCAGCTGCACCTCCCAGTCTGTGAAAGTCTGTTAGTTTATTTCGCTATATATACTTAGATTTCATACTCAACCACCGAATCCATCACATAATATCCATCATCCTTGGGTTTCTTGTTGGGAGTATCAAACGAGACATGATTTCTAGGGTAATGGCTTTAGTCTTCTGTCAACCTGCCATATAAGTTCCACATACTTTTGCTTGTGTTCTCTTCCCTCTCTGTCAATTTGACCAGGCGTTCCAGTACCACTCGTGTCTGGAGCTTCTTGGGTACCACTTGGACCTGGGGTTCCTACACTCAAGTCTGGAGCTTCTTGAGTACCACTTGGACCTGGGGTTCCTACACTCAAGTCTGGAGCTTCTTGGGTACCACTTGGACCTGGGGTTCCTATACCATTCAAGTTCGGAGTACCACTTGGACGTGGCGTTGGGGCCGGCGTCATAAGCTGACGACCCCTTTTGCCTCCCTTTTTCTTCGCCATAGTTGACCGGCCTTTTCTCTGTCTTTGATCTAGAATCTTGATAAAAGCATGGGACTCGAGATTTAAATAGGGATTCTTACCGACCCCATATGGTCTTGGCGTCAAATCCCTAAAGGGGTCGTTAAAGATCAATACCTAAGGATATAATGGTGTTGGCAACCACACGTTTTTATTGGGCAGTGGAAATCAAATTGAAATTAAATAATAGATCCCTCATTATCATTAACTAGTTAAAAGCATACCTTAACTTGTCAAATCTTTACAAAAGCTATACACGCTTTGCCCGAGGCTATCTTGGAACTCCAGATTATTCCATGTAAGCCATTTATTCCAACTTGCAAAACAGCGTTAATAACAGAACTAGAATGATTGGTACTATATCTTGGGAGTGTGTTTGCTGTCGCTTCAAAGACTCTCGTTCTTTGAAGGTGAAGTTCCACCCATCCGACCCTGGATCTTGCTGGACGGCAGTTTGGTCCTTTATTCTTCCTGCAAAGAGACGAATATACATCCATACTGTCTGTAGAGCTTGTATTGAGGAGAGAAACTTCACTTTCCCAGATGAGCAGTTGAGCGTTATCTGGAAAGCCAAGGGACTATATTACTTCGAGAATCGAAGCTCTTGGGCGAGCACAAGCTGGAGATACTGGCTACCAAGCTCAGAATGCCAGGCAGTCAACAATATGATATCGCAAAATGGCAAGCTGACTATTTCACTGGCTATCAACTCATCTCTCTCCTGAGCCTCAGGACTACCTGGAAGACAGCCATTTGATATATACAGATGTGGGTTATCAGAAATTTCCTTGGCCCTTTTGTGGTCGTTTGCTTTTCACCTCTTAGTCAGAATATTATCAGAAATTACCATGACTTTATTCGATTACCTCCGTCTTTATTGCTCTCTTACAGTACCTCCAGAAATCGGTGTCACTTACGCTGTTTTATTGGAATATCAATATTCCGATACCTACCTTAGCTTAAATTCGAACTAGCCCCTCTTGGCATACTATATATTAAATACAGTTATGTCTCACAATAATATCTGTCAAGTACTATGCATTTATGCATGCTGAAATTACCAGGTCTTTACAAACCGGGAAATCAATGGACCGTCATGATAACGGTACCATACAAAAATACATACATTGCTTAATCAGCTATGTCCGCCGAGATTGGAAAAGAGCGGATCTTGTCATTTTAGTTAGTTAGAGAATTTACATATGTCAGATTTACCATACATTGTCGTATCCGTCTATTTCTGTCAGTTATGAGCCCGGCTTCGTTCCAATTAAGATCTGTCTACAACATATAGACCATCTTTTACCTAGCTGTCGCCGATTCACAGTGGTTTTGACAACGGTCAACCCCTGAATCGTCGAAGCACCCCTATCTCCTTCGAAGAAGATCAGATTCATCGACGAAAATCGACAATAATGAATATCATGTCAAGCCTCTCCGCGGCCTCCTCCCGCGTCATTTTGAAGGATACAGAATCATGGGATGCATGGCTCTCATATATTAAAGCAATTGCAGTTGCATATAAAGTATGGGATCAATGCAATCCGTCTCTTAAGGAGGAAGAACGTCCTAAATTGGAACCACCTGAAGAGATCATCTCTGTCAAAGATGCCATAAAAGAATACCCAGAACACTGGTTCAATGTGAGGCTATCCCTAAAAGCAGATTGGGATGCAGAGAACAGAGCCTATCAGTCGAAACTACAGGCATTAGATCTAGTGGCGGTGGCAATTAGGCAGTCAGTTGATACTCCCTACCAGCCCTTTATCATTGATATACCATCACCTTTGGAGCTGATGCTCAATCTCCACAAACGATTTGCACCAGAGAGCGATCCTACATACAAAACTAAGCTCCGTCAACAGTGGCGGAACCTAGATAGAGGCCTAGATCGGAACACCGATATCGAGAAATGGCTTCTAAACTGGGAATCGCTTTACCAATCGTGTAAGAAGGCAAGGATGCCAGAAGCAGAGGATGCCACGAATCAATTCCTTGAAGCAATCTCTATAATGTCGCCTGGATTCTATGAAACATGGGCTCTCAGAGTACAGGATAATCAGGACATCCCTTTCTTCGAAATCATGACTCGGTACAAAGCCCACTGGAAGATTACCCATGGCAGGCCGGCTGCGCAAAGAGGCATCTCAAAGGCTGCTTTCTCGACATGGCAAGGCAATGAAGAAGCAAAGCCTATAGAGGCAAGGAATGATGGCCTAGAAAGAAGGCCATGTCCATGTGACAGGGTAAAATCGAGAGTTCATATGCCTTGGGCCTGCTGGGAAATCTATGAAGATAGAAGGCCTGCTAATTACCAGCCCTCACCGGCATTGAAACAGAAGTGGGAGAAGGCCATGAAGGCTAATCCTAGATGGAAGGCAATTGTCGACAAGAAGCGAGCTGCATATGCAGAAGGCCAAGGGGGACCCTTGCTAAAGAGCAAGCGAATACAACCCTCGACGATGAAGCCTTTGGCTTCTTGACAACCAACGCAGTCAAAATTGACACCGTTATGTCAACAAAAATCAAGGATTTTGAAGCCACAACTACACCTACAGAAGACAGATGGGTAGTTGATACAGGTGCTCAAATCCACGTATGCAACAATCGGAGCTTGTTTAGCACCTTTAAAAGCGTACAGAGCAACGTCAAAGTGGGAGATACAGAGACGAAGGTGGCCGGTATAGGCACTGTGGTCATCTATGGTGTAAACCCTACCACTGGAAGCGCCGTTAAGATGAACCTATTTCAAACTAGGTACTCGCCAAACTTCCATAGTAATCTGATATCTCATGGATTGATGATGAAGGGGGGCCTATTAATGAATCTCAGAGCAAACTGCATTGAGACAATTGATGGCCATCGTCAGATCTATAAGATCTACCACGATCAGAAGCTATCATGGCTCACCCAGACAAGGGGTTTTATAACCCAAAAGGCATCAGATTTGAAGCCTGAAATGACGTTTGCCACTAAGAAATCCAATCAGGAGCCAAAATCTGAGGCTTCAATTGAGCTCTGGCATCGTCGATTAGGCCACATTGGCAAGGCGCGAATTGTCAAACTGGCAGAGATGACTGAAGGAATCACTATTGCAAGCAACCCAGGCAAAGAAATGCAGGTATGTGAAGCTTGTCAATTGGCAGATGCACCTAGGCAAATCTCTCGCCGGAAGATAGGCCAGGCATATGGTATATTAGGGAGAGTACACTTCGATCTAGTACAAAACCAGCCTGCCTACAACGGTCATATATGGATGACGCACTTCTATCTCGATGGAATAAGGTGTCACTTCGTATTTACCCATATAAAGAAGAGCGAGTGTCAGATGGCAGTTCGTAAATTCTTAGCATTGATCCGAAACTGGTTGAAAATCGAGATCAGGGTATTTCATTATGATAATGAGAGAAGCGCCGGCAATGAGGTTGAATCTATGATTGAAGACGAAGGGTGTACCATTGAGCATGCACCACCTGGCTTGCCAGAGATGAATGGACCAGCAGAGAGATCTGGAGGCATGATAGTAAGGAACGGCAGAGCATTGCTCAATGGTACGAACCTACCCCACAATCTATGGCCAGAGACGATGTATGCATCTGCATATATGATGAATCGTACCCCTACAAAGATGGATGGTAAGTGGATCATACCATGGAAGGAATTGATGCGCTATGCGGCTCCAGATGGCTTAAAAGATCAAATTGTCAACCTGTCGAATATGAGGCTATATGGGTGCTTAACGTACTCAAGGCTTCTGAAGAGAGTACAATCTAACAAGATGGCTCCGAGAGCAGAGATCGGCTATCTTGTAGGCTATGTTTCAAAGAGCCTATACAAGATCTGGTTTCCATACAAAGGGCGAGCAGGCATAGGCAGAGTTGAAGTTGTAAGAGATGCTGTATTCGATGAATCGAGACAGTACTCTAAAACGAAGCCTTTACCGCAAGAAGAAGATGCAATTAGTACTATGACAAATGGACTAAGCGCTAAGAACTGGCCCCAAGTGCTCTCAATGGAAGAAGCGCAGTCAGAATTGAGCATAGAGATGCGTATGCCGATGTCAATTGCTCGCATAACTCTCAATGATGACGTCGAAAACCGAGAACAAGGTACTGCACCAGAGGCGGTAAATGAAGAAATCCAGGAATCTAGAGTTGTGGAGCAAGCTCAAACTCTAGATAGTAGGGAGGAGACACCAAGGGTCCCCCCTTTAAAGGAAACACCTGTTTTACCTTTAACACCGGCTTCAATGGCAGGCCCTGCTTCAGTGGTAGAACATATCTCAATGATAGAGGTAAGGGATCAAGAACAGATCCCTGGGAGCTTCCCTATGTCACCACAGAGAGCCTCACCACAAAGAGCACTATCGTCGATTGCTACGATTGAGAGTACGCCACATGAGAGATCTCCTACCTCGCTATCTTCGCCAGATCCGATCAATGTCATACAGTCGATCGAAGCTGAAGGGGGAGAGGGAGATCAATATGATGAAGATGAAGCAGAGATAGAGCGTCAATTGCAACAAGAGATGCAGTATACGCCTACTCCAGAGCCAGAAGATCGGCCTACTAGAGAGATCTCTGCGTCAATTGATGAATCTAACATCATCTCAGGCCCCAGAATACGGAAGCCAAAGGCAGATCCAGACTACACTGCATATCTATCGCTAGACGAGAAACAGCTAGCCGAGCCACCAAGCCTTCTATATGCCTTTACAACAGGTATTACGAAGAAGCTCAATATGCAAAACAGACTGCATAGAGATCAGATGCCTCCACCACCAGAGAACTGGAAGCGGCTAAAAATCCATCCCTTTGCCACGCAATTGAAGGCAGCTGCGGAGTTTGAAATTGAGACCTTAAAGGCTAAAGAGACCTTCTCTCAGGTTGCATTACCGAACAAAAAGAGCACCCAGATCTTGCCATTGAAGTGGGTATTTACATACAAATTTGATGCAGATGGTATGCTCGAGAAGTTCAAAGCAAGAATCTGCGTGAGAGGAGATCTACAGTGGATGTCAACTGAAGAAAAGAGAGCTGCTACACTAGCTGTCAAAACAGCGAGAGCAGTATTCGCACTAGTTGCCGCCTTTGATCTAGATATGATTCAGAGAGATGTGGTTACCGCATTCCTGAATTCAATGCTAGAAAGCGAGGTTTATACCAAGTGTCCACCAGGCTTCGAAGCACTAAATCAGTGCTGGCTCCTGCATAGAGCCCTCTACGGATTGCGCATGTCACCAAGGCTTTGGCAGCAAGAAGCTACAAAGGTGCTAGTAAAACTAGGCCTTACCCCAGTGGAAGAAGATCCATGCATCTTTACAACCAAAGGCATTATTGTCTTTTTCTACGTGGACGATATCATCATCGTCAATCACCCCAAACAGGCTAAAGAAGCCGCTTTACTAGATCAAAATCTAAAGAAGCAATGGGAGCTTCGAGAACTGGATGCAAGCTGGTTCTTGAATATACGTATTATACGTGATAGAGAGCAGAAGAAGCTCTGGTTATGCCAAGATAGCTACATCGAGAGCATGGCACACAAATACAATCTCGTCACAGAGAGAAAAATAGGGTCCCCACTGAGCATTGAGCCTCTAGTACCCTATGATGGGGTGGCATCACCGCAACAGATTCATGGTTTCCAGGCCAAGGTTGGATCTGCGCAGTATGCCACCACCATTACCCGGGTAGATGCTGCAAAAGCAACCTCCAAAGTGGCTGAATTCCTTACAAATCCAGGACCAAAGCATATAGATGCAGTCGATCGCATCATACAGTATCTCTATGAGACACGCTTTTGGGCCATTGAATACGGCATCAGAACACCAAACAAACAACCTAGAAATCGAGATACGACCCTGACGATGGCGGCGAAATCAGTTGAATTTGCAAGCGATGCGTCGTTCGGAGACCATAAAGATCGAAAGAGCTCCGAAGGGTATATCTGCAAGTTATATGGTGGCCCAATCGATTGGAAGGCCACTAAGCAGAAGACTGTCACCACATCGACTACCGAGGCCGAACTACTAGCTTTAGCAGAGGCAGGAAAAACCGTACAGTGGTGGCGACGAGTGCTTAATGCACTAGGCTTCGAACCAGATCACCCACTATCCATCATGTGTGACAACCAGCAAACTGTCGATTTATTGACGAAGGAAGGGGCCGCGATGCATACGAAGCTCCGGCATGTTGACATCAATCGATGCTGGATGAAGCAAGAAGTTAGCGCAGGTCGAGTATATGTGGACTGGGTACCAACTGCTGCGATGCCAGCAGATGGGCTCACCAAAGCTCTGACGAAGCAGAAGCAGGGACACTTCAGAGAGTTGGTTGGAATGAGGGACGTAGGTCACATGATTCGTCACATGACCTCTGAGAACAGAGGCTGTTTTGCGGAAACTGCATAAATCGACGATTTGAGCCGAGATCAGTGAGGAGACAGGTGAGGTAAGTTGGAATCACTTGCGAATCATTTGCGAAGCGGTTGCGAAGCAGCTGCGAAACAGTTGGAAGAAAGGCAGTCCTTGAGAGCTTTGAATAGCTTCAAGAACTGGGGGGTGTGTCAAGTACTATGCATTTATGCATGCTGAAATTACCAGGTCTTTACAAACCGGGAAATCAATGGACCGTCATGATAACGGTACCATACAAAAATACATACATTGCTTAATCAGCTATGTCCGCCGAGATTGGAAAAGAGCGGATCTTGTCATTTTAGTTAGTTAGAGAATTTACATATGTCAGATTTACCATACATTGTCGTATCCGTCTATTTCTGTCAATATCAAAGAACACAATAGCACTTGAATATCAGTACTACATATCATTTTCACCAGCCAAACCTTCCTCGTTTGCTTCTATTCGTTGAGGAAACGCTCTAGAATACCTGAATGAATTCAAAAAAAGAGGTATGAGGCTCCAGGTGTCTTCCCCTGGGTTTGCTTGTTGCAAAAATTCATGCTATACCATCATGAGCTAGTCTCTAGCTATAAGAGTCTGGTGGAACTAGACTTACTTGGAACAAAAATGTGAACGGAGCAGTTCTAATGTGCTGTAGGAAGTCCTCGGCATATCTTGATAAACCAGTCTCGGACTGTGACCAAAACTGATCCCAATTCATCTGAGGATCCTTAAAATGTATAATAAGGAGGCCAAAATCTTTGCGATCTTTTTCCTTTTCTCTCAAAGACAATGAGCTCATGATACCGATTCCGATATTTGCTAATAATGCGTTTAGTATCTTCGCAAACGACTAATTCCGGGTTCGATACCAATTCTAACGAAGCCATCTTCAAAGAGTAACACGTTTCGTAAGTTTATTGCACCATGGCTTATACGTAGCTCGTTGTGTATATATTCGAGTCCAAACAGAATGCTTTTGCATATTGTGGCAAGATCAGACTCGCTGGCTTGAATATATGGACTCGAGAAGACCAATGATAGATCAATCCCAAACCCACTATACCTATAGATTATCCAGAGGCATTCGTGATTTTGAAATGCTTCTATAAGTTCTACCACATTTCGATGCGAGGCGGTTCGAATGTTTAGGCTTTCCTTCTTTCTGATGTCGGCTTTCTTGATCAACACTTTTGTGTAACCTGGCGAATTTTCAAGTCCAATCCATCCATCTCCAGCTTGCTGGACTTTCCAGCATATAAGATACTTTTGAGACGGGTTTCCAATGTGTAAAATCTTCTCTATGTGCCCTTCGCGCAGTTGTTGTACTGCTTTGGGAAGTGTTCGCTCGCCTATAGGTATTTTGACTGGAATAGGAAGTGAGAAGGGCGATTTCCTGCCGGTTTGAGGTTCCAAGGATTGATCTAGGCCGAGAGGCGACGTTTGGAGGATGTCATTCTCGACGACATCCACCTCCTTGTCCCACAAATGCTCGGGCAGGAATGTATCACGATTGGCACGCATGGCCATTCTAACCAAGATATCAACAAGTAATTAAGCCTCAATAAGGTACAGACTTGAAGAGCTAGCTAAGACTCCGTCTATATGTACCTCCTCGAATGTTCAAGGAACCCCCACCCCTTTCGGGGGCGGTATTGGCGCACATTTGGAATAATGCCCTCCTCATTCAGCGACGGCACGAATCTCCAGAAGACCAAGGCTTTAAGTTCATCGTGTATTCCTAGTTCCTGTTTAGTAAACATATATCACCAGAAATAGTGAAAAGTTGAAGCACGGCGTTAAACATTCATTTCTCTGCCATGTTTCAATTTCATCCCGAGCCAATTCTATCCAGTGAGCCTCTTCAAACAGCTTATACGAAAATGATATTTGAGTTTTACTGTACCCCGTGGAGGTATAACGTACTTGCCAGTACTACCAACTGGGTGTTGCTTGCCGGCTATCTTGTGATTCCGGGTACATTTACGTCGCTTCAAATGTCAAAATCACTGGAACATAAACTGGATTCAAACCACACAGGAAAGACAATCCTTTACACAATTCAGAACCCTCCGATTCTTGCAATTGGATGTTCTTTCCTTATCCTGGGCTCTTTAGGGATGAGTGCTCTTGGATGGGACAGAAGGCATAACTATGTTTGGCTTATCGATAAAATGTTTATGTAAGGTTCCAAGGTTCCACGGTTGGAAAGGCCGACCCTGTCCTGGGTCCATGAATATTGTTGCTAACAGCACTTAATTCAGTCCTACTTTTTTAAATTCAGTGGCAGGTCTAATCACGACAGTTATCAATATATATACTGCCCGCAATGGACATTGGCCGATTATGGCGGTTCTGACGGCAAGTATCACTGCGACTATCGCACTGGCTTCGCTTTTTCTTATTCTGGTATACCAATTTGGCAAATTGGAAAGCATAAAGCGAGAGCATATTCGGGAGATTAATGCTGGGTTTCAAATGATAAGAGGTCACACTTCTAGTGGGTAAACCCCTTGTTTGTTAGAACAACTCAATTGCCGACCAACCAACAACCAGTCTAGAGATCGCTCCACAATACAAAGACTTATAGGGGCCAGGGTTCAAACCCCTCAGACAGTATGTACATAGTCGTCAGATCAGCCTCCATAGAACTAAACTATCTCCCTGCAAACTTCTGGGCCTTACATTTGTAGTCGCCCCTCAACGGGGGTTGATGCCTGGGTACCTCAATTAGTACCGCTTTATATACAGAAGTACCGCCCCAGTACAGTGTACTGTAAATTGTTAATAGATCAACCTGCTTAGATGATGCTTTTGTAAACCACCCAAATCAGGCATCTCCGTTGGTTCTAGCGGTTGCAAGCGGGCTTTCTAATTCGCATTTATGTAGTGTACAGAAGCCTCATTTTTGACACTTGCAAATCGCAGCAAAATCAGGGTATATTGATTATTATATACATATGTAATACCGACGTAGCAATTCAGGGGTTTCAATAATTCTGCCGTTCTAAATGAAGATATCCAAACATAAAGTCTCCCAAAAAGAGGGTTTGAGCCCTAGCCCCTATACGTCTTCGTACTCCACGATTAATTTCTATACAGAGCCGCTCGAAATCAGTTTCACCTATTTCTTTCAATTTGTTTTGTTTTGGAACCTTATCTTGCATCAGACTATACCTATTATAGTTAGACTGCCCCTGACGCCGTGCTTGACGGTATTCTAATACCGTTGTAAATACTTATGTAAAAATAGCCTTTGTATCGTCTCGTATGGGTTGTTCGTTCTAGAAACTCGTCCCTAGCAAACTAACCAAATATGTTAAGAAAAAGGGGCAGCTTGTTGTCCGGCCACTTTGTCACTCACATTCCACCTCTACGTTAATTAACTAACTCCTCTCAGTCCACTGACAGAACTTGTTGAATGAGCGAAAAAAAAAAGTGCACTACTAAAATAAGCACATCTGGTGGGGTGTTTCTTAACAACGCGTTGACTACAAAATGCTGGACTCTTCAACTGAACCCATCGCCTGTTGAAACCAAGCAGCCCAGTGTGCTAACGTTGCCTTCACCAGGAGAGTGCTGACCATATTTAACGCATCATTTTCCGACCATTTTGATTCTCAAGCTCACACGCCCGATGTGCCGTACCAGGATTGGCAATACGCACCCACTCCAGGATACACTTATCACGCACCACCGTCAGAATATGGATTTAGCCCTTCACCGGATCGCTACACTCAAGATGACCCTGCAGTCCCGTCTTCTCCCCAGGAAGACAACCCAAGGCTTCTTCAACTCTGTCATGGGAAGAATGTAGAACAGACGACGAGCTTCCTCCACACTTTATCCGGTATATAATCGAATGGAAGGTGAAGGTGAACCGCTTCAGGTCGGAGGACACGGAACAGCATGTAATCCTGACTCCTAGTGCTTATTGGCCCTCGGTCCTCAGGGGTAAGCTGGAGAGGGTTCTCCAAGAGAGAGTATCTCGTAATCGACGGGTCAGGGCCGATGACACGTCCATGGTTGTGTCGGTCAACGATCGCAAGCAACGAAATCTAAAGAAGCGGTTCAACTCTCTCGACATTGATTGGATGGCAGTTGAAAAACAGCTACTTTCGTGGGGTAAACTTTATACCAGGGGCAAGGAGTTGAGACTCGTGATTGTCTTCCACTATATACAGAACGACCTTTCTAGGAGCGAGAAACGGGGAAAGTCGTCGGTCACCAAGAAGATGCTCAATGAGCGAGACGCACAACTTTATATTGAAGAGTATGTATCCGGGCAACAGTCGATCTGGCGGGCTGTCTACAGCCTGATGCGTTGCCCTTCACCATCCTGTCACCTTGGTCCGCATTGCTGGCAGGATCCCCATGGGAGGAAATACTATCAGCTAAGGACGCATCATTTGAAACGTCTGATAGCTTACATTAAAGAGGGCGGCGTTTTGGAGTGCCAAAATGATGTTCCTAACACTATTCGTGAAGAACGCTATATGGAGGAGCAGCAGAGGCTAGAATCTCCACAGTCCAAGAGCAATAAATCGGCCGACTCCGGAAGCTGCCTACCGATCAATATCAATTTCATGGGAGCGCAACCTTCTCTGCAGCCATCAGCGGTTAGTCCTATAGCAGCATCTGTCCTGCCTCCCCTGAAAAATGGGCAGGAAGAGGATCAGCTCATAATCGACGGACCCCGAGATGTGGCTGTGAGAGACTACAGTGCATGGCAAGAAACAAACGTTATTGATGAAACTCTCAAGGCCCAATTTCGGCTGGCTTGTGATGTAACGCTCACCAACGGCTTCGATCTTGAACAGATCCATGAGGATCATGATGCAGGATTCTTCATCGAAAAAGAAGTTGCGGTAGGTATCGCACGCCGGTTCGTAGGCGATATTGGTAGATGGGCAAAGGACGTGAGGGATTGACTACGCAGGCTTACAGTGCGAATGCGTGGCAGGCGTTATGATATTAGACATAGATTTCGTGTTCAATCGCCAGCTATTGATTTGTTGTGATTCAGTGTTATCTAAGGAAATGTAGAATATAATACCAGCTCTAGTGCCCCAAATCCTCAGGTATTCATCAAGTACAGGATCATGCCGTGAATAACTCAATGATAATTTTCAATAACTACGCCAGCATGCAGGAAATGGCCGATTGCACTCCGTTCTCGAGACCCGACAGCTTCAACACACCTCTCGAGGAATGTATCGAATCCTTGATCGGGGCTTTGTTCATATTTTTGCCAGTGGCGCCGAATGAATGCCTTCAGCTCGGAGAAAAATCCTCTATGGGATTCAAATCAGGCGAGTAAGGCGGCAGATAAAGCAGTTTTACGCCAGCATCTGCGCACATTTCTTTTATCCGATCAGAGTGGTGAAAAGAGGCGTTGTCTATGACAATCACAGACTTCGGTTCAGGCCATTTCCCACGGTGGTTGAGAAGCTGCTGAATGAAATCCTCGAACACAGCCGCATCAGTCGAGCCTTGGAATACTCGGGACAGGAAAACACCGCCTTGTGCGTATGTTGGCAAGATCTGCCATCGCAGGTCACGATGGAATTTGGATACTTGCAATGGCGTCAGACCCAACGGAGACCAGCCGGTGCGTCTGAACCCGATTCGTTTATCGCATCCAGACTCATCCACATACACCAGATGATACGACTTGAAGTCAGATAGGTTATATAGGTAGAAATCTCGTAAATCAGCGTTTTGTTCCCTTGCTCTCTGTCGAGCTACCTTTTTCGACCATCCGACCGAAGCAAGAGCCCGCTTGAGACTCGAGCTTGTCACCCAAACATAGAACTCATCCCATAGGAAAATTACCATCTCGTCCACATATAACCCGGGCTTCTCGAGAAGATGGTCACACAAAGTCTGGATCATTGGAGGCGTGGTGCTTGGTCGCCTGTCGACACGAGTCAAGGGAGCTCTGACATTTCCGAAAAGGCGAAGATTATTACGAATATTGATGATTGAGCGCTCGCTACACCCAGCGGCTTCGGCCATCTGTGATATAGTCAGGGATTCGCTATGTGTCATGTCACGAATCATCTCCAGCTTGGATGGGGGAGCCGAGGCGCCATTTTGGGAGGGAGGGTGGAAGGGGGCAAAGAGCGTCGTTGACGCACCGTAGGGAAAAGGTGTGCTCCATGCTCACCCTGCTCACCCCTGTGCTCAGTGAGCAGATGAAATTATTTTTCGTGAAAGTCTTGGGGGATGCTGGCGTATTGGGAAATGCACGTGACTTAAGGTCCCATTTGGTTCCTGGGAAGGTGCTGGGATTTACTCCCATCAGAAAACTGCGGGCGTTGATCAGTGCTAACACTGAGCAACAAATGGTTATATCCAACCTTCCAAGAGCAAGCCTAGCGCTTTTTCTCACGCAAGTAGCGTGGTGGCAACAGTCGGACTAGAGTAAACGAACTCAAACTCGTTACATCACTGGCGAGAGCCGCGCGATGAATCCACCTACCGAGCAATCACGCAAAAGTGTTCAATGATTAGTGAAGATTTGATGAAGAGGAAGGCTCAGTAGACTTAATGTGACTTAAATGCTTTTTAGACTCTAGATAGGGGATTGTGTTCTGAGAGTGCGAGGAATATGACTCGACCTGATGAACAGCCGATTGCCGCCGTTGCTGCAGATATACGAAATGAAGAAGTGTTAGATGGCCGATACTCCGGAGGCAACCACAACAATTTTGACCCATTAAAGGTTATCCAGGAAGAGCGGTCACATAAGCCAAGCCCATATATTCCTGGCAAGGTCGAACCACTAGGACTCGGCCCAACAGGCTCAGTGGACCCTAAATATAAGGTACCAAGTATTGTGTGAAGATGGTTGGGCGAGCTTTTGTCAAATTGAACGCGAAGAGCGTGAACATCAAGTGTCGACACGCACTGGCCAGTGGTTGGATCCCAGATCTTGACAGACTTATCTTTCGACGCTGATGCGAGTCGGCTTCCATCTGGCGACCAGGCAATCGAGGTGACTATATGACTGTGTCCCGTAAGGGTAGACGCGCACTGGCCGGTGCCCAGATCACGAATCCTCACGGTCGAATCATGCGAGGTTGATGCGAGTCGGCGTCCATCTGGAGACCAGGCAATCGATATGGCCGAGCTACCATGCCCCTCGAGGATAGACGCGCTCTGGCCGGTAGCCAGATCCCAAATCCGGGCGGTGCAATCCAAGGACGCTGATGCGAGTCGGCTTCCATCTGGCGACCAGGCAATCAAGGTGATCATTAACGTATGTCCCTTAAAGGTAGACGCGCACTGGCCGGTAGCCGTATCCCAGATCCTGACGGTCTTATCATCCGACGCTGATGCGAGTCGGCTTCCATCTGGCGACCAGGCAATCGATGTGACCGAACTGCTATGCCCCTCGAGGGTAGACGCGCACTGGCCGGTGGCCGGATCCCAGATCCTGAGATTCGTATCATGCGACGCTGATGCGAGTTGGCTTCCATCTGGAGACCAGGCAATCGACATGACTGAGCGACTATGCCCTTCGAGGGTAGACGCGCACTGGCCGGTGGCTGGATCCCCGATCCTGAGATTCGTATCATGCGACGCTGATGCGAGTCGGCTTCCATCTGGAGACCAGGCAATGGACATGACTGAGCGACTATGCCCCTCGAGGGTAGACGCGCACTGGCCGGTGGCTGGATCCCAGATCCTAAGATTCGTATCATGCGACGCTGATGCGAGTTGGCTTCCATCTGGAGACCAGGCAATCGACATGACCGAGCTACTATGCCCCTCGAGGGTAGACGCGCACTGGCCGGTAGCCAGATCCCAAATCCGGGCGGTCCTATCCAAGGACGCTGATACGAGTCGGCTTCCATCTGGCGACCAGGCAATCGAGGTGATCGTTAACCTATGTCCCTTAAGGGTAGACGCGCACTGGCCGGTGGCCGGATCCCAGATCCTGACGGTCCTATCCAAGGACGCTGATGCGAGTCGGCTTCCATCTGGCGACCAGGCAATCGATATGATGCAGGCTCTCTGCCTCTTGAGGGTAGACGCGCACTGGCAGGTAGCCGTATCCCAGATCCTGACGGTCTTATCATCCGACGCTGATGCGAGTCGGCTTCCATCTGGCGACCAGGCAATCGACGTGACCGAACTACTATGCCCCTCGAGGGTAGACGCGCACTGGCCGGTGGCCGAATTCCAGATCCTTACGGTCCTATCCAAGGACGTTGATGCGAGTCGGCTTCCATCTGGCGACCAGGCAATCGACATGACGCAGGCTCTCTGCCCCCTGAGGATAGCCACGCACTGGCCGGTGACCGAATCCCAGATCCTTACAGTCGTATCATGCGACGCTGATGCGAGTCGGCTTCCATCTGGAGACCAGGCAATCGACATGGCTGAGCGCCTATGCCCCTCGAGGGTAGACGCGCACCGGCCGGTAGCCGTATCCCAGATCCTGACGGTCTTATCATCCGACGCTGATGCGAGTCGGCTTCCATCCGGCGACCAGACAGTGGACGTGACTGACCCACTATGTCCCTCGAGTGTTTGAAGACATGAACTCCATCTTTCATCTACCACTGGGCTGTTCAAAATCCAATCTGGTTTCTCTTTCTGATAACATATCCTCGTGGTACTTTGAGTTGGGCTAAAGACAAGTCCTGAACTGTATACTTGAAGGGGGCTACTTTCGATTGCATGTCTGTAGTAGCGAATGAATCGGGACGCGTCTTGAACTCGGTCTAGCAGGTCCTGTGACAATCCTTTTTTCTATAAAGTGCATGGTTAAAATTGAGGTATTTTCAGAATTTCAATGACCACTCACCCGGAGTAAATTCTCCAGTTTCAGCATAGCGGCAATTCCTTCTGGTACGCATCCTAAAATGCTGAGGCATTCGAGCCAGTGAAGGTATTTCTGCCGTAAAAACCTATCCACACAGCCTCCATTATCAAGGCTGTGATACTTATTTTCACCACACCAACCTTCTAAAAGGTGGTCAACCCAATACACACACGCGTATTTTACAGCTGCCAGAGGATTCGAACGTGGGTGTGTGAGTCCCTCGGTAGAATTTCCAACAAGCTTAATATCGAGGATATTATGCTGAAGTGTCTTGAGCATAGTTTGTAGAGATCGCAAGAAAACTGCAAGATGTTCGGCTTCTTGATTCTCCGGAAACACCTCGATCCGTCCCTTTTCGAGCAGGAATTCCCTTGCAGACTGATGGACGAAAACAATTACGTCCTCACGCCACGTAAGAAAAGAGCCACAAATTACGATGATTTCCAGTAACGCTTCCTTGTCATCGGCGAGATCATCAGGCAACTCGACTAGGGCGGTTAATTCGTCAAGAGTGATAGGCCGATACGCAATTGACATAACAGCCAGTATTCGCTTGCAGAGCTCAGCATCTTCAGACGTTCGAACCTGATCAATCATTCGACCGTATAAAGCATCCAGTCCAGGAGGGAACTCCTTAAGTTTTTTAAGGACATGCCTCCGCGATGTCCTGTTGAGATCTTGACAAACCAGTGCCACCCAGAGGAAAGTGCCTTGTGAGTTTGACGATAAGTGACGCTGAACGGCATCGCGGAGTTCATCTTTATACTTTTTGACTTCTGCCAATTGGTGAACCTTATGCTGAATGAACTGTACCACAGCATTTGATACGCATGTCTCATTTAGCTCTAATGAGATGGGCGCTGTCTGCGTTCCAGTATTCAGATGCTCTTCGATACTAGGCCAATTGCGGCTTGAGACAATCCACTTCACGTGCGAGTGTGTGGACGATTGCTGAATAACTAAGTCCAGAAGGAGAGGGAGGTCCGTTGTGCATTCGTCTAGCGCATCGATCACCAGATAAGTATTCTGTAAGGTTGGATCTTTCAAAATATTGTTCATAATATTTGAGAGCGCATTCCATGCATTGATGTCCTCAAACAGGGTCTTTCCAGCTTGATCGTACCGGCTCCGAACATGCGATAGAAGCGATGCCTGCTTCACGACCAGTGAATATATTAAGCCACGAAGCACTGCTGTTGCAGTATTGATTCGTACGTCCGTAGCTTGGCAAAAGAAGAAGGAGATATTTCCATTATCTCCGATCGATAGGGTTAATTCGTTAATGATCCCCCACAGTAGCATTGTCTTGCCTTTGCCAGGATCACCCTTGATCCAGAGGAGACGGCTGCTCTGGTTGTCTTGCCACTGTCTGAACTGCTTGTTGTCTAAAACCCAGCGGTACGAGTCTATGAGCAACCCTCCGTTGGTTCTTTCGATGCGGCCCTTGTCATCTTGAGGATTAGTCGTTCGAAGATCCCGCAGACATGCATGATTTAATGAGTCTTCCGGTTGTGCTGAGGCAATTGAACTGATTAGTCGCATTCTGTGACAGTCGTGATATTCCCTACCTACAGAACCGAGCAGTTATAGGACCGTGATTCTGTCCGATTTGAAGCCCTGAGTTAGGGCCGTCATATGAGATATTGGTTGCCATAATAGACCTCGAGCCAGGTCGGTGCTTGGTGGTACCAAGGTTGACATTGCTGACTTGGAAGTTTACCCCGCAATCAGGTGACCGATAAAGTCGGTCAGGGGAGCCAATCTTCTCGATTTCATAGTCCTGATATATCCACAGAATTTTATACTACGTTAGTTCCCTGTCTGTAACCATGATGAGTAGTGACTACGCAGTGCCATTGTACCTATTACCCGTAATACGAAAACCTTTAGTTAACGATCGGACAATGCCAGACATAGAGCAATGTAATTTATTTCAGTACATTACACAAAAAACAATCATGTGACTTTAAGCATAAATACGTTTCACGATCTTACGAGCGCCTAAGTTCAAAATAGACTAGCGTGTTTCATAATAGAGTTAAAGAAAGAATCGAAGAGAACGAAGAGGTGAAACTGATTTCGAACGGCCCTGTAGAAAAAAAATGATATAGAGTATAAAAAGTGGACAGGACACGGAGCAAACAGAGTGCTAACCGGAAGACTAATGGACCCATACCTTGGATTGTAATTCACTCTACTTTCACCGACAGAGCTTTGTTAAGTGAAGTAGCTACCAAAAGGGTGCGGCATTACCCGTTTGATTTATAAGAGACCCTCTTAGCAACCGCGGATATTAACCATTTTCATCTATCATGGAGAACATAAATGCCTCCAACTCCGATTTGCAAGACTTCCCCGGGTCATTTTTTCTAGGCTTTGCAAGGGTCGAGATTCGAAATTTTGAGTTTGGAATAAATGACGAGGGAAATGTGCTGAACTACCTTCAATTCTTTGAGTGCAATGGGTGCTCGCGTTTGGACCCCGAGCATCACGTATCCGCAGTAGTAAACCAAGATGTGTTCACAAATATAATTGAATCGCAGAATCTATCTGCGGCCGACTTTGATGACGTGAAACACCCGCCCTTGCTACAGCTTGAGTCAGGCAATAAACTGAGGTGTATCCGGGGACATGATCTGCTAGAGGCAGCTCACCGGTACCTTCCTCCCGGCGAGCGATGGTGGTATACAAAACTCTATAGTGATGGTCAGTCTTATATAGTCGAAGCCTACTAGCAAGGATTTATTTTCTAATGGCTATCACAGGCATACCGAAGCATTTGGAGGACAATATTCGACAGAATTACTCCATAAGTGAGCCCGCATCTGATGAGATTATCTTCCGTTCCATCCTTCTAAGACACGCCTCTTTGGAGATAGCGGAGGCGAACTTCGGGTCTAGTGCCGATTACCATTATGTGAAGCAGGTCAATCAAAACCATTCATTGCGCTCAGCACTTAAAAGGCTAGCTAGATACCGTGGACTATGGAGCGAGTTTACTTATCGGAAGTTGGAGTATATCGTTAGCCCACGATGTGATGAGGTATGTATGAATATATCAGTATAATAAAGAGGGTTATTAACTTGATTATAAGGAAATCGTTCACTATCTAACCAAAATTTACGAGATTTGGTCTGAGCTTTTCCCAGGGGAAAGTGCTTCTCTGGTCGACGCTCTATCAGTTGAGCTTGTGGAAGGCCGGATGCCGAAGTACTCCCTCGACGATAGATCTGCCATCGAAGATGGAATGCGTAATGGGTCGTTGTTTCCAGGGTTAGATTCTAATAGGGATGGTGTTCTTGGGGGTTTATTGGCGGTTTCGGGACGAATTCTGACTTTAACCCTTCTCTTCCGCGACGCGATGTGTTTAGGTCCACCAGCCAGAGCGATGAGAGACATTTTACACATCCCAAGGGGACAGACAATCAAAACAGTATTCCTAAGAAACTGGAGAGATTGGAACGGAAAATTCGTTATACAGGTGGCAGAAACCAAATTCGAGGATATTTCACTTGGTCCACATGATGAAAATACTGAGAGCACGGTGGCTTTAGCGACGCTCTCTCAGCTCTGGCTTACGGCTTTAAGATATCATCTGAATCCTCGGCTGGGAAGACCAAAAAAAAGCTACAATGTTCAGCCCCTTTTAGAAATACGAGGCAAGGGGGTTCTGCAACAGACGGCGAAGGCGCTTGGGCTAAACTCTGGTGACCCACCTATTCGCGACCCGAACCTTCCGGCATTTCAACATGTGACCGCTGTACTATCGGAGGCCCCTGGTGCAGATTCAGATTGCAGAGCATCTGCCTGGCTGTCCAAGCGGTTCCAGCCTATAATATCAAGGCTAAATGGAGAAGAGGGTCCACGCAGTCCAAATCTAGCTTCAGACAGAGAAACTGAGCGTTCAAGCTACAGATCAGGACGTCCTCTACAACGAGAGTATCAGCACGATCGTCAATTTCTTTTTTTTCGATCCATATTTTACCCCCAGGAAAGTCCTCGGTCATTCCCGACCTCGTTCGCTATCATGAGAGATTTTTTCATATCTTTTTTTGGACAACCGCAACTTCCAGGACAATTAAGAGAGAATCCTCGCGACCTTAATTCGCCAATTGCCGAAGAAATATCAACATCAGTTCCCTCGAGACCTCCCTCGACACATCCTTCGGAGGGATCAAGGTATACCTCCGCCGAGCCACATGAATCATCCGTCTCGCACAACCAAATGTCTTTAGTCCAGCCCCAACAGTCACCAGGAGAGTTTCATTTGACATCTATGGTCTCTCTGCCACCACATCCAGAGACCTATTCATATGAGTGGCAGCAAGATGTCCTCGTCGCCCCTGGGTTTGAAGAGAATGACTCTATGGCACCTATGGCAACGAAAAATAAAATCCTACGTCTGGCTAACGCCATGGAGATTCTTTCAGAGTGGTTCCAGGCTATTTCTGATAGAAGTGATATTGTGGTCCTCTATCTCTTCCAGACCCACGAATATATTAAATTCCACAAACAATCGCATGGTAGCATAAGAAGCTACCTCGATTATCTTGTGACCGGGCGTCGTTGCTACTTTCTCACCCTTAACGATGATGCATTGACTACTGTTGAGATTGAACATGCAACCGATATCGCTATCAATAGCGGTCTTCTCTTTGTCGGCAACAAAGAAGCATTTTTCCCGGGTAATAAGTCAAAAGATTTGACTCGTGGTATATCACAAACCCAGCTCGATGAATATATTGCCAACTGTAATATTTCGACGGGAAATCCGAGAAAGCGTACGCGAGATGATTGAGGAACAATGTTGACGAAACAATTCATTTTGCTGCCTAATGGACAACTACATATAGAACGAGTAATCTATAGAAATATCAAACAGGCCCTCTTCAGTGAGGCGAGGACAATAAAAACCGTCGGCAAAATTTATAATAGATTATATCCCATATTTCTATACTAATAACGACGCCGTACAGCCGCAAAATGCTCCGTTGTAGGTTGGTTTCCCAATCGAATATCTCGAGGTTCATTCTGCACAAGTGCCTATTTTCAAGATCTTGAATTGCGGAAGGGAGTTGTCCGATATATCAGTCTCATCCTCTGCCTTTCTTTTCCGAGCAAGGCAGTTGGGACGTGGTTCATCAATGGAGTGTCCATCATATAAGTGTCTTCGAAGGCTTTTTTGGTCCGCATAAATCTGTTGATTGCACAAAGGATGCGGGCATGGTATGGCGGAGTTAGACTCAAACTTTTGAAGATGGGCGTCGATATGATTACAAAGTGTGGCTTTCTTCAACCATTGCTGAAATCTTTCATCTGGCTCTTTGTCTTCATCGCCAAGGCAGAAAGGGCAGAAAGCGGGGGCAACAAGCGTAGAGCGAAATGTCATGAGGCCACATCGAGGTCTGAGACTGTCAAGGTGCGATTTGCAATGCTGTGTCCAGCTTTGTTGGTCGTGGTAAAATTCCGCGCATAGATAACAAAACTGAGCGAAATTCCGCTGAGCTCGGCGATGAGCGCGTTTGCCATTCGTGTATCGCTGCTGGTAAGGAGCAGAGCCTAGTGATTTTCTTCGACATTGTAATATGTGTTTCGCTCGCCCACTATGTGCAATCCTATATTTGATTTAGCTGATGCAACTTGGTCCTCAACTTCATTAGACTTACCTCGACATGCTCGTTTTGCAAATTGGACACAGGCCACCTTCAGGACACAATCCAGGGTAGTAGACGACCCTTTCAGTGTTCTGGCATAGGTGAATCATATCTAGCAAGCATTGACGACCAATAACACTATCAAGAGTTGCCTCTGTAAATAGGTTTTCTTTAAGACGCGCCCGCTGCGGAATGTATTTCTCCAGTATCTCAAGGACACAAGTTTTGTCACGTTCTTCAAATTCATTCCCTGCCATATACGCATCATACGAAGCATCCCACCAGGCGGAAATAAACGATAATTTGCAGGCCTCAAGTTTGTTGGCTTTTGTACTATAAAGTTTTGTACGTTTAGCATCGAGCTCTGGGTGATCCTTAGGTTTGCCGGCAATTTGCTTTGTAAGTAGGACAATCTCTGCGTCAATTATCGCAATCTCCTCACTCTGTGAGAACGCTTCACGAGCAGCTGCATTCAGAGAGATAGGAGCATTGGGATCGCGGTGGTGAGCCATGCTTTGTTCCATATCTCGGCACTCAAAGTCCGGTTCTAAGTCATAGAACGATGCCTGAACATCCGATGCTTTCAAAGCAGACTGATATTTTAGAAAGGTATCAGGGTTTTGGTGATCAAGTGCTTGGCTACGAGTAGCCTCAGACGCTCGCCCTAGAACAGTTAGTAGAAAACCTTGGTAGTATATAAGAACACATACCATCAATCTTATTAGCAACACCTCCTCGAATGCCGTGTACACGTAGTGGGTCTTTAAAGCCATCTCGCCTGGCTAGGCTGATGTTGTTATGGCGTAGTGATGCGAATGTCAATGCTTTATCCTTTGAAGGCCCTTCGGGGGTAACCATTCTAAAGAAAGGAAGATTTTTCGTGTCTTCCGTCCATTGAAGAGTCCACGACTCTCGCCCTTTCGGTGGGTGCTGCGCTAATAGTTGCTCGACACTGGAAATGTTCTTGAATGCATTATCCGCGATGCCGTGGACAATAACCCAGAAAATGAAATTTGATCCTAGTACCGGGTGCTCTCGAAACCAATTTTTTGGTCTTTATAAATATTGTCAGCCTATCGATTAGAATTGGTTTTAGAGTATAGCTCACAGAGTGGTATCGTCTTGGAGTCGGTATCCCTTTAAGAACTCGGGTTCGATTGTGACCCATCGTTTGATAGTCCCTGGTTCCCTGCCCCACTTCAAATGGAATTCGATATGCTAAGCGATAAGGTTAATATCGAAACTATATAAGAGATATCGGGGATGCAAACCCTATAGTAAAGACACTCATTGGTATGGCGATACGCACTCGACTCCACGATCGCCCCTGCCCGGGACCCGGAACCAGCGAATAAAGCAAGTGATGATGCGGTTTGTACCCTGGCTCTCTCATGGATATAATCATGGGAATCGCTAGTAAATAACCGGCGTAAGAGGTAGTCGATATCTTTTGCTGTAACTAAGAAAGGCTCGCGTGGCTTTGTACGGAGCTTATGTTTCTTAGTCAAATTCACCCGGATGTGCTATTGAAAAAGGTATTAGTTCGGCTCAAACGGTGGTCGGAAAACTTACATTAAGAACATCGTCTTTAACAGTTTTGTCGAGCGTCCGGACTGTAGTGCGTTCCCAATATGAAGTAAAGTTGATAAAGTGATCACATGTTGTTTTCTGGCAGGGCAATTTCTTCCGCGTGGTAACAAAATATTCCGCAAAGGACTTCAAGACTTGAGGTGATGGTGCTGGCTCATCTTTCATACTTTCAATATCAACTGGTTCTCCTCGGGAAAGCTTGAAGCTTCAAGGGTATCAGTAAGTACTTTAGCTTGAATATGATTTGAGAACCCACAGAACCCAGTTATACACTGCACGATCGTATTTATCGTGAGTAGGGGGTGCCCGGTCGGGCAGCGTGATACAATTCTCTGATTGTTCCTGCTCCCTTTGGTACTCGATCGTAAACCCTCGTGATGCTGCAAGTTTGGCTCGTGCCTCAAGAACCTCGCTTAGATTTTTTACTCGTATTGTCATTGTATCGAGTAGATAGGAGGGCGTGATAGTTTCTTAAGGTATAAGATGGCCTTTAGTATAAAAGGCAGAGTAGGAGGCTTCAGTTTAAAAATATGAGGGGGGTGGGCGGGTATAGGTAACTTCGTGCAGGGTGAGCGGGGCTCACCACCTCGCTCACCCTGGGTGTGTAGGATGCTCACCATGCTCGCCGAGGGTGTGAAGTTACTGCTTGAGCTGGCCACTCTCACTCCAATTATTCACACCCAGGCTAGTAAGTTTTTGCCGCTGCTTCAACGGGAAAGGCATATCGAATAATTGATTGAGCAGAGAGTGTGGCTTAAGTACGGCTGAGCGGACGGGAAGCCCTGTTTTCCACACCCTATGGTCGTATGTACTAGATTATGAGCGAGAGAGGATGATATCGCGATAATGTGAAGGTGGTTGGGTGAGTGGTGGGTGGTCATATGGTGATAGAGGGGTAAAACTCGCACTATTTTCTAGCTCAATGTCCCTGAATCCAAGAAAATTTATCGCTCTCTCTATCTTGCAATATACCCCCTCTTGCTTTCCCCATCTGGGCTGATCTCTTTAACGCTGAGCATGCATGCCACATCTGGCAACATCCCCTGATGAAAGAAGCCATGGATCAGCAGTTGTTGCCCTTCGTGAAATATTCTGACAAAGACAGAACGTAAGAGGCCAATTAGCGCCCTAAAAAAACGATCTAATTAGAATAGACCAGACACACCCTATCTCACTCTCATGATTGAAGGAGATTCAAGTGTGAACGTGTTGGCTGATGAACTCATTTACGACGTCCTCTTCACAATCACGCGGGCTGCAGACGACCCACACACACGACCATGCACCGTTCACTGGAATCCCGTCAAAGACGGCTGTAGTCAGTCGGGTATGAAATTGTTTTTCCATGGAGAGGAGGGCCTTCAACTCAAAGATTTAGATCCTGAAAAGTTGCCTAAGAAACTCCTCATTCCACGAGAAGTAACCACATCGGATCCTTACTTTAAGGGGCTTGTCCCAGGCAGTAGCGTCTCCTTGAAGGCGCCCTTACCAGCTGTGAATTTCGACGATTCCTGTCCAGAAGTAACCTATTCAGTTCTCTGACCAGGTGGTCAAATCCCTATTTGGGACTGGGGGACGCTCGCGGAACATAGTGAACGCAGACTGGTCCCAAAGTCCACCCCAGTGGTACGTCCCGGTCCACCATACCTGAAATTTGAGACACTGAACTATGAGAACGATCCTGAATATTTTGAAGACCCGCCTCCACCTTCACCGCGCTCCATTTCACCGTCTGCCCGTGTGAGCGGTGCCCCCATTTCCAGTGTCACGATCGCTGGCCCTACTACCCTATCCATGAAAGATCAAATTCCCTCGGCGCCGCAGTACCCTCTTACTGTAACCGTCTCCTATAATATAGAGGCTGGTTTACCATATTTACCACACAACGGCATGTTAACATTCCATTCATACATTTTTAAACAACCCGATGACCATAACGAGGGGTTCAGGATATATAGGAGAGGGAACGACGGATGGACTCCATACGAATGGAGGACGCACCAGAGGGGTTTTATAATCACTGAACCCCATGCACTTAATATTGGCCGCAATGACAAGAATCACTTCTGGATCCTAAAACCCGGGGAATCCAGGTCGTTCACTCGCAAAGTGAATGAGTTCCCGAAGGATGCAGCTCCAGGTGATACGTTCCGGTATATATTCAAAGGAGCTACGCTTGACTGGTGGAATTGGGGAAATTTCGAAACCCATAAAGACACCGTGGTTTGGGTACCTGGGTGGCTTCAGGCTAGGGTTCAAGATCCCAAAGACAATGAAGGCAGACCTGTAGTTGTTGTGCCATCTAGCAATGCTCTGAAATTTACACCAGTATATTGAGACCCTAGGGCAAATACACGAGAGGTCTGAAAAGTCTGGACATTGAGATTTTGTTCCTAATCACTCCACAAGCAGCTTTGTCTCAACATGTTGTATGGCATTAGCCCCCTTAGCTCTCTATATTGGAATGGATGACTCGATATCTAGATTACCCCGACTGGCTGGAATCACGGTGATATTGTCAATTCTACTATTTGTCACCATCGCACGGGAATATTGTACATAGGTATCTATTTGGGCTTCTTTACTATTGATCAGTTCTCTCAGAATCCAATGAAATAGTTATGTACAGGTGTTCTGAGGCTGTATTATTAAATATCAAGTCTCCGAGCCATAAAAAATGGAGAATCCTGCTGATGCTCTGCCTTAGTGATTGCAAGTTCGGCTAGCCCGGTTAATTCGGTGATAAGTCCCTGGAGGCGGGTTACATGGAAATTTTGAGTTCGAACCTGGCGGGGTAGTTTTTTGATTAGAGAAACAGCCAGGCAGAGAAGTTCCAAATCCTGGCGAGCATAGGCGCTTAGAGGTTCAAGAACGATGCTGGAAAAGATAGTCAAACAAGCTGATATCGGATAGAAAATATAGAGCCTGGTATGATCAGCTTATGTTTGTAATCGCTAATGAAAGGGGAAGTATTAGGATTTCATGATATAAAACGTACCAGAATGTACCGTTTGGCAACAAATGTAGCGAGCCCTGCAACGAGAGGAGGGATGATCTGCTTGTTTCTACTGCAAGTGCGAAACTTGATCTAACTCCTTCGGGTGTATTGCTATTATTTCCGGTTGCTTTGCATCGACCGCTAGCCTGGTGAATGATAGACATGCAGTGATGATAATCCATCCGTACGATGACAAGATGCATGTCTACGATAGGACTGTCAGTTGATAGCTGCTGGGAGATCAAAAGGGTGGGTCGGTGGTTTGGCGGGAGTGACAATCTCCATTTCTCGAGATCGTTGTCAAGCTCACGAATAGAAATCAAAATCTCTGTCTGAGATTTGCCAAGGGACCCTGGTTGGTAGAAAGTGTTGTATACCCGAGATTTGATCTTAAGCAACCGAAGGTCGCTCGGGAATAGCGGGCCCTCAATTGTCGTGTTCTTGGCGTCGGAAGATGACAGTAGTGTATACATTTGCTCTTCATAGCCAGGCGGAAGGGTAAGGTCACAGTCTTCGTCACGAATGGCAGGGGGTTGGCCCGTGCGGATAGACAACTCCTTATCCAGTACATACGCAGTCCAGAATAGGTTTCGCAGATGGCTAAGTGGATGATGATTTATATGTGCACCGAGCCTGAATATTAGTCGAGCTATGAGTGAATCCAGATAAAGTGCAGGTCGGAAGTGTCCGAATGAACAATGGATCATCAGCTAAATGCCAGAATATTAGTTAGAGTAGATTGAATGCAGATCGGTTTGCGGGGAAAAGACACGTTAGGCATGATACCGATCCTGAAGATGGGCCAACAGGCATGATAATCATGAGGCATGTCAACATGCACGTACCAACATCAGGGTGGCTTGAAGTCCATCGGTAGTTTCTTCTTGTGCGATGTCGTATATGTATCGCTCAGCTTCTGCTACCAAATCTGGGACAGTGACTGGAAGCGAGTGTTTTGTGTGAAGGTTCCAGACTTCGGATAATGATGCAAAAGCACAAATACATGCCCTCGCACTCAACATTCCGACGGAATAATTCGAGGGATTTTGATAAGCAAGGTGGATCATACGCCTGAAATGGGTTTCATTGATTATTGGAAAGGATAGATGTGCAGGTGAGCGGTAATATGACGCCAGGCACTCATTGATATAAGTTATATCTGGTAGCCTGGAGGTAAACTCCATCGGCGTGTCTGAGTGTAGCGCTTCCGGCCCATGACATAGCCAAGGAAGGCTGGGCTTGGAGAGATCTTGAAGATTGATCGAGTAGCCGATAACAGACTCGATTGACTTTTGGATGTCTGATAGAGCAAGAGCAGTGCCGTTGCGGGGGTTGGTCTCTAGATAGGGATTGTTCCAGTAAACCCTTCTGACAAGTGAAAAGAAACCTTGGCAGCCGAGCAATTTGTGGGGACTGCCTCTAGTTTGGGGGTTGCTTGTTTCATTCCTTTCTTAAATACTTGTCAACCAAGTCAAGTAGAGAGGGTCGAGTATAGCTTACTGACCTGAGCTGTTGGCCGTGAGTCTATCAACTGGAAGCTTTTCCACCAGAAAGATTCGATCTTCCAGCCGAGATGCTTTTTGCTAAAGTTTCCTCTATTAGCAGCTGAATTTTGCTCCTCGGAAAAGGTAACCGAACGCTAATAAAGCCTGAAAAGCCCACCTCTTGCCTTTGCAACATTCTGGTAAAAGTGCATGGAGAGTTATGATGTTTGCACCAATCGCACCTAGGGTATTCATGGTCACATTTGATCTAAATTGGATATTCGTAAGCGCTTGTTTGACACATACAAATCAGCAACAGCGCGGAATCTTGAGGTTACCTTCCTCACTGAACAAGAGTCACATGCTCTCACTTTTCTCTTCCTCTTGTGGCTCAGAGTCGCGTTCCCACTCAACCTATCCATTGCTTGTTTTGTTACCCAAAAATCGTATTTTCTGAGGGTATAGTTCCGAACGTCAAGAGAACACGGATTTTGAAGCAATCCTGGGCTCGTTTTGGTGAAATTTCAATTTGATAGACGGCGCCCCTGGACCGATAATGCGCTGAGTCAGCGGTGTTGAACATGCAGGCATGGATGTTTGACAGACTGAGCAGTCTTCAGATGATGTTTGGTGCTAAGGGTATTTAAACCCTTCATTTAATTAGTTCTTACAAATAACAACTCTTCTTCTTCATCTATCTCCCCACTGTAGTGCCACCACTACAACAAGCGCATTAGCGGCAACTCTGTTGACTTGGGTGGGGCATAGTGGGCCATGGCTACGACGGCCAGGGTAAGCTTTATTTATTCACTAACCTTTGAAGATTTTTGGATTATAAACGAGAAGATGTACTCATAAATGTCCGGAGAAAAACAGAATTAGTCTTAGACAACTTGTTTCTCCCCTTTCTTCTAAATAAAAACGATAGTTGGATATAATTCTGAGACCTTAGCCTTCGTGCCCGCTGTGTAAGCGCATTTAAAGTGGATACCTTCCTATTTTAAAACAGCATACATCTATTGCGGAGGACCTCTACAAGAACGCTGCTCCTGCAATGGAGATGACATTCTGGGTCCGTACAAACTACTTTGTATACAGTACTCAATCTAACTTGGTGCACATAGGCTGGAGGCAAAGACTTTCCCTTGACACGTATCGCTCGCTTTCCAAAATGGTACCCTGAACTCGACGAGTACCATATAGTCCACACTAGCCAAGGTTGGCTCCATTATCTCTTAAAGCCAGTGAGTTGCTAAACATACATAGGGAATACTGAGCGTGCTCTGCTGGATGGCATGAAAAGTTTCAACGGACCCGAAGTTGAACGGGGGGTCATCGCGTCAGCTATTGACATTGATGAGTCGACCATCAATGATCCTCGAGCTCATGCAATCAAATTGACGGTAAAACATCTGACGGACGAAGAATTAGCTGCGTCTTCGGCCAAGGTTACTGTTCCTCAGCCCGGCGATTTCAACTATAACCCGGCGGACGAGCCATACCTGAAGCGTAAAGTTACCGGGAAAGAGGGGAGTACTGAGGTTATCAAGGCGAAGTTTGTGATCGGGGCCGATGGAAGCCGAAGCTGGACTCGCCAAGCTCTGGGTTTCGACTTTCTCGGAGATGCAGATGAAAATGACGATGAGGCTATTGGAGGAATTCTGGATTGTGTTGCGACTTCAAACTTCCGTAAGCCATCCTATACATGCTTTGGGCTATGCTAATATGACTTAAAGCGGATATTCACATCCAATCTGTGATTTCCAAGGACGGACGTGGTGCGGGATTCGTACCACGGGAGAATGGCTTGTTGCGCATGGCAGCCCCCGTAGCTACCAAGGAAGAAGCAACTCCTGAAGGCATCATCAAATCACTCAAAGAAATTATTTCTCCCTATGAGCTCGATGTCACTCAGGTTGATTGGTGCGGATCATTCAGTACGCGCCGTCTGATCGCAAGCTCTTCTTCGAAGTACTCGCGCGTTTTTCTCGTTGGCGACGCACTGCATATCCATTCACCTCGGGCTGGCATTGGTATGAATTTCAGCATCCAAGACGGTAAATAATCCCCTCTTATACTATGTGGAGCTTTGCTAACATTTTCAACCTATAACCTCGGGTGGAAAATTGTCCATGTTATCAAGGGGAATTTCTCCACTTGCTCTTTTGAGAACATATAACGAAGAGCGTGGATTGACGAGCAAGCAACTTCTCGCTTTCGATAAAGCCATTCCAAAGCAGTCGCCAATGGGAGCACAGTTTTCCGTTGAAGGGACCAGTGGAGGACTGAAGGATAACCTCCCATTCTCGAGCACTACAGCAATTGAGTATGAAGCTGGCTTGCTTGTCGCCAAGGAAAGGGCTCCTTTTGTTTCCAAGCAGCACTTGGCGCCTGGCATTCTCGTGGGCAGGCGCCTGCCCTCGCAGACCGTAGAACGGCACATGAACGGAGAACCGATTAGCTTTGGGAAATGCTTTCCTAGCGATGGTCGGTACAGGGTTGTTGTCTTCGCGGGTAATATATCGGAACCAGAACAGCTGCGTCGTGTGGAGAATCTTAGCAAGGTTCCGAGCCTTTCGGAATACCTAGCCCAACGTCTTGACAGCCGTGGTATTACTCCACAAGACGTATTTGACATCCTCATCGTGCACAGCGCGAACAGGGATGATCTAGAGGTCACTGACTTACCTCCGTTGCTTCTCAAGAACAGTGATGGATTTGATCATGTGTTTGTCGACAACAATCAATCACGGATCTGGACTCTAACCGACGCATATTCCAAGTATGGGATCAACAGAGAGAGAGGATGCGTTGTCTTGGTCCGACCTGATAGACATGTTACGTACATTGGTGAGTTGGAGGATATATTTGAGCTGGTTCAGCTTGTATCCTCTCTTTATGTTAATTAGCGTTGGAGCATCATCCCAAGTATGCTTGTTTGCTAGCAGGCTGAGGACTGTTCAAATGGGTTTAAACCCTGGATTACTAGTTACAAATAGATCATGTTTTTTCCTCTGCTTTTCCCCTCCTTAGTACTCCCCGTATAATGAAGGCAGTCTATAGGCTAGTCCTCTAGATTAATTCTACCACAGCCCATAGACCATTAGTATGGGCGCGGGTTCCTTAATACTAATTTTTTGACAGACTTGTGTTTCTTGAAGGTATTAAATTGCAGCCATCATCCAATTTTGCGTAGGAATTCGACCTGAAAAGACTAAAGCATACAACATTATGCTTAAGACTGTGGTCACCTAGCGCCCACGGTTCGGCATAGGCGGCTCACCGCTCTATTTATAACTCAGTATACAAGATGACAAGAAATCTGCTTGTATCTATCGAGTACTTGTCCTTCAGATATACTTGATGTCTTAGACCCTTAGGGCTAGGACTGGGGGCTGGGAGCCAGAATTACAAGTAATACAAGCTAGTCTAGCCCCCATGGCCAAGACGGAGTGTCGATGTCAAACTACCTATTCAGCACAGCCCCCCCATCTCTGTACAGCCCTATCCACTTTTGCAGATCTCAGTTACGCCACCTTCTTTTATTATTTAGTCAAAACTTCTACTTTCCAGATTCCTCATCTCAAGAATACTTTCCCTCTACTGAAGAGCACTTTCTTTAATTACATAGAAACCCTCACTATGGGAAAAGAGAACTTCATCCGCCAAATCGAAAATTCCGTTGAGTTCAAATCCCTCAACAAAGTAGTCAAGGAAGAAGTCACAACGCAAGATGCAGTCCAAGACCTCATCGACATGACCATGAGTGCGTTGTCCATTCATGGTCCAAACAAACACGGCGGGATCGGTCTCCCAGACTACAACGTCTCTCTTGCGGTAATGGAGCTCGCTCAACGCCTGGAGCCATTTCAACACACCAAGCTTGTTGAGTTCATATCTCGTCTCCAGAGGCAAGTTGCCGTTGATCCGTCTACGAATGAACCTCTGAGGGTCCAGGGCGATACCCTCTGGACAGACATGCCATCTTTCGGTTACACGGAGCTTGAGACGTGGTACGAGTTTGGTGGCGATTACAAAGGTGATCCATCCTCCAATTTAATCAGTCAGGGCACTAACACTTATAGACCCATCTGATGCAACGCTCGATCCCAAGCAACGAGATTGCTGGGTGAACCTCAACGCTTTTCTCGCGCAGCTCACTCAGGCTGCAGACATTCACTATACACCTTCCAAGGAAGAGGTGGGATTGCATCCCCTGGACAAATCACTACGAGCCATCTGGACCATTGCGATGGCACTTGAGGGCGAGTGCCTTCCTACGTCACTGGAAGATACGGCTGCGATGGAGGCCGCTTGCCAATGGTTCATTTACGCTGCGGAGCGATTGTGGGCAAATGTGCTTAACAGTCGCACGTACCCTGAGGCAGCTGGTGCTGGACCGGGGAAGAGGTATGAGGGAAAGGGCTGGACGGGCTATACGCGAGAACGATGGGGAATCTGGGAGGATGCGCTGAAGGAGGCTAGAGCCAAATGTCAAGATGAGCGGATGTGGAAGCTGATTGATGATACTTTGGCTAGTTTGAGAAGGGGAATGGCGAATCAATAGTGGATAGACCCATTCGGTTCTAGTGGACATTCATTCAAATCCTCTGGGTGGTTAGTTGTATAGTGTAGTATCATGATATCTGTCTCTTTTCACTTTGTATAAGTCTAGCAGGATCAGCCTGGTACGATTATGATATTCGCTCTCATGTATTAAGAACCGGCTTTGACCTTCTCTTCCTCTATTCATATACTACAGAAAATATTCATGTTTTCTTCTCTACTGACTTTCGCAAGCAGTTACATGTCGGCAAAGGCGATGTCTCTGCTAAATGTGATGCTATTTTCTCCCCTGTGAATAGCATTGCTGTTCAGGCAAGTAACGGAATATTGAGTTGTGGGATCGTACATTATCTATAAGTAACATCCAGTTTGCATATACATTAATGGTAATTAATTGTCTACCCAATGTTATTTGAGTTCATCCCTCGGATGAGTGACTATTTTGCTATCAAAGATTAGTAGTACACGAATAAAAAAAAATTTTATAGTCAAAGGTGTGCATTATGTACAGTCCTTACAAAGATGAGTACTGCTTCTATGAAGTGTACATATTCAAGATTGTCCTTATTTCCATGGGTAATGTGCCACCTACAAGATATTGTGAAAGAAGAAAAAGAATCAACGAAAGTTAGAATCATTTTTGTCGCCAACCAGTAAGTGGCGAGGGTAAGTAAGTAGGGTAGGTACTAAAAACATGAAGCAAAAAACAAAACAGAAACATACAACAGTGAGGATTCGCTGGTGGTCACCCACCCAACTACTAACTCACCGGCGTGTGGCTTAAGTACGGCTGAGCGGACGGGAAGCCCTGTTTTCCACACCCTATGGTCGTATGTATCATGCTACGCGTGGAAAAGGATTATGGATAGTGTAAAAGATCGGAAGTGTTGGGTTATGAAAGGGTGAGCGTTGACTTGCCAAGATAGGGGGTGAAATCCGGATGAGAATCCTTCGGGCCGCTATAGCCAGCCAGGAAGGAGAGATAACGCCAATCACGGACTCTCATATTGGAACAACAATCCTCCGAAACTTAATTGGAGAATTCGATAAACAAAACAGCCCAGTCACCTCTACTCTGTACTGTTGTTACCTTTGCTACACTGTACAGATCAGTTGCAATTGAGCATCTCCAACCAACAAAGATCGAAACGTTGAAGTGAACCGTGGGAACTGTCCCTCAAGAAATCTAGAGGTCGCAACCATGAAGAACTTTATCGGCGCCACACTGGTGACAGCTGTTGCAGCTACAGCGACTAGCACTTCTGCTCCGACATCGGCCCCAACTGGATCTAGTTATGCATCCGGGTTTGACATGACCAAAAGCTGGGCCAATCTCAGCCCTTATAAGGACGCAGATAGCTTCGGCATTCCTAGTGGTGTGCCGCAAGGATGTGAACTGTCCCAGGTGCATGTTCTGCATCGCCACGCGCAGCGATTCCCCACGCCTTACCCGCTGGACGGTGAGGGAATGACCGACTTTGCTGCGAAGTTAACCAATTACAGCAAGGCTAACCCGGGCAAGACCGTGGCTGTGGGTCCTTTGAAGTTCCTGAACAACTGGGACTATGTTATTGGCGAGGACACTCTTATGGAAAATGGTGCTGCCACTGAGGCTACCTCCGGTGCCAACTTTTGGATCAAGTACGGAAGACTGTTGTACCGTGCCGGACGTGAGAATGTCGCTGCTTGGAGCTCATCTCTTAACGTTTACGCCAACGGCACAGACCGCCCAACACCAGTGTTTCGCACTACCTCCCAAGCACGTATTTTGGAAAGCGCACGTTGGTGGCTCAGTAAGTGGAACTCTTATCTCATTTGTCAGTCCGGGATAACCAGCTAACCTCCTCGACTAGGCGGCTTCTTTGGCAACAGTGGAGGCAACAGTTCTTACGACCAGTATAATCTTGTCGTGATTCCCGAGCAGGCTGATTTCAACAACACTCTCGCTTCTTACGAAACATGCACCTTTGATTATACCGAAGGGTGAGTGAACATTCCTCTGACAATGAATACTTAAACATGAAACCGTATTAACGAAAATAACAGCGACAACGCTGCTGAGATCTTCATTCCTCGATACACGAAGGATGCTGTCACCCGTCTGTCCTCTTACCTCCCTTCTGACTTCAACCTGACCAGCATGGACGTTCTTGCAATGCAGAACATCTGTGTATACGAGTACACCAGTCTCGGCGGCTCATCATTCTGCTCTCTTTTCACTGAGCAAGAGTGGAAGGACTTTGAGTACAACGTCGACGTGCAGTACTATGGAGACTACGCCTACGGCTCTCCCAGTGGTCGCGCCCAGGGCATCGGCTACGTTCTAGAGCTCGCAGCTCGCCTCGAGCACAAGCTCATCAACTCAAGCGATACAAGTATCAACTACACCTACACCAATAACGAAGCCCAATTTCCATTTGACCAGCCCTTCTACATGGACATGTCTCATGATGATATCATCTTGTCTGTCATCAACGCTATTGGTTTTGACTACTTCAAGTATGGTCCCAAGGGATTACCCGTTCACCTTGACCATGCGCCTGAGCGCAACTTCTCTCTCAGCCAGATGACGCCCTTTGGTGCCCGATTCGTTTCTGAGATCTGGACTTGCCCTCGTCATGTGTCATTCGAGAATTTGGACCCCGTTCTCTACACCAATCCTACCATCAACTCGACTACCAAAACCACAGAGTACATTCGTTTTGTGCTCAACAACTCTCCGCTCCCACAGGATGGACTGATCGGTTGTGAGAATTCCAGCAATGGTTTCTGCCACCTCGAGAAGTTCTTGCGTGGCGTGCCCGCTCTGAAAGAAAAGGCGCAGTTCCAGAAGGCATGCTTTGGTAACTATACCACCGGAAGCCAGGTCGGGGATGGTGCTCCTGAATCTTAGATCAAACTAAGAGGGCGGTTTCTACATAAGTCCTTCTTAGCATATGCTCTTGTACATATATTGTTGCACCATACTAGATGGATGTTGAGGCCTGATGCCTCGGGTGTCAGCGCTGCCTCAGTTCTGTATATAATCAGTGGGTTGTGGGGTTCCCTTGTTTGTTGAGAGACAATCCTAGGGTTCAGCCACCCCCTCAGTATTGTTGACTTAATTAGTTTCCAGAGATAGTTCTTCCTATGGTCATACATATATTATTGGTTTCTTTCATCTTCTCGTCTCATTAGTATGTATCATGTTACTAGTGAGAGACCATCATAGAAAGATACAATATTGATTGAAATTGAGTGCAATACCCATAGCCAGCAATCGTCTTTTGAAGAAGTGGTAGCTGACATAGAATCACTGTTTGTGTGTATGCTCAATATTCCAGGTCAAAAGATGCATATATATAATCAAAGTTATACAGTTGATGCAACTGGATCCTTTTTTCTGCAGGTCTGCGTATTTCCTAACATATTACCGAAATGGGCAACTCTAGGCGTGGCTGAGCGTGTATATTGTATATGCAAAACTTGGAATATAGGGCTGTGGTACATCTTACCTGGGTCCAGGAATACATAGGGGAAGAAAAATAAAACATTAGGGAGGGTAATATTAAGGCAACTGCACCTCTAGTTCTGTATATACAATTTATCGACCGACGTACTTGAGCTCCAAGTATCTTGCCGGTAGATAAGTCAAAGCTGTCACAACGAATGTAAACTCGTTGGCAACATCACCACCGGCATCTCCAATCGTCGCAGCAAGGGGACCGATAAACCAAGTCTCATCCATGCCCATGCACCACGCCACAACTCCAAGAGAAAATGCCACACTGGCGCCAATTCCCAGGGGAAGCCTAGCCGGGTCGTTCCATCCTTCGAGATCATAGTTGTCGAAGTTACCCTTGCGGAAGATATAGTGCTCCTGGAACAGGATAATGGCATAACTGGTGCACCAGTACCCCAACAGACTCAAGAAATTTTGAAGGTATTCGTTCAGCTTTTGCCGACCACCAATTGACAAACCGAGGATACAAGCAAAGCAGAACAATGTCCACAGAGACCGAGGAATGCGACCGAAGGGTCGGGAAAGTTGCTGGAAGGAGATGGCGGAACTATAAATACTGATGACGTTGACGTTGATACCGGACAAGACAAGGAGAGTAAGGAGGAACTTGGCGAATCCGCGAGGATGAAGCATCTCTTGAATGAGATAACCGATTCCTTGATCGTAGGCCGCGGACCAGTCGGGTTTGGTGTTCAAAGCAGACGCAACCATGCAGCCAGCGACCATGCCGATCGAGGTGGGAATCGAGATACCAAAGGTCGTCATGAGGAACACCTTCAAACGACTCGTGTTGGCAGGATAGTGGACATAGTAGTCGCTAGCCATTGTGCACCATGAGGCACTGGATCCGTAAACAACGGCCATTAAACTGAGAACGGCACCAGTGAAAGAGGAACCAGTCACGGTAGCCGGTGCCGCATTGTCTGCATATTCACCAGTCTCGCCGTAGATGATCAAGAAAATAACCAAAAACACCATCCAGGCCCATCTCTCGTAAATCAGAATAGCTTTCAACCCGACGCAAGAAATGAGCAGGGCCACGACAGCCAAGATAACAATTCCAAGAATCAAAGAGACGTGGCCGTCGGAGACTGCCGTCAACGCAAGACCTCCAGTGATACATGCAACGGCAGCCCATCCCAATTGCTGGATACCGTTGAGCAAGGCGACCAGCTTATTAGGCCACCAACCAAAGCTGTACCGACTAACACTGATTTGACGCAATCCAGTCACAGCGCCGAAGGTCGCACAGAATCCACTCAGCGATGCAGCCAAGATGGAAACAAAGATGGTAATGAGGATCGATTGTTTCATAGTCAGGCCGAATTCCCAGCCGAGGAAGCCAGTCGCAAAGCAGGAGGTGTTCATGGTGCCACTCGCCCACAGAGCCGCCATTGATATCTCCTCCACCCAATGGACCTCTCTTTTGTCTTCGGCACGCTTGCGCTCGATGGCATCGGACTCTATACCGAGTTTTTTATCCAGCTTAGCCTCCAGCGCGCGGATCCTAGCCAGGATACCGGTCTCGTGAGGGGCAGCATCGTCAACTGAAATCACCTCGGGTGAACCATGTTTTTCAGTGGGCTGTTGGACTGTCGCGAGGCCTTTCTCCGGATCGTAGGCCATTATTCCTGGTTGATTGCGAAGCAGGGATGGGAAAACAAGGGACACTCTGTGCCCGGGGAATCGCTGAATTTTAAGGCTGTGGGGGAAAGATAAGGCTTGTATGGGAGAAGATTTCCCAGCTCCACCTCGGTGCTGTTTCCTAATTCATTCCAAAGTTGGTTAGCGGGACCGTTACAGTGGCCCCATGTAACTGGTTACTTTGAAGCTTTTGGTTTCCTTTCGGTTGTTTCCTATCAACCCACGCCACACGGGCCCCTTGATTATTGAATGGAAACCGACGGATTCCGTTTATCAAAAAATGTAACAAGAATCGTAGGATCTCGTGGTAAATCGACGTGCTATTTTATGCAGCATTAAAAGGATTGGCCTATGTTGATGACTGAGCTCAATAATACAATCCGTATATATACGAGGTGTCAATAATCAGAAATAATGGTATACGACAATATCTATGGAAGGGTGAGAAGGGGGATCATGAGTTTTTTTTTTTTTTTTTTTTTTTTTTTACTATAGGACCTCCTCCGGAGGAATTGTGAGGGCGGTGTGGTAGCCCTTTTCATAGTCTATCGACTGTCTTATTGCCTCTATCTAATAGAGAACTAGGTGTTATCTCTTAGAGCTTTCCTTATACTCTCGATTTTTCTTCTCCCAAATCCCGTACAGTTCTCATTTCGTCAATGACAAGCCTTGCCCAGAACCTTGGCTCGGCTAAGCTAATCTTACCCGCTCTCCAGGGCATGGATCTCGTGAACCTTGGAAGCCACGTGAAGCCACGTCAGACGGCATACGCAGTGCAAAAACCCCTTCTAGAAGAGGAGATCCTATGGAACATGCTTAACACTAGGAAAGAAAATTTAAGCTGGAGTTGAGGCTGAGGTGAGATATTTACCGCCCTAGACTCTACCTAGAGTGTAGGCGGGTGGAGACCTCGAGGTCCGTTGATCAGCTTAGGTAAGAATTCTCACCCCACTCTCATCTCATGCTCGCCTCTGTCATCTTGGTATCCAGAATTCTCACCTCTATCACCCGTACCCACTACTCACTATATAATGCCGCTTATGTACTAAAGCCACGTTAATAATTGGCCAATATCGAATAGGTGGCTCAAGGGCAGCTAAGCGGACGGGAAGCCTTATCTAGCTAAGTGTGGCAAAGGATTATAAAGTGCATATAGGTCGAAACAAACATTTAAATTGTCCATGTTGTTCATTTGGTTCGTCGTATTACTCATATCTACATGATTCTATAAAAACATAAATGTGGCCGTAAACATCGCTGCGGCAAATGCCATAAGGCCCTGTGCGCCAGCCGATTCCTTAGTCAACAGTCCGCTGGCAGCTCCGGTGTGGTTTGCTGACCCGTTGACTGCAGTTGGGGTATCCCCCAGCCCAAATGGCAGTCCCTGGTAGCCAAATGTCAGGTTCTGGGGAATGGACTGATTGTAGCAGTGTCCATTTGCAATATCCAAATTGGTCAGGTCAGCCGGGTTCAGGAAGAACATGTACTTCGACTGTTTTATGTCCTTGAATCCGGAGGTGTCATATGGGAACTTGTCGCCCGGATCTGTTGCCGAGGTGTTGCGGAGGAAGATGCACTGGACTTGGTCGGGGAAGTCGGTGGCCAGTTTGGGGTAGTCGCGCATGACGTCGCTGTTGCTGGTGTCTGCCACCAGGACGAACTTGCGCCCAGGGAAGGTTTCAAAGATTTTTTGCAGTAAGAACTTGCGGATCGACAGAGTGGCAGAGACATCGCTGAAGTTGAGAGGACGGGTGTCGAAGGAGCCACCCGGGTAGTTGGTGTAGATGAACTCCATGTAGTTTCTAGTAATTTGCTCGGGGGTAGTGGTCTAAAATGGTTATTAGTATTTTAAATATGGAATTAGTAACCAGAGGAGACTTACAAGGTAGTGGAAATGCGTATCGGGGAGGCTGATGGACCAGTTGCGGTAAATCTCCGGCATGTTCTCCCAAGACGTGAATGGACGGGCGAAAGAATTGAGCAATCCTTGCTCCGGTTGGTAAATTTTGGTTACACGCAAAATATCGTCAATGTCAGAAATGATCGTGAGTCCGGTTGGAGGCACAAGATAGGCGGTAGCATTTCCGACACTTGCGCCCTCGACATGAGTGTCCAGTCTCTGGATCGCGGAGGTTTCATTTCCCGCAGTAAGTCCATTGCTATCAATCGGCACAAAAGTGTCGAAATCACCTTCAACCGTGGTGTTGTATGGAAGAGTGATTTCTTGGGTACCACCGGTTGTGTTGGATGATCCACCGCCGCCTGGTTGTCCGCTGGATCCCTGACTCGCTGCAGGCTTCAGGTGGATCTTGTTCACGGCAACCTCTGGCTGTTGCACAACGAAAATTTCGGCAGTCAGGTTACGTGCCTGGGCCTGCTGGGATTTAGGAAGGTCTGAGATGCTAGTGTTGACGAGGAAGATATCGGCCAAATCGTTCAATTTCGAGACAGAAGTGTTTGGCTGCTTATAGACGTTTCCGTGGAAGCGAACATTCCACCCTGATTTGGTCCAGTTGGCGTAAGGGTCGATGTTCAACACATTTGTTGGTAATGCTTTCAATTCGGAGCTGTCCAATCCGAGCGAGCTCACAACTGCGTCTCCAGTCGGGAACCCCTGGAAAAAATTGGGCACCCCAGATGCGACCCATGAAGGTAGACCAGACCCAACGTCCGAAAGGACATTGCCGATATCAGATTCAACGTCGCTCAATATGTTTCGGCCAACAATTGGAGAAGGGTTATGCTCGACCGGGGAAGGCGTAATGACGGGGTCAGGCGGAGCGACACTGTTGGCGAAAGCCGTGGGCGCGGGGGAAGCAGAGGCAATTGAGAGAAGTGAGGCCTGTACAAGGCTATGTGTAAGGATGTACCTCATTGTTTCCAAGTATGTCGTAGTAGGATAAATAAACAACGCTCCCGAAGAAACCACACAACGGCAGGGACCAGAACTTAAGAAAGGAAGTCGCGGGGGTATAGAAGAAATCAAAACCTAGGAAATTAAATTCTGCGATGTTCAATCTATTTAAAAGATCTAAACAGGGTCCAAAAGTCTTCAAAGGGGAAATTAACAGGGAATATCCCTTGACGTCATTGTGGGGCTCCACTATTTGTTTCCGACCCTGTTACGTCCCCGGATATTATTTTCGATGATCGCACCCAGATAGGGTTGCTCTACGTATGATTACCAGCTTATAGTCCTAGGCAATGGAGCTTTGAAAGGGGAGAGAGATGTTTCGCTTGTCACCGCTGGACACCCTACTTTCGATGGTTTGAGCCCTATGTTAGGTTCCGTTTCCATCACGGCTGTATATGTACATATCTCAATGAGAAAAACCTCTACACCTGTAAAGGTAATAGTTTGGGGTTTTGCGGTAGTGATGAAGTACCTGGTTTGATTTATACGTGGAAAGTTTAAGCCACAAAACCTCACTTTTTTCACCCTATCTATTATTTCTCCACCTGTCCGGCGTGGCTCTGCTGGTTCGGGGTCTACAACGCGTTCAACATCGCCGGAATATAAGCTGATCGAGAAGATTCAATAAAATGATAGACCTCTGGAACGTAAATAATAGCATCGTCAACGTTGTTAAACGCAAATCTTGTGTTGCCGCTTCGGACAGTTGCACGGTACCGAACTTCGCTTCGATGTCTTGATGACTTTGCCGCCATACTCTGCACCCCCCATCATTCAACGTTCTTCTCCACTTTGGGACAAATATCGATTGGCTAAGACTTTACGGCCATTATGGACACTTAAATATCCACGGGTGATATGGAAGGATGAGTAATGATTATTTTATAACGCTATATATGGACAACGGGACAACCAACCTGGGCATGGACAGGATTTTGACAATTTGCATCCCCAAGCTACCTCACTTACGGCCTTATAATGTATTTTATCATTTCTGCCTGGCTTATTTCCACTTTTATGATTTGGAAGTGCGAGAGAAACAAATGCGAAATACAAGCTTTGTTTGATGAGGTTGATTCTACCTTCATAAAGTGGCAGCGACAGGAACGTGCAATACGTGAAGAGAATGATCAACGTTTCAAAGAGCTTAAAGAACAACTTGAAGCAGACGCCGACCGATCGATTTTATCCAGCGTGAGCAGCATGTGTGCATCGACATTTGGTCGCTCCTCAGACAAATACAACACCCGCCAAGATCAGGTTTTGCTAGAGTGGGTGGGATATATTAAGAGGTTCGATTGGAAAGCATTGCTGCATATTCATAGCTTTCAAATATTTCAAGAAGTTTGCTTTATTTCAATGTATGTAGCTGGGAAACAACGTTGGACAATTTATTTCCGAGGGTCGAGATGGCAAGAACGATCCCCTACATCTCGCAGACTACAGTGACTTGCTGAAACTATTCATGCACTTCTGGTATCGTTGATTGCCTTTTGCGTCACAGAGGAATCTGCAACTGATCCATGGATGCTTTTGGTGCTTAGTAATATAGACACCATTTCAATATGTCACTTGTTCGATATTTGGCGGCAAGTAAGTCGTAACCACTGTGCTCATCGTAGTATTCAATCTAACGTGCTATACCTGACCTTCCCTTGTCCGTGGTGTGCAGTTGGAGACTTATAGAAAGAATCGTGACATTGTTTTAGGTCCAACTTCCGGCACCTGGCATAGTTTCTAAGTCGGAAATTTGAACAGATAAACAGACTGTATTTCACACTGATTCAGTATATATTTGACTACACTTTCAAGCAAGATATCCATCGTATAATTGTATATTGGTATGACGGTTTCAAAGCGTGGTCTTCCTCCCCGATTCGGCCACTCATGCCTTGTACTCGGGTGGTGGAGCCGAAGCAACTGGTGATATTGGCAGTGATATGCCCTTTGACTGCGTAGCTGCATGGTTACGCAATATCATTTTGGTCTTTGGGTTATTGGAGTAAGACTCGATACTAAAGCCTTGCTTGTCCTTTGCATCAACTGAAGCACCATGCTCAAGTAGAAGCTTGATAGTCTCAGTAGCCTCAGTGACGTACCCCATGTTCTCGGTGGAGACTGCCACATGAAGGGCCCCACGCCCTTGGTTGTCTTTCAACTCAGTGTCCGTGCCGTGATTCAAAAATATTCGAACCATATCAATCTTTCCTACTCTGATAACCCTATGGAAAAGCAGCTCCTTGTGGCGATTGCAAGCCTCACCCAGTTCTGGATAATTGCGTAAAAAGACTTCCACAACCCGCTCATGACCTTTCTCAACTGCGTATGCGAAAGGCGTGTTTCCCGAATAATCTTTTGAGAACACTTCCAAACTGGGTCCGGTCATCCGCTCCCAAAACGATCGAGTCAAAGCCTTGTCGTGCTTTAGAAGAAGCTCGCAGACATCAGGGTGTCCCTTTGCAGCTGCTAGGTGCAGCGCTGTTTCGTCATCTTTGCGGCCTAGGGTGGGGGTATTGCAATCCAGAAAGAGTTGAACTATTTCTGTATTGCCCAAGGCTGCAGCAATGCGAAGAAGTATATATGTTTCGCGTTCTTTTGTCTCGATTGAAGGAGGATCGCACTCAAGGAGCAAGCGAACAATCTCTTGGTGACCTGCTCTTACCGCAAGGCGAAGTGGAGTTGCGCGGTTGCCATCCTCGATCCGAGGTGATGCATTCTTCTCGAGAAGAAGGCGGGCGATATCCCAATGACCCCCTTTTGCTGCATTATGAAGCGGCGAAGTTCCGACCTCGTCCACGGTATTCGGGTCTGCGCCTCCCTCTAACAGTGCCCTGACAAGATCGAGTCGGCCATGCTCGGCCGCAACAATGATGTTTTCAGGGGGTTGAGGTTCTTTGCTTTTCGATTTTTCAGCCATCTTGACATGCACAGCTTAAT